CGTAAATAAAAAGTGGCAATACAAAAAAAAAAAAAAAAAAACCACAACAGAAGTTACAGATGGAAGAAAAAGAAAATGAGGCCCGTTGCAAATAAAAAAAAAAGAAACTGTGTAGATTTAAAAAAAAAAAAAAGCCACAACAGATGTTTATGATGCAAAAAACAAAAATGTGGCAATGCAAAAAAAAAAAAGTTACTTACTGCGCAATAAAAGAAGGCAAATAGAAAAAACTACAACGTTTTTTTTTATCTTCATCCTTTTATTTTCACGGCAAGTAGCTTTTTTTTGCATCGCCACTTTTCTTTTTGCATCGTTAACTTCCTTTTTGATTTTTTTTGTAATCTGCACTGTTTCTTTTTTCTTTGCAGGTGGCTTCAGTTTCTTTTTTTTCTTTGCATCAATAACTTCTGTTGTGGCTTCTTTTTTTATTTGCATTCTTTTATTCGCAGCATTGGCAGTTCTCGGCCACCGTAAGACTAAACCCTGAAGGTGTTAATAGATTGAAACATAAGTACACGTTGCATGCACTGTAACAACAGTCACTGGAGCAAAATTTGAATAGAGTAAAGAAGGGATTATCAAGGTCTGAATGACAGGTGCGTGCTCAAAATACGTGCATAAAACAGGTGGTGCTAAAGCTTGATACTAAAAGGTGTTATACTGAGAAATTAGCTATATTCACTAAGCTATATTTACCATCTCCGTTCAAAATGACTTCATATTTTCCGCGACAAAACAACATAAATCTCGGTAAGAACCTGATGCAATTTTCAAAACAAATCTGTTTACTGTACAGATCAGAGGGAGGAAGGTTTGTTTTCCTTCCTGTGCAAACACAGCTTGAAATGGTAGATAGTCAAGCAAATACAAGGCAGCTTGAAAAATCACAGCTAACGTGTTTATCTGTCAGCACAAAACCATAAAGCAAAGCCAGGCGATCAAAACCCCGGGTCTGAGCAGCTGCATTCTTTTCCAAAGCAAAAATCGGGATTTAATGTGACTGTGGTCTTAATTTGGAAAAATTTGGATGCAAACAATGCCGCCGCCGCCGCTGCAAAGCTGGGGTTACAGAACGGTCTCGTTTACATACGTTTCTGTTTTCTTGAGTTTTAAAAAATAAATCTAAAACACCTGGTATGTTTTAAAGATTGCATATGCATCGCATACATAAACCATCTCATATGGATTCTTTGCATTTCATTAACATTAAAAGCACATCTAGACGAGAGAAGGAGGAGGAGGAGGTGCTGCATCAGAGGGATTGCATCGATTAAAGACTTTTTCCTTTGACAGAAAATCCACATCAAATGTCTTAAACATGTTTTATCCTCCATCTATAGAGCCATATGTGGAATGTAGAATATAGTTCAGCCATATGTACTTTATAGCAGTTTATAGAGAAAGGAAGCGAGGAAGAAAGGGATATTATGTGTGTGTGTGTGTGGGTATAAGTGCCTGAGTATGTGTGTTCCAGTGCACATGAAGAGGTGCCAGGAGAAAGGCTTTGATGAACCAGCTGTAGGAAATGGCAGGAGAACGATGAGATAGGGGGTCACTCATCACTTTGTTCTACCTCTCACCTCAGGGTGTGTGTGTGAATGTGTGTGTGCATGTGTGAATGAACATGAGTGCGTGTGTGTGTGTGTGTGTGTGCTTGAGTACGCCAGGCCCCCCTATCCCTAACCCAAATAGAAATCACCTGGCGCACCTGAAATATCTCTGGCAAACACTTGCATCTCGCCGTCCTCCCCCTCTGCGCAGATTGTCTCCACCTTACAAAGTTTGGCATTCTCCTCCGCATCACTCATCTCCTCTCCTTCTCTCTGTCTGATACCGGGGGATGCCGCTCCGACTTTCCATAAGGCTCCGGATTTTGACATCTGGTGGCCTAGATAAGCAGAAAACACACACTGAGCGCATCAGCCGATCTGTGAGGACTAAAGGGCGATTAAGGCGCATAATCTACCTGATGTGTAATGAGGGGAAACAGCAGATCAGAAAGATAACCACTCAGAAAAGAGGGCTTCATGCTGCGCTGCACACTTGATATGTTACAAAACAACATGCAGAACTTTTGAAAATCTCGATTTGCATGCTTTATAATCGATTTCAAACACTTGCAAAACTTCTGTGCATATACTCGAAATATGAATATGTGCAAATGTGCAACAAGATGTGTGTGCTTGCGCTGCAACTCCCCCCCCTGTGTGTGTGTGTGTGTGTGTTGTGTTGTTTCTACCCCCTCTTTTTTCCAGATGAAAAAAAAAAAGGATGTGCATGAGTCATAGCCTCGTGGTGTAGAATATCAGTGATCTGAGTGTCTCTGATGAAGAGCAAATGTGGAGAGAGACAGACAGACGAGAACCCCGCGGAAACACTCTGCGACAATGCTGCTCCGTTTCCATGACAACCCCTGCCAGGCTCTGCTAGGAATCGCCGGGAACATTACGTTTTGTCTCTAATGAGGCAAACTGGATCATTTTGTCCATCTACCTGTGTACCTAGCGCTGTCGTACTCGAGTCCTCGTGCCTCTTATGCACTCGCGCACACACACAAGACACTGCATTGTGTGTCTGTGCGTGTGTGTGTGTTTGCAAGGGGGGGGGTTGGTTATGACTGCAGCTTGTGTGTTTACTTTGTGCAATGCTGGGAGGGTAAATTGCTTCTCTGTGCTCTGATGTGAGACTCGCTATAGACAAATGTGAAAAAGATTGCCTTCTCCAACTTACTGATTCACACTGTTGTGGCAAAGTCAAGGTGACCCCCACACTTGTTCTGCCTCACACACACACAAACACGTTTTCCTCCGACACCTTGACTATGGTGACCTTTCTGCTCAATGTAACACCTAAAGGATGCCGGAGGATTAAACCACATCACAAGATACTCACACTATCAGCAGTAGTGGTCTGTTAAGCAGTGGCATCACCAGTATCTGTTCTGTTAACATTAAGAACAGTCTGTACTGGACTTAGGGTTAGAATTGTACACAGATGGCTTCTTAAGGGAGGTCAAGCACCTTCTCTTATCTCGTGTCTCAAAGTACCTTCCTACTAAGTCACTGCATTACTCTCTGTCATGGTCGTGTATGCGACAAGATACAGAGAGTAATCTGTTATCACAGTAGCCACAAAATGACGGATGCTTCAACAGACGCACAATCGTACCAACACAACATGACTGATATATGTCGTATGTTTAAGACACACAGTAATCAAGTCAGGGCAAAGACTCTCCTTGCATGACTAAACATGAATTCTGGCTTTCATAGTATCTGTTCACAATCAGGCCTCTTGATTTGCAGACAAATGCAGTGAAGCTGCACCACAGAACAACACAAGAGAGTCTACTGATTTAGCTTATAAGTATTTGGCTATGTGCACACTGCAGGTCAATTCCTATTTTTTAACCATATGTGACACATCTCTGATTTTTTCATGTAAGTGTGAACAGTGCAATTCTGATTTTTTCAAATCTGACCCAGGCCTCTTTTGTATGTGGATATAAATCAGATATGTATCCGATGTAACTGCAGTGTTCATCAGACCTATACATCCTCAATATGCGACAAACGTCACCATTGTTCGACAACACAGACAAGACATGCAGGTCACTTCATGGACGCATTCCATTCACATTAGATGCCGCATTCATTGTTGTAATGTGAACGACCGCAGAGATCGGATTTAACAAAAAGAGCGGATTTAACAAAAAATCCGAATTGTGCATCATAACCTGCAGTATGAATGTAGCCTTAGTTTATTCATCACAAAGATTCAGTATGTTTACACGACACTCGAGAAAACCGAGTTATTGCCTTATTCCGATTAAGACCGGACAACTGAAGTGCATGTACACACCTTAGTCCGACTATAATTGGCGTTTAAGTACTCTGATTAGAGTCGGAGAACTCCGATTAAGACACTCAGAAAATGTGATTGGAATTCGATTTTCTCTACCATGTAACCAGCGTAGTCGGAGTATGATAGGACAATGCATGTGTGCCACGCCCCCTTAACCCCGGAACAAAAACACCAGAGAAGAGTAGTAGCATGCACCTCATCTGCAGAAAAAGTAGCGCGTATTTCATGTACGACAAAAACAACGCTGTATCATGCTCCATCTTCTTGCTTGAAAATGCCCAGCAGCAGTTGTAGACACTTCTGACATCTGGCACGGACCTACTGTTGTTGTTGGGTCAACCAGAAACAGCACTGCTGAAAAGATCCATATCGCCCCCTACGTTCACGTCAATAATTCGATTTTCTCAGCTGCATGTTTACGCGGACAAGGAGAGAAATCCGATTCAGCGAAAAAACGAATGATGAACCTGGTCCGATTAAGCTGTGCATGTAAACGCACTAAGTGTTTGTAAAAAAGTGCTGTAGGATTATCTCTGTAGCTCTGAAAAACTTTTGGTGCCAGAATAAGTTAAAGAAAATATTGTTGGGACACCAATCTAGAGCTCTTGAGAGGGCCATGGCACCACCGTATGAAGGCGATAACACTCTGGCGCTGAGGCTTGTGGCTGCAGCAGTCTTAAAGCTGCCTTAAATGCAGAATGGATACAGGTGAGTCTACTCAGCCTCAGCGCCTCAGGTGGGGGAAGGGAGCAGCTTCTGGAAAAAAGGTGAAGCGAGAAGCACACAACCCACACAGGAAACAGGATCCCAAACCAAATTAAAATGTGCAAAGTCCACGCTCACCACAATCTTAATAAAGTTGGGATGTTGTGTAAAACGTAAAACCCTTTTGTGAGCCTTTTTCAACCTCTACTTGTAGCAGTTTTCTGAGCCCACATGGTGATATCTTGAAGAATGATGGGCCTTTCCACTTTTTCTGGGTTACCTGAATCCTGGTAATCAAGAAACCGAATCTTTCGATGATATCATGGGCTGAGTTATTTAGGCTGTCAATGAGAAATGAAATCCTTAATAGTACAATAACACAGTTGGGTGGTCAACTTTATTATCGGCCAACTCTGAGTCACTGTCAGGTCTAAACGTTGAAATAAACCCAACTTTTTGAAACATTAGATTGCAAAGTTGAGATTTTTTGGCACATTTTCCTGCGTTCAAAAACCATACACACAGAAAATAAAAAATAAGGAGACAAAAAAGTTTTTAAAAATTGGTTCTGGACGGCTTTTCAGTCCCTAAACACTCAAATGTCTGTTTGTCCTGAATGCACCGCCAAAAAAAATCAAAGTAAGTTTTACTCAAACATACACATGAGAAAATATTTAGTGTGATTGATTACCGTTTCAATGAAATTTCAAGCTGCCGCTAATGACTTTCACATTGTGGTGAAATAGAGACCAATGGCTTCCTGTAAGTTAGGATATCAATCTTGATATTTGTGGTCTACTCCAGAAAATAGCCAGCCGTAAAGAAAGGAATTTGAAAATTGAGAGTTAATAGGCTGCAGAATTTAAAACCACACGTACGGGTCTTTAAATGTGTGTGTCCTGTCCGGCCTCGGGGGCCCGCAGGTCTAACAGCGGGAGATGATCTCACCGTCATGCCCACGATAAATGCCGGATCATTCAATTATAGAGCAACACAATGAATCATTCTCCTCTTCTCTGACAATCTCCTCCACACTCCTCGCAACTGACACCGCCAAACCACACTAGATGGCCGCGTTATCTTCATAATGCGGATAAACAGTGACAGTCGCCTCAGACAGAGAGCCATTTCAATGGCAGCAGATCAAATGAGAGCTCATTATGGAAAAAAAAGTGACACATGGGTGTCTGTTGCAAAGCTTACAGTCAGGACGTCATGAAGGGATTGCAGTCCTGCTGGGATGCCTGTGCCCCTGCAAGATTCCTCGGCAGCCTGCATGGAATGGAATCAGTGAAACGAAGCTTCAGTCCCGTGACTATACTCAGCTGACAGAAAGAGACACACTGCTTTTCATTTTAAGTGTGTGTATGTGTGTGTGGCATTATTTCCATCTTGTCCTCTCACTCCCTGTGTCTATCTCTCTCACACACTCTCAGTCTTGTCTTGTTTCACAGTAAATGTGTCAGTCATGGGTCTCATCACTAGAACAGCCTGTCAGATGCTATACCCTTCCCCCCCTGTGGTGGTTTTCCCTCTCTCTTCTCCATTTTTGGACATTTCCAAAGGATGATGAAAGACAGCAGGGTTCATACACAACAGAGGCAGAGCTGTGTTTACTGGGATTAACCGGATTTTGTTTTGATCCAAAAAGTGTCAAAGTGGAGTCGGTCAGCAGCATTCAAGATCCTTGGATGCTCTCTGAATCAAATCAGCTCAACTCATAAAATGCCTTGCACAGCAAAAACTAAAAACTGGTAACTATGGATTTATTTTTTGCCATACTCAACTACCCACTGAGCAATAGATGGCTATTAGACGTCAAATTATTTTTAGACCTAATTTCAACCATCTAGATTCTGTATATCTGTAGACGGAATTTAGACGTTGCACTTTAACCCGCTATTTGATAAGTATTTATTTCAAAAAGCGACTGTGAGATGCATAACTGATCTCCAAGTACTAAACCAAAATAATTATGATAGCAGTTGAGCAATATACTAGCCAATATACTGGCTAGTCTAAACTGGGTCTAAATTTAGACGTCTGAAAACTTTCATTTTTAGACCTGTTGGAGTCTGATTTTAGATCAGTCGTCTAGACTACATTTAGATGTCTATTAGACCTCTTTTAGACCACAAAATGCTCAGTGGATCAAAATAATACAAATCAACATGTTAAACTCACTCGAATAAGACAAATTTATACACTGTACAAACAGAAATAAATGTTTGGACCAAGGCTCACAGAGAAGCATGTGCCTCCTTTCGTTTCTCACCCACCCTTCTCCATCTGTGAAAGATTTTGAGCCAAACAAGGCATTGTTATCTATGTTAAATTTAAAATATGCAATGAATCACCATCGTTTATTACAGTCCATAGAGTAAAACTGCACAAATAATTCAGAATTTAATGAATTATGGAGAAGAAAAAAATGCAGCCATCTCACTCTTATGTCTACAGACAGGCTCTATTACGTGGTCTGAGCCAGCTGGCCGTATGGTTCGGCTTCATTTCACACAGGTATTTCCATGTCTGTGGTCTCCTCCACTTCTGGGCTGCAACCCAAAGAAAACGGACAAATTCAGCATGGAGAACACAGACCTTTGGGAGGCAACCCTGAAGTTAATTTGACACTGTATATTTGACAACCGGTTGCATATTTGAAAAACAATCTGTCTTGAGCCGTTGTGTCAACAAGCCGGAGGAGAGCAGCAGGGTGCAGCATTTCTCGAGAAGTATTTGTGGTTTATTTTACTGGGAGAGACTTTCTTCTAAAGCGTTAAAGCGTTAGACCGAAACAGGGCTATACGGATATCTCTGTCAAAGCCTTTGTCAGCGTTACTGATTGAGTCAGCTCAAGGCCAGATATGTTAGAAGAGGGTTTGGCATGCCAGGAGGCCCTTGTATGTGCAATGGTCATAAAAATTAATGAGGAGAGCCCCATATGGGTGCAAAAGGCATTCAGCTTCACATGGTCCTGTTTTACTTCTGTACACAAACATCAGAACAGCAGAAAGTAGTACATTTTTTAAATCACAGAATATACCAGTTGAAAGTGCATCAAAGAAACTTTTTTTTCATAGATTTCAAAGTTAAAGATCCACTGAAGATGGGTATGCATATGGAGTGTGCAGGTAACATGATTAACCTTCCTGCCAGAGTCTCAAATCTATTCCACTCAGCTGTAGTGATGGGCACAGCAGTTGTTTTAGATGTACTAAATCCCCGAATCATTCAGCACTTGACGCGAGGAGCCTCCTACTCCGACTTCCTGACCTGATACACAACTGAACGGTTCAGGTTTCAGTTCAGTTCATGGCTTCTGGGACCGGGAGACGAGTGTTTGGCTGTGTTGTTTGACAAACAGCTTTGCAAAAATGAACTGTTTATAAATCATGACGTTTTAAGTGTACTGTCCAATGGTATGCTATTTATCTGGTTTATCGGTAAATTGGGCTCACTAAGTGATTCGTTCACTGAATATTTACCCCACAGTACATTCAGTGAAGAATTCACACTGAACATGCACTGTCAATATCAATATCAAACTGCAGGTTTTATACAGTACTTGTTACATGCTGTGTCCTACTCTATGCAAGTTGTTGTTGTTAAAACATGGGGAACAACAGTTGACATGAAAGTGTATCCCTCAGACAAAAATGATTCCAGAGTGTAGTTCAATGCGTGATTCGTTCATTCAGGCGTCGGTCCCTCACTTGCCATCTGCTCGCCCGGCAATGCAATGTGCTGTGGTAGCTGCGCTGCTGACAGCTTAACTAAAGTGAGAAATGAACAAATTGTTCGAGGAAGTGATTTGGTTTAGTATGTTCACGCTGAAAAAGATTCGGTTCTTTTGAATGAATCATTCATGAACGACATAACACTACTCAGATGCAGGTGTAAGACAACCAAAAAGGATCAACATGCCAAGACAGGAGAGAAAAGCAGAAATGAAGCAAGAAGTTAGCAATTCTTGATATTCAAACTGTTAAAAGGCTGAATCCACTTCATCAAATGTTCTTTGTCCAATCAGATCACTTCTGTAGAAATAACTGTTGTATAAGGTTTTTTTATCACAAAATAAAGATTTGTCTTAAAGGGGGTGGAATCTGTTCACTGTATCTAACTCTCTCTCCTCCGGCTCTATAATTGGATTCAAGACTGAAAATAAATCGTACGATCACAAAGCCAAACTTTAATGGTCATAAAAGGAAGGAAGCAGCTTTATGGCTGGGCCCAAAGTTTGGAACATTTACAAATTTCCATTACAAAAACTGAACTTGACATCTGTATGACTATGACAGATGTGCAGACTCAAGAGACCCAGGATCAGGGCTTTAATTGGGCAAGACTTTGTTTTCCTCCATTAACTGGCGGATATGAGAGGATGACTGGTTGAACTGGCGTTCTTTCAGCCAGCCGAGGCCTCTGCTATTACACAAGTGCTGGACCTCTGCCATGTTGCACAACTCAGAGGATAGGTGAACCCAGAGGAGCAGGGTTAACCTGGCTGCAGCCGGTGGAGAAAGAGAGTCAACGGACTGTGAGTCTATGGGAAAGTCGAGGATCAGTGTCCTTTTTCTGTTTACGAACCATTAAAATCCTGAAAAATGATATCTTCAGTGATGACAGCTTCATCATTGAGATGTGTGAAAATATTTACACGTTCAGATAGCAAGTTGACCCCAGTTGGGAGGGAGTGTGTGCAGTAGCAGTGCGCATACACACACACGCTGATCCCAGCATGTGTTTCCTGTATGGGAACGCTTCATGAAGTGCATTATGCTTACAGTAAGTGTGTAAGAGAGTCTCAGCAAGACAGAAAGAGAGGCAGAGAGGCATATCCAAAGGGATCAAACCTTAACCACAGGATATATCTGACCTTGAGGGTGAGCGTGTAAAGCAGAGAGGGGGAGGAAAGAGTGCAGAAGGAGAAAAAGAGAGGAAGGGAACAAAGAGATGGAAAGAGAGGAGCCGAGTCTTTGGAAAACCTCCAGAATCCTCTTCTCAAACCAACCATAAAATTCCAACTGAAGCCATAGAACCAGTACGAGGACCGACGAGGGTGCCTTCTGCCCACAATGGGTGTGTGTGTCTGCTTGCATTCGTGTGTGTGTGTGTGTGTGTGTGTGTGTGTGTGTGTGCCTATGTGCTGTATGTGATTAAAGGGTCCGAGCAGAGGAGGCCAGGAGGCAGACGAGTGATGCAATCCACGGAAGCAAAGGAGAGGACACGAGGGCGGCAGGAAGGAAGGGAGGGAAGGGAGGAAGGAGGAATTGTTGCTTCTGGGGATCTAGCTCTCTCCAGGAATGTGCTGACGGTCATGTCCCACACAGCCTGGAAGAGTACTGCATTCTGGGAAACTTGAGGAGGTGACAACACCTGTTCTAGCGGACAAAAGGGTGACAACATCGCACATTATGAAAGGGTAGACTTTGTGAGTCAGAAGTGTTCATTTTTAAAAGGTGCAACAACCACTTTCGCAGTAAAAACAATACAGGCTGGAGGCCTGGATCCTCCTTCACACGGCAGCAGTGAGGATCTATTTTAGTGCGAGCTACACATTGTCCACAAGCACCCACACAAGCTTGGTGGCTAAGGTGATTGGTAAGCCTGGTCAAATAGTCTATTTATGTGCATGACTAGAGTGGGTGGTTGTCCTTGAGCCGGTTTGTCTGCCGTCTGAAGTGCTAAGTGCTGTATACAGTTACAATAGATAGAACAAGCACAAGGACGAGTGAAGGTGGGGAGGGGGGGTGAGGAGGGGAGGGACGGAGGGAGGGGAGGGTGAGTGCAAGAGGGAACTGGGAATAGAGATGGTGAGTCAGAGGCCATTTCGAAAGTAATTTCATCTCTGAATGCTGTATATCTTTTCATCAATGGAAGGAAAGTATTTTCTAAACCGAGCCAGCACAAGAAGGAAAACATCTCTGTTTAGTGAGATGGAGCCTATCTGAGGGGGAGGGGACCGAAACCATTCATAGGTTCGTTTCTGCACTCGGCGAAGTTGTTTGTTACTGTATACTGCTGCGACAGAAGGTCCACAAGAGTCTACAGTCAGTCTAGCTGCTAGTTTTAGCCTGTGAGTTGAGCTTAAGCATTAGCGTACAAACATTGCCATCTGTGCTAGGAACGTGTTTTCGAGATATGATGAAGCTTGTATTGAGTACAAATCAACATTCACTAATATATCACAGTCATCCTCATTATTCAAATGACAGATGCCTGGTCACAAACTTGGCTGAATTGCAGATTTAACCTGATAACTGAAGATAAAAATGTGCATATATCCTCTAAATGTTGTGGCAATTTGTCCAATACTTGTGTGAGTACTTCAACCAATGTGGTAAATCAACACTCCAGCTGACAAACAGCCAAAAAATGTCGTTAAATCATTTAGATCTTTTGCTCATTATCATATGTGGCTATGAGCAAGGACACGACCTACAAATACAGAAATTTTTCATCTGTCTCTGCCAAGAAAACAACACAGTTCCACATTACGAGAGAAAGTATTCTGCAATTTTGGTAAAGCAATGGTTTCTTATATCCTCGAGCTATATTGTGGTTGAAAGGGTTTCCAGCAATATTTTGGACCGGCTTAATGTGGTGTGGGATCCAGCCAGTGAGACAGGAAAGGAAAAAGGCAAAGGGGAAAGAAGTTAGGTGAAAGTTTTCGGAGAAACGACTAGAGACAGGTTTGGACTGCTGTGTGTGTGCCCTGGCTATGCAAACTTGGCTCTGATTGGACTGCACAAACATGTACAATATTTGACACCAACCCAATTTCTTCCTTTAACAAATACGCGCAGAGGTTTTCTCTCCTTAATGAAAACAAACCCAAACCACTCTCCAAATCTGCATAAAATCAAGAATTCCTGTTTCCCATTGATAAAAAAAATACAAGTCTGAGGGCATAAAAATGAATTCATGCAACATGGTTTCTGTTAACTAAGCTCTGTGACTGGAGGGGAGGAAAGAGACACCACAGAAAACCAAGTTGGACTGGTTTGTGATCGGTCTGGCATCAGCTTTGCGGCGATGTGGGCAAGGACAAAGAGAATGCTGCGGTTATTGTTGGACCACCTCTGTCTGCACTTCCATGTAATGTTCTGGTGTTTACCATTACTGGTTCGATTCATCTGCAGGGATTATGAGTCAGCCCTGTTAAGAGGTCCTACAAGGACACCGACTGTCTTGCTTACCCTCTTGCATCCAAATTAAGGCGTTTGCATGACTCCAGCACACAAACCAGGCCTGGACACAGCCATCACCACCAAACTCCGGGATCCTGCTGTGTTTTTGTACAGTGTGTTCGGTTTGTAGCCTCAAATTAAAATCGGCCTTGGCTATGAGTTTTGTTTTTTCACTCACACAGTGCACATTTTGTCACGTTGTTTGTGCACTGTGGAACGTCAGCACAGATATTTTGGGTACGTGTGGAGGAGTCTACCCGTGGCTGAGCAAACAAGACCCAACACTGGTCGAACGCTGTGCTTGCTGAGCCCATTACCTATAAACAAGCATTTACACCTCTTCTTGTTCTTCCTTTTCCCCAACCTATCAAATTGAAGGGCTATTCCGGCGTAAAATTAATTTAGGGTTAAACACACCATAACACCGAGTTAGACACCCCCTCAAGAGATGAATGTTGCTGACCGCTTGCTTCTCTAGTTATACTAACTTTAGTAACGACCGCAGGATAGCAACACACAGCCATCTACGTCTCCACGCGCAAACCTCAACCAAAACGCCACTCTACTCTCAGCCTCTCAGTCTGATTGCATTTCCATGAAGAAATGATAAATGTTCTTCCTTGAGCTGCGTCGCCCCGCAGCAGTCTGTAATGGAATGGCCAAAGGTCTTGCTACAAACAAGTGGCTGCTGGAAGAGAGTAGGTGAGTTGTGTTTAGTCTCTTTGCGAAAGAAATCGGGCACAGCAAAAAAGATGTTTGGTGGCTAGTGCTATGGTTGGACCCTATATGTACTGTTGATGAAGTTAGGTGCTGTTCTGAGCATTATTTGTGGCTATAGAGTGGCTTTTTGGTTGAGGTTTGTGTGCGGCTCCTCAGACCACTCTGTATTGCTATCGTGCCGTCGTTACTTAAGTTGGTATAACTAGAGAAGCAAGTGGTCGGCAACATTCATCTTTTGAGGGGTTTTCTAACTCTGTGTTACAGCGTATTTGACCCTGAATTAATTTTATGCCGGAATATCCCTTTAATTTGCTACAGGATGGCCTGGTGATGCAGCTGGCTATTGTGCATGCCACTACAGACAGGCAACATCTGGATGCTTAACTGTTACATGACATCCACTCCCTTTTACAGCAGCTTTACAGCACACCCTTAAATATCACAGATGCCCAGCAGTCATTTAAAAAGTCGGCCTGTAGTACTGCTAAAAGTAGATTAAGACTGGCATGACACTGAGATGACTGTTTGACCTTTTGTTATTTTGGTGATGCAGCATAAGCTCATCCCCTGATTACACATGTCAGCCTGTGATGAAATAAGAAAACCTCAAGTTTGTTTCCCTGCCATGTCTTCATTATGACAGAGCATCCTGTGGCATCAAAAACCCACAGCTTGATTTTTGTTTTTTACCAACTGCGTTACCCGGATCCTGACACTGTGAACGTTTGACACAAATGTCATCACTGAATCCAGTAGAAAGACAGTACCATCCAGTTATCTAAAACTACATGAGGAGATGTTACAGAAGCAACATTTGAATGAAAAACCTACTCAGAGTTTGCCCTTAAAGCAGAGACTTGGTTTGTATGAATCATCTAGTTAATTTACATAAAGTAATTTGGTATCCTGTTAAAGCCCAGGCTTATTTTTGTTGCAATACTTTATACCAAATTCATATCTATGCAAATACTCTGAATTCCCAAGAGTATACAGTTTCAGATCATTGCATTTGCAGATGTTGTGTCTTTTATATAAGAATGAATCATGAATCACTGGTTGTGTGAAAAGTGTAATCCATGAAATATGGTATTGCAGAGAAGTAATGTAATAAAAGCCAGACGGACACAGTGTTCCAGGTCAGAGCTGTAGTCTGTCGCGCTGTGGTCCAGAGAGCAGTATGAGTCACCGGAACAGAGCAGATTGCTAGCTTGCAAAATTCATTAAGACAAATGTAAGGTATATGGATTTCCTCTGGAAGAAAAAAAAATCCTACAGCTGCAGAACGGCACCCCAGTGAATCATCAAGTAGCTTTCCATACACCTTCAGAATGACAGCATGCTTTTTGCAGCTCTGTGAAATATTGCTGGACTGAAAGCAAATGAAAAAGCTTCAATCATCGTCTGAATTGTTTTGTTTTGAAGCCATTCCTATACAACTTGAATGGAAATGCCCAACAACTGGTTATCAGCATCAGCTTTTAAGTTGTGTAATAAAACTAAATGGTTTAACCTGTTAGAATATCTGATATGAGACACTTTTTCTTTGTGGATGCTGATCATGCAAGGGGGATAAAAAGCAAATTTAGCTGTTATATGGATGCAGACTATGCTGTTTTAAATCAAGCACGAGTAGGCCCTCAATGCTATGTTGTAAAATGGCGCCACCGTGTGAACATAAGGCAGTGATGCGCTTTGGATGCGACTTTGGACAATCTTGCCACTTTAATCAAACAATATTCATTTTTTCGGTTGCATTGTAGCTCACCCGGGCCGATTTAACGATAAACATTATTTGATTTTGCCGGTTGGTTCTCGTACGTAAAATATGCCGTATTTTTAGGAGTACAACAAAATATTATCGCCAAACGGCCGATAGAAATACGGTGGAAAAGTCTAAAAAATATATAAGTAAACTGTATGGTATTGGCTTGTAAGTTGCTAACGTAAAATGCAACATAAAAAGTCGCCTAAGGTGGTATTTTTCGTTCGTGAATTTTCAAACCGGCAAAACCGATCCAGGACCAGCCGTTGTACTTGGACAGTCGACGTTTAACCACGGTATTAAGCCAAGCACAGATCCTAGATCAGCCAAACTATACCGGATGTGAGTAGAAGCCGTTTTCGGGAGCGATTTCTACAGGAAATACTTTCCGCTGTAGAGAGCATTTGTGAAGGGCTGCCATTTTAGCGAGCTTACGGTAAGAAAACTTGCTCTGTGTTGTTGTGTAGTTCACTGACTCCTGTACATTCACTCGCTCACTCCAGTCACCGTGCTGTAGATTAAACTGAATTTTAGCCCTGCTAATGAGTCAGCGTCGTACTAACAGCTAATGTAAGCTAGCCTAGCATGTTTACCCTTCTGTGTCAGACGCTACTGTTAGCAAGCAGAGAGCTGAAAAGGAGAAATAATGAAGACAGGAGCACGAATACAGTATAATTATTATCTGTCTGCTGGAGCAATCTTAAAAAAACAGAATATGAATAGAAATTGAATGTAAGACATTTTCTAAATCTCCCTTTCCCTCCTCTTGTGTCAGCAGCATCACTGAATTATGGGGGTCAAAGTATTGCAGCTGACCTCCAAGTCCCACCATGAAAACATCCTGTCCTCTCTGCATCAGCTGATGCTGCAGGGACACCTGAGTGACGTCACGGTGCAGGTGGACTATCAGGGGGACACAAAAAAGTTTCTGGCTCACCAGGTGATGCTCGCAGCATCTAGCGGCTATTTCAGGAAGATCTTTCTCTCTCAGGATGTGACCAAAGACGAGGTGCTTCTCTCGGATATGCATTTCAACAACTTCTCTAAGTTTTTGGAGTTTGTGTACACTGGGCAAATTAAGGTGGCGAGAGACAAGATCGGTGATGTCAAAGCAGTGGCGCAGTTTTTAGACTGTGAGGATCTGTTGGAAGTTTGTGCTGAGGCTATGGATGATAAAGTAACGGAAAAACCGATGAAGAAAATCACTAAACTTGCTGATAAAGAGGACCTGGATGGTGCAGAGACAGAAAGTAGAGCCAGACTAAAAAGGCAGCCTAAAAGCTTCCTTCTTAAGAGGCGGCTTCCTTCACAGACCTCTGAGAGAGAAGTTTCAAAAAGACTCAAAGCAAAGAACACAAAAAAAGATGACCCAACACAGGAGAAGCAGCTAAAAGTTAGACTGGACGGTCACAAAGTCCCTCAGAGGCCTGTATCTGTGAAAAAAGCTGCAAACAACAACAACAAACAAGAGGGGGACTGGACTGAAGCTGAGGCCCCAGCTGATCATCATTCAGAGGCTGGAGAAGAGTCATGGATGGATGTGCCGGCTGCTGATTTAGATGACTGGGAGAGTGAGCCAGATGAGCAGGGGAGCGATCCTGAAAATGACATGTTGTATGTTGGAGAAGAAGAGGAAGAAGGGGAGGAGGATGGGCAGTCTAAGGAGCAAGCAAAAAGGACATCCAAGGCTCAGTTCCAGTGTGACAAGTGCCAGCGGACATTCCACTATGAGAGAAGCTACCTGAAGCACATCAGGTAAGGTGTCATAGCACAGATTGGTTTGATTTATTGATTTTTACCTTATTTCTCTCAGGTGCACAAACCAAAAATTTGCAGATTTGGCCAAACAACTAATGCCTAAGGCAAAGTCTGCTGGCAAATCTACTGAATGTCCACTGTGCACCAATCTAATGTCACAATTATAAATGTGGAGGTAAAAGTGAGCAACTTTTGATTTAACAGGAGAGCTCCACTGTCATGCTTCAAAGTGCTTTAGACAAGATAATACTTTTCAAATCTTCTGTAAATGTAGAAAAAGGGGTGTTTCTCTCTTTGAACTGTGTGTATTCTTCTGGACAGCACATATCATGGAATGCAAGCAGATGTCGTCTACCGTTGTGAGACCTGCCAGCAGACCTTTGCCAACCGCAGCAACCTGAAGATCCACGAAAAGCACGTCCACAGTAATGAGAGGCTTTTTTCGTGTGAATCCTGCGCAAAGACTTTCAAGCGAAAGAAAGACGTAGTCCGCCATCAAAGACAGGTGAGAATAAATCGCACACTGAGCGGCTTTTTGCCTTATTCGTAGGGATGGGAATCGAGAACCGTTTCTTGTTAAGAACCGGTTCCAAATGGTTCAATCCATCGACATAATTTACATTTTATCTTAACGATTCCTTTCTTCCGGGTGCCTTGAAAAACGGTCTCGCAAGTGCAAGTCTACGCAAACGATATCAATAAAATCGTATTAATTCCCATCCCTACTTATTCGCTGTCATTGTGAGAAGTTTGATGTATTCAAGTTTAATCATTTCAATGTTACATTATTTCATTACAGGTACATGAGCGCAACAACCTGCGACATGTCTGCCGTGTCTGTGGAAAGGCGCTCAGCTCGAAAACAGCTCTGCTGTTGCATGAAAGGACACACACAGGTGCAAAGCCTTTTGAGTGCAGTGACTGTGGGGCAAGATTCACCCAGAACTCTGCACTCAAGATGCACCGCAGGTACATAACACCGGCCGAAGCATTCTCAGTCATTGTAATTATTCTGTGATTTAACCAGCTTGAAACTGAAGTGATCTTCTCTTTATGTGTTAAGGACTCATACAGGAGAGAAGCCATTTGCTTGTGACGAGTGCGATTCCCGGTTCACTCAGAAACACATGTTGGCCTATCATAAACGATCACACACAGGTAAGAGTAAAATGAACGAGTCAGCTTTCTCCAGCTTTGGGAGTTTTAGGATTAAGACTAGACTGGCAAATACTCATACCAGACTGGAAGTCAAAAAAAGGTTGTTCTTTTAAATTTTTTTGCTGTTAGGAGAGAAACCGTTCATGTGTGAGGCCTGTGGGAAGAGCTTTGCATCCAAAGAGTACCTGAGACACCACTCAAACATCCACACAGGGTCAAAGCCATTTAAGTGTGAAAAATGTGGCCGTGGATTTGCTCAGAGGAATTCCCTCCACCAGCATTTGAAAATACACACAGGTATTTGAGAAAATAATGATTGACAAATGTAATAATCTGCATCTTTCTCTTGAATTCTCATGTGTGTTATTTTGTCCTGTGTCCGGTCTCTATCTGTTGACTGTCAGGTGAGCGTCCGTACAGCTGTAAATTCTGTGATAAGCAGTTCACCCAGCTCAATGCCCTGCAGAGGCATCAGCGTATTCACACAGGAGAGAAGCCCTTCATGTGTGGTCTTTGTAAACGCACCTTTACAGATAAGTCCACCCTGCGCAGGCACACTTTGGTGAGCAGCTGTGTGTTGTATATTGTGTACATCAGACTGTCTATTTTTGATGGATAAAGAAATGATTTAACTTGAATCTCTGTCCTGTAAATAACCTGTGCTTTTTAATTATTTAGATTCATGATGCAGATGCGCCCTGGAAGAACTACCTTGTTGTGCTGGAGAACAATGTTGAAGAAAAGAAGCCCAAAACTCCCACGAAGGAGAAGACTGAAAAATCAGTGGTAGGGGAGAAAAAGGGCACCCCCAGAAAAAACAGTGAAAGTGCAGCTTCTGATGTTGTCATTTCTGCTGGTGGCCCTGTTAAATCCAGCTCTGACTCCATCATGGTGCAGGGTACACCTGTCTCCCTTCCTTCTGACTGGGCCACTCATGGAGCCATCGCTCTCGTCAGTCACGGCACCCTCGGCGGGATAACTGTCATCCACACTGAAATGCCACCTGGGACTCAAATCCAGCCCATTGTAACCACCGACAGCACAGGAGCCAGTGTTATTTCTTTGGACGGATCAGCTATTCCTGTCCCCTTCTCTATACCCGTGTCCATGGCTCAGACTATCCCCCTGGTCTCTGAAGCTTCCGCCACTCTCGTGGTTCCTGTTCCTGACAGCGCCTTAACCTCAGACACAGAGATTCCCACTGTTTCTGCCTCATCTGTGCTGGAAGCTGCAGCCTCACAGACCATTTTAGCTCCTGATTCAGAGAATAAACCTTCCACTTCTGAGGCAGACATTTTGCCTCCTGATATTCAAACTGTTATTATCACTGATAAGATTACAGGCAGAGAACAAACAGATACTAACCCGAAAGATGACCAGCAGAGGACTGATGAAAAACCCATAGCTGAACCTGAAGAGACCCCGACTGAAGATGCTGTTTAGAAAATGGAAGAATTCAAAGGATATTTTTGTGATTAAGGGAATTGAAAATCCAGTTCAGTCCTGCTCTTTATGTCATATCTGTTTACTTGAGCATTTGTGGATTAACGATGTTTCATAATCATTGTAAGTTTAAATCCAGTATTTCATCAAGACTTGAATGTGATGTTCAGCGTTTGTCTCAGTCTGTTAAAATGTAAAGTATTCACCTGAAGGTCATGCAGATTTTACATAACTAGTCATGGCATAACTCAAAGAAATGATAAGAAGCAGGAATTATATTTATTACAAATAAAATGAAGGGAACTGTTTACTCATTTTAATATTCCAGGTTTACTCCACACCAACCAAATTCACTTGAGCTATATGTTACATCATGTGTTGAAGGATTTACAATGATGGTATTAGGTTGATACTCCTGCAAATTTGTCAGAAATCCTTGGTTGTAGCAGAGCAGCACCCCTGTGAATCCTCAAGTAGCTTTTCACTCACCTTAGAAACACTTTCTGCAACTCTGCTCCTAATTTATGGTCATCTAAATGTAAATGAAGTTGCCCTAATCCTTCAGAGTTCTGGCACAGCTCTCTCTCTGGAACCTTTTCCGTATAAACACAGCTGTTATTTAAGCTGTTTATGTACAGAAGCTACCTGTGTAATCCTTAAGGATTTAGACGGCTGCTGCCAATTGCAGAATTTCTATTTTATTTTTTTTTACTGAAGGTCCAGGAAAAATAACCCCAAGAGTTTGGATCTTTAACTTAATAGGAAAGAAACAAGCTGTCAAACCCAGGTTTTTATGCACTTCATCATACATTCACTACTGATAGATTACAGAAAATAGGACATCAGGATACCATATGAGACAGCAGAAGCTCTAAAACAGAGGCATATAAAGAAATTCACAGTCTATCATTACAAAGTGATATCTTATATTTCACTCTGAAAACGTTAAAGGTGGTGTATGCAGGACCTGAGGAAGTGTCAGTTAAAGGGATATGCCGACCACTTGCTTCTCTAGTTATACGACTGCAGGATAGCAATACACAGCGGTCTTAGGAGCCACACACAAACCTCAACCAAAACGCCACTCTATAGCCACAAATAGTGCTCAGAACAGCGCCTAACTTCTTCAACAGTACATATAGGATCCCAGCTATAGCACTAGCCACCAAAAATCTTTTTAGCTTTGACTAATTTCTTTAGCAAAGAGACAAACACAACTCATCCACTCTCTTCCAGCAGCCGTTTGTTTGTAGCGAGACCTCAGGCAAGTGATTACGGACTACAGCGAGGTGACGCAGCTCAAGGAAGAGCATTTATGATCGTGCTCGCTTGTGTCGTTCCAATTAAATTCAGATATAATACAGATAAACACTTAAGATAATTAAAAATGGAGCCCAGTCAACGTAAAAGTAAAAGGCATTGGTAAAACGCTAGATGCCAACAGATGCCAACAGACAACTAGCATAAAGTGACATACTCCAGGACCCGAGCTAAACGGTTTAGCGGCGCTACAACACGCAGCAGGTCCGTTTGACAATAAAAACACTTCTGTTACAGACACTTGGCTTACTTTGTTAAAGCGGTTTACCTGTCCAGCAGAAAGGTTACAGGGTCTGTAGGATCCCGAAGCGTCTTCCATGTTTACGCTTCACTGATGTTGACCCGGCTTTTTAGCTCTTTTCCGGGTGGTTTAACTCCGTTTTAAGCGCCTGTTATTCCGCCAGAGTCTCCGGTATTTACTAAGTTTTCTTGCTTGTGTTGGCAGTTGTGGCCACTTCAGGAGGATTCAGACAATTTTCCGTACTTTCTGGTTGGTTTCTACTGTCCGATATTGTAGCATGCTAACTTTGTTTACGCTCCCGCACGTTATTCGAGGACGTGGCGCGTGCCCATAGACTGTATAAACTACGGACAGCTTGGTTCCGCCTTCCGCCAGTATACGGATTTGAAGCCGAAAAGCTCTCGGTAATTCCGCGTTTTTCCCCCCCATTTCCTGAAACCAACAACGCGCAGTAGCGTTGTACGCGTTTGGCGGTAGAGTCGCCCAGAGACGCTGTGATGACGCTTGGCTCAAACAACGTATCCCCCCGAGTGCGATATTTTCTTGCCCTTTTTAACGTCGATTTATAGCTAAAGACTTATGTCCTCACCTCCATGCCAGCTGCTCACCCTAATGCTAGTCTTAATTAACCAGAAAATAGAAATAAAAATTGTAACAAGAATTTTGACAAAATACATTTCTTTGTCAATATTGCAAGTGGGTTTTAAATGTCGGCGCTGTTATGTGTGAAAGATAGCTAGAGACGCCAAGACCCCCCCAAAAAAAATCTGCGTTTCAGTTTCCAAGTCAGAAAAAAGCAAAATCGGAAGCAGAAACAAAATGGCTACATCACGAAAGTTATTTTTGCGCTTGCCTTGTCCGAATATAAGACAACCGCTAAAGTAACTTTTGTAGACATAGTCATCTTGTTTCCGATTTTGCTTTTTCCGACTTGTTAACTGAAACGCTGGGACCTCAGGTGTGACGTCATTTTCAGCTCCAACATCTGACTTCTGAGGTAACTAGAACGCAGCATTAGGCATAAAGGACTGATGGACTCGTCTGAGACCGGTTATCTCGGTCAGTCAATCAGTTACTCGAACTATGGTAAGCCAATTTATTATCATGAAAAAAAAAATACAGAGTTTTGAACGGGGAAAAATAAGCGAGAGAAATGTCAAGTGTGGCATGTGGTGTGAGAATGGGTCAAATTGCCTGACTGTCACACTCAAAGCGTGACGCCTGGCAGTTCTGCTAATAGCTATTGATAGATATTAAAAGCTTTTTTGTATATACACCACAAAAAAAAAATAACTGGTTCCTGCCTACCCCACCTTTAAGTAAACAGGGCCACAGTCACTCTTGAGACAATGTTATGTCAGATGAGTTCATCTCATGTACAGCTTGGATGTCCCTGACTGGTGAAACGATGAAATGTGCACCCACAGATAGTTCACGAATGAAAGAAGCTGTTTGATTGGTCAGGACAACAAAGATGGGTTATAATATCTTTATTGTAGTCCCTTTGCACAAGCATATATTCAAGGTCCATAGTCATTCCGCCTGGAAGAAGCTGGATACACAGGGCGACTGACCCTTTAGTAAAAACTTTGGTCTGGCTCACACTGAGGAATGTAACACAACACTAAACTATACACAATGACATGCGTAGCGGCTGGCCGTCTGGAGGCTGCACTGCGGTAGTGAAACCTCCATGATAAATTCACATCACAACACAGCACGAGATGAGTGACTAACGATGCACATTAACCCCAAGATTACTTCCCTGGAAAGAAGGAGGAAGGACGGGTTTCCACATCGGTGCTTTTGATTGAAAAAAATACATTTCTCACAGGCAAACTATAAATCACAGCTTACACATTCAAACATTCAAAGTATGATTTAATAAATAACCACTAAATATAAATGAACAATAGAAAAAAAAACTCGATTGTTTGAAGTGCATGGTTAGATTCGATACAAATGTTTAACAGTCTACACTTGGTGCATATCATTGCCCTTCCTCCAGAAGAGTCTCTCCTCATGAGTGATGAAGTGCAAACAAAATCTCTGATGACTTCAGTTAAAAGTACAACACCTTTCTGCTCATCTAAAATAAATAAAAATTACATTCTTAAAATCCATCCGCACGATGATTAACTAAAACATTTAAATCAGCTGTTTAAGTATATTATACACTAGATTTAGAAATAAAAAAACAAGCTGCGTCTGACTAAGAAACCATAACCATACAAAACATGCACTGCTTGTCGTCAATACTAACATCAGTTTCAATACAAGATACCGCTCTGCCTCCAGGACAGATTTCAGCAGAAAAGGTATGCAGCAATCCTCTAGACAAGAGGTGAGGGCAAGAGGACTTACATTCTGACCGGATTTCAATTTGCTTGTGAGGAAAGCAAAGATTTGACGGTGAAGCTGTGAAAAATTATAAATAATCAGCAAGTAGCTCCTCTCCAGATGCTATACACAGTGCAGCGAGTGAAAGAGTGTACAGTTGTGTGTGTGTGTTTTAAGTCTGGTGTGTGTATGTGTGTGAGAAAGCATGCGTGATGGATTTGTCCCTCCATGCTGCAGTTTTACCCCCCGGTTTCTCTCATTTCAGATCCCCTTCATCACCCTGGATGGTCTTTTTGATGCGCAGCAGGAGGGTTGTGTGCCACTGGTCCAGGCGTGAGATCGAGTCAAACTCTTTTACCTGCAGGAGGTGAAGGGACATACGGGGTTTTTAAAGGAGTAGTAGGATTACATTTAAGGAGGTTTCATACATTTCCAAGTATTTCCAGATAAAACAGCAGGATTTACAAATCTATTCTGCCACCAACAAAACATCCATCAGCTGCTGAAACTCCTCTGTCTCTCACTTTGAAAAACATTTAAAGGCTCTACCTATAAAAACAAAAGGTCCGTGTAAACCCACAGCCCTCTGGGAGTGAATGGATACCTGGGATCTAGCCTCTAAAGTTCCTGAACACCAGAGAACCAAACTACAGCAGCAGAGGGTCGCCTCGGCAGCCCTCTTTTAAAACTTTCCTCCAGAGTTGAAAACTTACTGCTTCTGTGAAAGCCTCGCTGTTCTGTTCCTCATGAGCTTCGAGAAGTTTCTGTTCAGACAAAGACAGACGTGCGTTACTCCCAGAAACGGAGCAGATTAAGAGGAAAGAGTACGCTTTCAGAGTCCTCAGAGTTTTTAGAGCGAGGTTACCTTCAACAGTTTGCATTCTCTTGAGTCTGAGAAGGCTGGAAACATCTCCTCGTATTTTTCAACAGCGATCTGAGGAGAGACAGCGTGTTAAAATCCGCACGCCCCGTTCCTAAACTCTGCGAGCGTAAAATGGTAGGATTTATAAACTCGCCTTAGCGTTGAGCTCGTCCACGATGAAGTGACAGAGGGAGGCTTTGAAGAAATACTCTTTGGCGCTGTATTTCAGCAACGGATTGTCCATGGTGTTCGCTCCGACCTGGAAACACATCATAAAAACCGCGGTAGAAATAGAAATATCAGCATCTTGACGTTGGTATTGATTGAGAAGCACGAGACAAAACGCACCTGCTCGTAGATCTCTATAGCCTTCTGGTACTGCTCCAACTGAGCGCAGTAAGCCCCCACCTTCAGCAGACACTTGTTGGCAGAACTGTAAAGAGGGCCGAGCACAGAAGTGACACGTTTTACCAATAATCTTATCATAAATATTCAAAACACAAACTACTACAGTGTGTGAACTTGGGAACAAAGAGGTGTAATCAATTACAGTAATAAGTACAATTAATGTTGTCACTTTTTCCGGGATTTGCTAAGTGATACAGTGTCATATGCTCGTTAATTAGTGGCAGCAGCAAGAATTCAAAATGTGCAAAATGACAAGAGTTGAGAAAACGACTTTTTTTTTTATAATATAATATAATATATAATGCATGAAAATGATTTCCCTGTAACTATAATTGGCTTAGAGCTGGCAGCCGTGACTAATCCTTGTTGATCCACCCCTCTGAAATATGCAGCATACTGTATATGCATAAGCCTCACAGCTGTTGATGATTCAAATAACAAATTCAAACAACAAGAAGAGACTCCCCACTTTGACTTTCTCACACACGTCCAGTTTTAGAGCTGAAATCAAATAGTACCTGTTGGATTCTTCTCCTTTGTAGTAGTCTGCTGCTTGTTCATAATGTGCAATAGCCTTTAAAAGAAGTAAAATGAATAAATAACAGATACAGTCGCAAAATAAATCAAATATATTCATATTAAAAAGGAATGGTTGTGATACCTTTTCTATATCCACCAGCTCAGCCTCGTAGACCTCTGCAATACTGATGTGGTGTTTGGCCGCGATAGTGAATCTTCCCTTGAGGAGGAGGAGGAGGAGGAGAAATCATTACTAACTGGATTTATCCACTGATGCCTCTTAGGTCAATGAAAGCTTTGTGTTACAAGACAGTACAGACAGGCGAGGTTAAGTAGTAGCCCGTGGCCACACATCTACGAGGTTTTAGCTTCTGAAATTAATCCTTCGCTAAAAAGATGAACAAGAAGCCAATTTGATTTCAAGGCACCGGTGTCAGGTAAACAAACCAGGGGGGTGTATAAATATAGAGACATGAGACAAACACTCAAATGCAGGAGGGTGGGGAAGGCAGGGAGAAAAATAATGCAGCCAAATTGACTGTTATGGAGCAGAACATACATGGACTCTTCTTTGTGCTTCTTACCATGTCTGTGTATATATCGATGGCAGCATTTAAACACTTGATTGCCTCTTTTGTCAGCATAGAGGGAAGAGGAGGGAACAGTTAGACATTGTGTTAGTTTGTTACAACCAAACAGGCTTTAACGCAGCACCCCACTTCATGTCCGACCAAAGGTTTAGTTATTTTAAAACAGGGAGCTGAGGTGTGTGGTAAAACAAAAAGTCCCAGTTAGCTGCATGCAAGGGGTGGAGGGATATTAGACAAGGCCACAGAGAATAAAAATTTATCAAGTTTTCATGAATCAAAATTTTCATGCAGTTTAAGAGCAATTACTCTAATATGATGTGATTCATGCACTCTTGGGTTTTAGCAAAAGCAGTCAAAGACACAATGACACGCTGGAAAAAGTGAGATCTGGCTCAAAACTACAGGCTAACTGTAAAAGACTCTATGAAAACTGGCTGAGGAGGTCAAAACTATTTTGGGAGCACAGAAAATACAAAACCCAATTCCAATGAAGTTGGGAAGATGTACCAATTACTCTAATATGAGTTTGAATATTAACTATGTTGTCTTTGTAGTGTATTCAATTGAATATAGGTTGAAAAGGATTTGCAAATCATTGTATTCTGTTTTTATTTACGTTTATCACAATTTCCAAACTTCAATAGAATTGGGTTTTGTTGTGATCTATAGGCTGTTATTTTCTGTGGAGTATTATGGAGTATGCAAGGTAGTGCTTTCAGGACATCGTCCACACACAAGAGACATTAAAATACATCTTGTGATTTATATCTTGAGACTAGCCAAATTGATGTGACAGAAACATGTCCCACTAGCCAGGCTTTGTGGCTTTGTTTCCACTCTGCATGACGTGGGAATTATGTAGCAACCAGGACATCCTGTAAACACTCTTCATAACAGCTCATCTAATCAGGACTAACACTTTGATTAATCATGGAAATAAAAATACAGGCACAAACAGTTTAGACATGAAATTCATCTCACCATTAGGGTCGGACTTCTTGTAAGCATTTCCAGCATCAATGAAACTGGTGGCACAGTCGTGTTTGTTCTGCAGCTGCATATGGAGACGTGCCGCCTTGCAAAACGCTCCCCCAGCAGCTGAAGACAAAGGAAAGCAGACAAGGACGAAAAATTTCAAACAAGGACTTTTCATTTTGCAGAGGGGTTGTACGATTCTTTTTAAGCAAGGATTCTTCTGTAAAAATAAGTAAATATAAAAGTGATCTCACCGCTCCAGTTCTTGGCCATCTTGAACATGTTGGCTGCTCTGCAGTACATCTCACATGCTTCCTCCACTTTGTGATGTCCTCTACACAACGACAGAAACAAAAGAAAACTGATTAATACATGAAAAAGAATATAAACATGGAAATACTAAACTACTAATATAATATTAATAAGCATAAATGTTTTATCCTATAAATTCTGCCGTGATGCAATATGGGTTGATGCAGTGTAAAACTTGCATCTCTCAATGTAATGCAATTCCCACATTGGCAGCCAGGCTTAAGTAAATCCCTCATCACAGGCCCTATAGATCTCTCCCCCTTGAGGACAAGATGTGGACCCCTGTGTGCCCCCTGGAGTTGTAATAATATTCTGGCCATTCAATCATAGCGGAGGATTACTTCACAGCTTGGATGGCTGCAGAATTACCAGTATTAAGCCTGCCAAAGGTTATCACGCTCAAGAACTGCAGGCTAGAAACATCTGTGGGTCACAAAGGACAGAGTTTTACAGCAGGCTTTTTGTATTAAGAGCCTATACTCGCTGAATCTTCTATGTTCTCGTCACAATTACAAGATAAAATCCTTTGATACAAGATGAGCTGCATTTCTATATGACTCAAATTAGTGTGTTTGAATAGGGGAATTATATTCTAATGCAAGAATACAAACATAATGCATGATGAGGGAGTAATTGATCTTTGTTTAGGTGTTTCCTTTTAACAACACTCAATAAACGTTTGGGAACTGAGGAGACTAATTGTTGAAGATTTGAAGGTGGAATTCTTTCCCATTCTTGCTTGATGTACAGCTTCAGTTGTTCAACAGTCCGGGGTCTCCGTTGTCGTATTTTACGCTTCATAATGCGCCACACATTTTTAATGGTAGACAGGTCCGGACTGCAGGCGGGCCAGTCAAGTACCCGCACTCTTTTACTACGAAGCCACGCTGTTGTAACACGTGCAGAATGTGGCTTGGCATTGTCTTGCTGAAATAAGCAGGGGCGTCCATGAAAAAGACAATTATTTGCTCACGCAGTTGTTCACAAAGTGGTGAACCGCGCCCCATCCTTGCTTGGGAATGACTGAGGCCACTTTTAGACGGATAAAAACGTAACAAAGTGAAAACCCCCTCCAGAGTGGAAATGTTGTAAATGCTGTGCTAGTCCCGCTTTCGTCTAGAGTACAAAAACGCTGAAAACGGTCAAACCTGTGATGTCCTGGCTCACATCGGCTCACGCTTATGACATCATAGCCATGCGCAGCTTCCTTGAAAATAACAACAACAACCATGCAAGACATTCGAGTCGCGCTGTTGTTATTATTGAACGGGCAGGAGCTCAATTTCAACCTGTACAGAATCCTCACGGATCATACTGCTCAGCAGAGGAGGCGTCTAAATTATTTGCATCAAATAATTAATGTGCCAATTGGCAGAACGGAAGTTGTTCTACGTATGCATTGTTGGTCTATATGGGAGCGCGGTCACATCGACACGCGCCACCCAGCGACCTGGCATGCACATTACAGCGTTTTCAACCACATTGCGTTTTCGTGTAAACACAGCATGAAAACTGAAAACGAAACAGCACTTTTCCATTTTCTATGGCGACCGTTTCTGTCTAAAAGTGGACTGAGAATTTTTGGGGAAGCTGCTCTTATACCCAATCGTGACACCCACCTGTTCACAATTAGCCTGCTCACCTGTGGGATGTTCCAAAAAGGTGTTTCATGAGCATTCCTCAAATTTCTCAGTACTTTTTGCCACCTTTCCCAACTTCTCAATGATTATTTGCAAAAAAAAGAATAAGTTTATGAGTTTGAACATTAAATATCTTGTCTTTGTAGTGTATTCAATTGAATATAGGTTGAAAAGGATTTGCAAATCATTGTATTCTGTTTTTATTTACGTTTATCACAATTTCCCAACTTCAATAAAATTGGTTTTTGTAGATTAACCAAAGTGTTGATGGGGTTTGTCTTCAAAATAACAATGAACATCAATGCAATGGCTGCAAAACAAAACAGGTATATTTCTTCGTGTATAGATCACATTAAAATAACCATAGAGAAGGGTATTTATCATGCAATAAATCATACTGATAAATCGTGCACAGAGCTTCAGTCCACTGCGTATATTGCAGGAGGAAATTGTGATGTACTGCCTTGTTTATAGGGACAGTAAAAGCTTACTTGGCTATCTGTCAGACATGAATTATGTTCCTGAATGTAAGATGATGTCTCTCACTGATGTACTCCCTCACCACACCGCTGTAATGTTCTGCATGTAAACATATAACATCTGAATGGTTATCTCAAGAGAAACAGGCTGCGTGCCAACTTTGCTGCTGCTGACAGTTCACGCTTTGCTAGCTGTTGTTCTTTGGTGCAGTGCTCTTACCCTCCAAACATCCCTCCCAAAAAGGAGCCAGAGGACTTGACTTTTTTGTCAGCATCGGCCATGAGCTGAATCGCTTCTTTCTCTTTCCCGGAGTTGTCCATTTTTTATCGCTTTTATGTGATACAAACTTGTAGTGAGGCAGAAATTACCCGCAGAGGATCCCGCTGTGTACAGTGAGGATTACAGTCGATGGGTTTATTAAGCGTGGGCGTGCACCTGCTGGTGGCTTAAGCGAGCGCTGTTGCATCATGGGCAATTGAGTTCTTCACGCGATATATGCTGTCGGACACCCGGTAAAAGAAACTACATATCCCAGCGAGACGTCAAGCTATTTTTGTGTACCGTGTTACGTAATGTGTGATGGCAAATTTGCTCAAAAATATAAAACGCTTCTTGATAAACTGACAGTGTATTTCAGCCACATTTAGCTTTATTTTTATTTTCCCATAAAGGTTACCTACAAAAACGTCGTTCTAAAATGCCTTTTACGAGAAACATATTAAGTGTATTTTGCTTTACTGTACAGCGGGGGGCGCTCACACATTACAACTGACTCAGCATCTTATCATCTTAGTCACCTGTGTCCTCGAGAGCAGGTGAAGATTTTGCAAAACTTTAAGTTGTGACAACTATTTAGATATTTAAAAGTACTTTGTGAGCTATTATTAAAAGATTTAGAGAGAGAAATGTCTGCGAAAGGTTTAAGGTCCATATCTGGTTGCTCCAAAATGGTTGTGGGCAGAGCGGGCCCAAGCCTAAATGGGGCCCTAAGCAGAATTTGATTTTAGGGCCCTCTATTCCTGCCAATAATATTGATTGTTGATTATTCACACACCTACTTAAGTTCCTTAGACACCGGGGTCGACACAAATATAGAGCGCGAAATCACGAAATATTCTGAGGCGAATGTTGACGCCGGCTCTGGTTATGAGCTCCTGGTTCTCAGCAAGAACTGCAAGACCCTGCTGTGGAAATGGCTGCATGGGCTGAAAATCACATCCAAAACCGATTTTCTGTGGACACAATTTGTACCTGCATCCACTAATGCAGCTTGCAACTGTGCCATGCAAAGAAGAAATCATACATAAACATAGTCTAGAGACACCAGTAACTCCTTTGGGCAAACGTCCCTGTTGTCCAACAAAACAAAAACAAAATTTGACAGTCTTTTTGGAAGTCATGCATAATTTAAAAGCCAGCATCCTTAATGTAATGACGATACTTGAGTGCTCAAGGCTATGGAGAGACTGAGCCAAGGATGTATTAAGGTCTCTTAAAATTGCCAAACATGCTTGACAAGATTAGTATTCCTTTTGTACAAAAAATAAGACTTATTCCTTTAATACAAGGCTGTTTTCCTTTCTTGAAATTTTTTGCAGTGTGCATATTGCAGCAACTACATTTTGCATGTACTAAAACAGCATGAGTCTGGCTACTAAACTGCTAAACACAAAAATATGTCACAGCAGACCCATCACTGTTGAGCACTTGAAATTCTGTATCAGGCAAGAATGGAACAACACTTCACTTCCAAAATGCCAGAAACTTGTCCCAACAAATCATTTACAGATTGTTTTTTGAGAAGAGGTGATGCAACACAACGATAAACATGCCCCTGTCCAAACTTGTTCAAAACACGTTGCTCGCATCAAACTTACATACAAACGGCGCAATCACCTAAATATACTGTCTTCTCACAATTTAGATATTTGTAAACCAAGTTCTGTTTCTTATCAGCATACTCCTGTGGTATCGGACGTTGTAAATAAATACTCCTTCCATTTCAATAACCCTTTACCTACATGTCAAAGGATGAGATTTTGTCGGATTACCATTATCAGTTTCAAAGTACAAACTGATAACTGTGTCCTTTTAAAAATCAGCATAATAAAATAAAGTGAGCTCATACTGTAAGTGCTGCTTACTGCTAGTGAGAGTATTTTCCATATTTATCATTAAGTATTGACGTAACTGTCTGCAGTCCCTGATGGACTCGATGATAGCAGGCAAAGTGCAGTGTGTATCTGTGTCAGAGTACACGTCTCATTTACTTTCAGCTTCATTTTTGGAGGGTAGTTTGAGGAAAATAACAACCAAATGGAAATGACAGTCAAGTCAGTGTTTGCTTTCATGCTACAATCAAGCAGCAAACTTTGCTCATCCTTTCTTATCCAGATTAAAAAGTCTGTTTGTGGTTTATTATATAACACCTTTGACAGCTCAAAACTGGATCAACATGTTTGACCAGGAGGAAAAAAAACATTTGAATCATATTACCAGAGGAGCTGGAGTTAGATTATGACTATAATTAAAGCGACCAACCCACTGTTGCAGGTTACGTAACAGAAGAAACAGAAACAGGCCTGGTAGTGATAGACAAACCGACTTGTTGTCGTCCTCTTTACCACTTTTTTTCTAATGTTCCTGAAGCAACTTTTTCATTATACATGTGAACAAATATAAAAAGACTATTTACAGGAATTTTAAGACAGTGAAAGAGGCCAAAGAAGAAAGAGGCAGCAAACAAGACAAACGGCAAATAATGTGTTTGATAAAATAGTCTGTTTTGATTTTATTTACATTGCCACATACACGCTTCTTTCCTGAAGTGGCAGATTATGCCTTACACTAGACTTTTAGCCCCTGATGTTCATTTTAACAGAAGATACACAGACCATGCTTGATTCGGTTACTTGTTTGTGGGATATGAAAGATATACAGATAGAATACAATGAATGTGTTTATTCAGCTGTGTTCAAGAAGCGGCATTATGATTGCGTTTATATGATGCGGTGTACATTTTTGGAGCTGAGCTGTGAAGTTTGTTTATGAAAGGAAAGAAGTGCTAATGTCTTATTCAGTCCAAATGCCTCTAGTCAAGTCTACTTGTCTACTTTCTTAGAAATGACAGGTGAGGTATTGGTGACAGAAAAAGAAAAATTCAAGAAACACTCATGCTTTTCCCCGATAAGGCTGTGGTATGTTTGTGCGCTTAAAGCAAATAGAACATTCTTCTGCTTTTCCACGACCGCAAAAAAAAAAAAAGTATAAATAACATCCAGTTTGAAATCTACAATTGTCACTTTTAAAAGGTGTGTGGGCAAAAGTTTGAAATCCAGAGATGAGCATACATTCATTAAAGCACACACTCTCATGAAAACGCACATCTTACACGATACAGAGCATGCAAACTTCATCCTCCGAACTCTTTCTGACTGTTTGAACAATGAGCTTCAACCCGCAGCTTTTTCAGACGATGAATTCAACACTGAAGGTAATGGCCACATGCACAAATGAGATAAAACAGCATAATCCTGCATCATCATCGATTTTACCATTTACGACTTGCAGCTCTGCTTTTTTATCTGTAAAATATGCATTACATCGTAGCACTTCAACCTCCAGGAGATGCAGGAAATTGGCTAAATAAATATATCAGCACCCATGCTAATATTGATTCACTATTCTGAATCACTTTTACAGCCTGTTCTAATCTCTAAGCTTTCGTATGTCCATCACAAAAAGAAAATATTCAAATATATGGCTGCCGTCATGTTTTGGCAAAACACCCACCGAATTTCAACAATGTGCATATCGTATTTTTCACACTATAAAGCGCACGTAAAATCCTTTTGGCCTCTCGGAGCACTGCAGCTACCGTAGCCTCGCGGAGTTATTGGATGAGTTACATAAAGTTTGACTTATCGGACTGTTTGTGCGCTTTATAATCAGGTGCGCCCTATAGTGCGAAAAATACGCAAGATCCTTCACCTTTGTGGAGACAAGACAAAAAAATCTAACACTGTGCACAGTGGAGTGGAGCTGCCCTCAGTGGCTTTACTCTTAGGATCACGTATGACGGGGGGAAAATGACACATTTCCTCTCCATGTTGGAGTAAGGTCACGAAACGAATCTCTCAGTACATGTTTAAATGACAAATACACCCCCTTCCTTTGCCACTATGGTCCTCTTCAGAGTGTATGTGCAGTGAGGTCCATTAAAAGGTGGGATTGCAGGGGTGTTTATGAAGAGCTGAGTCCAGAGTCGGACTCAGCGCTGCCGGCTCTGGCCTTGGAGTTGACACAGGGGGCCATGGAGCACGGGATGGAGTAGCAGGAGCAGGTGGAGCTCATGAGGGTCTCCTCTGTAATCACCTCCTGCAGGGTGTGCTGCTCCTCTACCTGGAAGATGTTTGGCTGCTCTCCTTGGTCCTCACAGATACTGAAGAAAAACAAGGAGACATCATTTAGTTAGGCTGTATTAGTATATGTAAAATAGATATAAACACTATGTTTCACTCACTTTACTGATACTTTGCAGTAGACAGGATTGAAATATTAGAGAGGATAGTTATGATTTAACAATAACTCACTGTCATTCAATCAATCAGACATTTTCTTTTTTACTTTTTGAATCTATATTTAGTCCTACCTTACAAAAAAACATGATTCTGACTAATGTATTGGTTTAAGTATTAAAAATATATTATCTGAATTCATCAAATCAACCATGTTATTACATTCATCAGTCAAGATGCAAAAAAATAAACAGGAATAGATCGATTAGCATGATATTCACTTCTTCAACAATAACATTACCATACAGCAGCTTTTTCCAAGTTACTGTCAGCAGATTTTGGTATGATTGTGCTGGTTGCTGTTCTGGTAGATTAGCGTACAAATATCCAGATATCTGAATCTTACAGTGAGACAAATGTGACCACCAAGCAGTCCAAGTAAATCCAGGATCTTTGTCAAGCAGGAAATTCTGGTTATGACTTGGTGAAGCAGCCACCAAAGACCCAAAGCAGTGAAGCTATTCCAGCTTTAAAAAAGCATCCAGTGCAATCACCCGGTTTATAACGAAACTAAACTGCAGGACAGGCTGAGTGAAAACAAACTTAAATTTTTGCAAATAATAGAAAACACACTTGACACAGGAGCTGTGGGGATAAATACAAGCACTGAAGTGCAGGTTGCTTTTAGAAATGTGCCAAAAGAAAACACTTCATTCTGTTTTGAAAAGTCAACATTGTGCAGGTTGTCGAGGTGGTTTGGTGCTGTTAGGTGCAGATGGTGAGGTTTCAAACTCGCAGTTTGGATGCAGATGTAAATTTTTTTAATTAGTTCAGATGCCAATATGTCAAGTTACGCGGCCTCATGCACTGAATAAGCCAGTCATTCTTTGGTGCCTGTTTTGCGTTACAAAAAGTCAACTTTAAATTAAAAAAAAATCCACATACAAAAAACAGGAAGTAAACCAGCTGTCAGCTCCCAAAACCAGCTTTATGAATGATAAACACGGCAGTTGACCAATCAGACAACTAATATTGATACAATCCAAGTTTTTAAAAATCCAAACAGGTGGAGCAGAAACTGCAATAATAATGATAACAGTAAATGTTTACTGTCAGGATGAGAGACATGTGAGAAGTCAACCGTCTTGCATCATTGTCAAGGAACTTTTATGTTTGTTCCTCAGTAATGTGTAACGGTGCGGACACACTGCTGCTTTCCCTGCGCGTTGCATGCGAGAAGCACCACTTTTTATCCATTTTCATTACGTCAAAACCACTCATTCAGGGCAAACAGTCGTGAGTGTAGATAACTATGGAAGTAAATCCGTGACATTTGATTTTGAATTTAAATTTATAAATTTGAATTTGAAAACCATCGAATTTTAAGCACACATTTTTATTTCTGACACTTATTTTTTTCACAATGATAAAAGATATTCAGTGTAAAAAAAATCGGACTCTTAAAATATTCATTCAATAAAAATCCGACTTAAAAAAAAAGTAAAATAAATAAATAAATAAGCATTAAAAAAAATTCTGTGTCAAAAAATTCAGTGTAACCAGGGAATAGCAATCGAGCCAGGAATCGATTGCCTCTACCTGAATTTTTTGACACTGAAATTTTTTTTATGTTGAACTTAATTTTTTCACAAACTCTCAAAATTTTCATTTAATAAAAATCTGACAAAAAAAAACTAAAAAAAAAAAAAAATCTACATGAAAAAAAAAAAATTCAGTGTCAAAAAATTTTGTGTAACCAGGGTAACTGGGGAAAAGCAATTGCCTCTTCCTGAATTTTTTGATACTGAAATTGTTTTAATGCTGAATTTTTTTTGCACAGTTTTGAAGTCGAATTTTTATTAAACAAATATTTTGAGAGTCCGATCTTTTTTTACACTGAATTTATTTCATTATTGTGAAAAAAATGAGTGTCACAAATAAAAATGTGCGCTTGAAATTCAATGGTTTTGAAAGTCAAAGTCTGATTTTAATGCAAAAAATATATATATTCAGTTTTAGAAATTCAAAATCAAAATCAGATGGCACGGATTTACTTCCATAAATAACTTAATGAACTTTGTGGAGTGGAACGGACTCCTCTTTTGAAAGACAAGGAATGAAGCAGCCAAAGTGGACAGGTGTCACAAGTTGTCTTGGCTGACCTCGGGTGTGTCCGCACCATAAAAAGTGGGCTTTCAGGCAGTAATTGAGGGGGAAACCAAAAAACCAGCCAGGGGTTGTAAAGTGAGTAAATAAACAAAACACAGCCAGGAACCAGAGAGACATTACGGGAATCTGAAGAACTTGGGTCAAAATATGGCACCAAACATTCACAAATTCTGTAAAAAAGAGGCACAGTTACAACAACAACCTGGAGATGTCAACGCTTCTGATGTTCAGGTGTTAAATAAAGCAACATCTGGATCTGTGGACGCTGCTGTGAGTTCAAAATGTATGGTCAGCAGGGGTCTTTCAAAGTGGAACATATATATGGAGCAAATGTCATTGTATAGCGAAACACAGAAGTGAAACGGCTGAACAAACAGGTCCTGCTGACTGAGCGGCTTTGCTGAGACCAGAGGAAACTCGTTTGATTCTGCTCGAGAGGCTCAAGAGGCTTTATGTAACTTCTTTGGCACTCACATGTTCAATGAATAATCAACATTTTTCATCAGGTGCCAAGTGATTGGCACGTCCGCCAACCGCTCATTATATAACTGTGAACACTGAACAACTGCGCTGATAAAAACTGCTTTGTAAACATTCAGCGATATGACGAGGATAAGCGGCAATCAAGACTATGAAAGTGAAAGCTCTGCTCAATAACGGTTGTGTGAATACAGACTGAACTTGACGAAGCAGCAGCAGGTCAGACTGAACAGAATGTAATGAGGGCTTGTTGGGTAACAGGATTTTATGGCAGGAGACACAATTAGGAGAATTAGGACAGAATTAACAGAAAATGAATGTTGGTGTAAGAGGAACAATATGACCAGAATATTCATGTAATCTATGCTGCACTTTTGCTGATCATTAAAGGGATATTCCCGCGTATAATTAATTAAGGGTCAAACACACCGTAACACCGAGTTAGACACCCCCTCGAGAGATGAATGTTGCCGACCGCTTGCTTCTCTAGTTATACCAACTTGAGTCACGACCGCAGATGGTAATACAGAGAGCCACGCGCTCAACCAAATAATGCTCAGAACAGCACCTAACTTCATCAACAGTACATATAGGGTCCCAGCCACAGTACTAGCCACCAAACATCTTTTTAACTTTGCCTAATTTCTTTAGCAAAGAGACTAAACACAACTCACCCACTCTCTTCCAGCAGCCATTTGTTTGTACAGAGACCTCCGGGCGAGTCCATCGACTGCTGCAGGGTGACGCAGCTCAAGGAAGAACATTTATGATCATTTCCTTGAAGTATTAATCACCATATTAATCATTTTGCACTGCTGACACTGTAGTTCTTCTGCCTTAGTGTCTCAGTCTGATTGCATTTCCATGAAGAGATGATCATAAATGTTCTTCCTTGAGCTGTGACACCCCGCAGCAGTCCGTAATAAATTGGCCCGAGATCTTGCTACAAACAAGCGGCTGCTGGAAGAGAGTAGGTGAGTTGTGTTTAGTCTCTTTGCGAAAGAAATCAGGCGAAATTAAAAAGATGTTTGGTGGCTAGTGCTATAGCTGGGACCGTACATGTACTGTTGGTGAAGTTAGGTGCTGTTCTGAGCATTATTTGTGGTTATAGAGTGGTGTTTTGGTTGAGGTTTGTTGACGGCTCCTCAGACCGCTGTGTATTGCTATCCTGCCATTGTCACCAAAGTTGGTATAACTACAGAAGCAAGCTGTCGGCAACATTCATCTCTCGAGAGGGTGTCTAACTCGGTGTTATAGTGTGTTTGACCCCAAATTAATTTTACGCTGGAATATCCCTTCATGTTTCTTGACTGGCCTGTTGCGTTTACACCTACCTGTCATAGATGAGTCCATCGATCCCCTGCTCTCTCAGCTTCCTCCTGTTCTCGTGGTCATTGTTGTCATCTCCCCAGCTGAACACCACCAGACCTTTGGACTGAGCGTCCCCGATGAAGGAGAGGTTTTTTAGCAGCTCTTCAGTGTGGGCACTGATACCCTGAGAGCATGGGAAAAACAACCACAGCAGTCACTCATTTTGTTTGGAACAAAGGGCAAAGTCAGACATCCCAATGTCACAGAATGAGAGTCTGCTTGTGTTTCATAACAAAAAAAATTAATCTTTTCAGATTATGCTGCATAAGCTGTCTGCGGCCGGTTCTGCTTAGACTATTAAAGTTGTCTGTTTTGCTGCGCTAGCTGACCTGTTGGGTAAGAGGAATTCTGTTTTGACTGACATGAGGGTGCTGACCTACTTCTCTACGTCTGCTGGAGGTCACTGCGGTAATACTTGTTGACTGTAGACAGGACTGTGCAGACTAAACCAAATATGTTAAAGATCCCAACAATGAGACCGCTGTTTGGTAAGAGAGTCCACATGTGTGTGATTGGAGCTCTACAACTCGCCCTGGACTGCAGAGAGAGTATCCACATTGTAAAACCTGTCTTATAAATACTTGATTCATACTCTGTTAGAAATGCTCACCAGAATGTTCTCACTCTGGGCGAAACTTATGGCGATCTGAGTGGTCTGGCAGCGGATGTCCATCAGCTCGGGATACTTCTCTGAAATTCCCTGAGTCAAGAAGAGGATGGGGTACTTGTTCTGCTTCTGACGAACCCTGAAAGGGGAACAAAACCTTTGTTATTGACCTTTTCAAACATGCATACAGCTGCTTTTTAGCATTCTAATGTTTTTGGTGAATGTCCTTTTCAAAGACTTTAATCCTCTGTGTCTAAGTGTGCTTACATGGTGCAGATATCTGGGTCAAAGCAGGAGAAGACGATGCGTCTTTTCCCGCCTTTCTGCAGCACGCAGGACAGGATGATGTCGAGGTAAGTGTTCATGTTGAAGTAGGAGGACAGGTTTCCATCCCATGACCCGTCCTGTTGATGAAGAAGCAGACGTGACAAGAGTTTGAATCATTTTACACTCAACAAGGAAAATATCTAGCTGAGACCGGCCCTGGACATGTTTTTTGAACAACTGATGGCAGTACTGATCCTGCTGGCTTGGTATACGCACCTTCATCTGGCAGATCCACTTGAGCTCAATGTTGAAGCCCACATGCTCAGGGATAGTTTGGAAGATCTATAGAGGAGATATAGGTCATAATTTAACAACTATGGCGTCTTTTTACATTGATTAGACATTAACTGTTGATTTAAATGTGAATAAAAGAATCACAAAATGTTTCACCTGTGAGAGGGAGGGGAATGGCTGATGCTCGTCGATTTCTTCCTCATCCTCCATCAGATCTGGACAACAGCAAAACACATTCGACATTAGCCTTCGTACACTTCTGTTAACTGCCAGCAACCTAAAAGAAACTACAGCATACAGCTTCGAAAGATGTTAAAGGGTGTAGAAGTAAAAGACAAAAAAAGACTGCCTACCTTTGTCGTCGTTTTCTTTTATTGCAGTGGCATGGGCCAGCTGTGCGACGAAACAAAACATTCATTCACTGTCAGCAAATGATTCATACATGCTTAATCATTCAACTTGAGGGAAAATGTGACATTTTGCACTCTTTCCAAACTTCCTGTTCAAGGATATTTTAGATTTTCTATTATGTATATGAAGTATTGCAACAAGTATGTAATTGGTGCATAAACACTGCCTCTATTGATTTACTCTTTTATGGTGCTAACTGTCCTAATACAGTCATCCTTTGCACTCTGCTACAGTGTGACTGGCTGAAGATACTGTTATGAGGTTAAGCAGTTCCCACTATATTACTCTGCAACTTCATAGAATTAGTCCAAAGTTCATTTTTTCCATATGCTAACTTGCAGATTGGAGACCTTTTTATCAGGTTTTTACCTTTAGGAGCTGCAGCTGATCAAAGGTCAGGTCTTTGACTGGCACTTCAATAAGCTCCAGAGAAGTCTTGTCGTTTTTCTGTAAGCAGAACATTAGTTTTCAGTGAGGACTCAGCCCTGTTAAAGTCAAGTTCACATCTTTAAATGTAACAAGTCTTTTCATTTTTTTATACCTTTTTAGTGGAGATGCAGCAGGTCAGATCATGGTACACAATCGGGACGGCATCCTTGGAGAGGTGAACATCGAACTCCACATACGCAGCACCCTTTGAGGATCATATTGGCACGATAAGTCGGGGATAATTTCAAAGACAAATATCAAACCATGCTGTAATCATGTGCCTCACTTACATGCTTAGCTGCACTTTTGAATGAGGTGATTGTGTTCTCCCTGACCCTGTGGTGCCTGTAGAAACCAAAGTGAAAGAGAGTTTGTGGACAAAGAAACACTGTGGAACATTCAGAGGTACTTGCCCCTACGGACCCGCATTGTAAGGCTCTTAACTATCCACTCCCGGTATGCACGCTATGCAAGGCACTCGAGGAGTGTTATTAAGGACTCACTTGGCTGCATGTGAGCTGCCGGCTCCTCTGTGACCCACATTCAGGGCACCTTTTTTCTTCCAGTACTTCGTGAAGGTCGAGCTCATGTCACACTGCAGGCCCTGAATTGGCCGAATCACCAAATAATCCACTAGGACAGAGCAGAAAAGTTTGTTACAGTTTTCACTTTCTACTTTCCAATGTATCTGTGTTAGGGCTGGACGATCAACCGAAAATTTACCAATGCCAAAATTTACGACAATAACCAACGTCATTTTGCCCATATAGGCATATTCGGTGTCAAGACAATAAATGAATAAAAGTTGGTTTTGGATGTGTGTAGGTAGGCTATGGTCTCATGTCCCTTTAAGACGTTGTCAAAGACGTGACTCAGACCGTAACAAAGAGGGAAAGACAGGTGAGGAGATGGAGGACGGTTTAAAAGTTGTAGCGGCGGCTGACATAGACAAAGTTAATGTGGAAGTGCTCAATATATCGTGATACTGATTTGAGGCCATGTCGCCCAGCCCTAATCTGTGTCGTTGCTGAATTCTTTGGTGCGCAATCTTACCTCTGACTTTCCCAAGGGTCTGCCTGGAATTTCGACCCATTATGGGGAGAGTGGCAATGCCAGTGTCTTTACCGCTCTCCCGGAAAGAGGAGGAGAGGAGGCAAGCTGTGCCCACAAATCCTGGATGAGCATCGCCCTGGACGACATGTTCGCCTAGATCCTCCTGCAGGCAAAACAAGAAAAAGAGAACTCCAAATCAGCGTTAAATCATCTATTTCCCCATAGAGGTCAACTAAGTTCCTCTTGTTGAGAACAGTAGTCTCTATTAACACCAATTTTACCTCAAAGAACTCAAAGGTGAGCTCCAGGTTGTCTGGGTCCATGGTGTGGATGCTGTACTCGGTCCACCGGGAGGGCTCCAGTGCATACCCACACTCGGGCTGCGAGTGCCGGGACTTGTAGCCGTTTGGACTGATCATGCTCATCTCCAGTGTGGTGGTCATCTTCTCCCATGATGTTGGACTTGGCTCATCTTCCTCATCATCCTCCCCCTCCTCCTCAAAGCCCTCTATTGTCAGCTTGATTCTGTTCAGGCAAGAAAATACATTTTAAAAAAAATCTCTTAAAAGGTGACTTCCGCTTCTTTCACTGACAGGAGGATTATCGTTGCACTTAGGTTACAGGTCAGGTTAGGTAATCGTCTCCTCTCACTGTTGAGCTGAACTTTCCCTGAGTGGTGTTGAATTCCGACTCTTGAGTCACCCTCACCTGAAGCGAGACTTCTTGTATTTCTTCTTGGTGATCGACACCGGGGACACCTTAGAATGGTGCAAACGCAGGCGAATCTCTGTCTGGCATGTCAGCCACCCGGAGTCGACACAGTTCAGCCCATCTGTAGAAAAAAAACAGAGAAAGAGCAGACACAGGAAGGATCAGATGACGGTATACGTCCACTTTGTCTCCCTTGAGTGCTGACAAGAGAATAAGCGGCAGTGACAAAAGCAGGGTGGGGACGACTGTTTGTTTTTTAAAAAGGAAATCTAGGGAGTGTAGGGAGTGTAGTAAGCAATAAACTGCAACGTACAAAAGTGCAAAAGCATTTGAAGCAGACTTACTGTAGATTCCAAATTGCCCATCGTCAAAATCTTGGTGGGAAGCTGCAATAAAAGAAAAGAGTGTTAAAATCAGAATACAAGAATCCAAAGAGCTCACAGGTTGAGTTCAAATCGAAGCAGAGCAGGAAGAAAAATCATGAATTTTGGTAAAACTCTTAAAACCAGATGGAAGTTTCGGCTCTGCTCTGAATTAGATTTGCCTCAACGTTATAAAACAGTTGAAAAAATCTGATCCTGATCGTGTTATTGAGGTTAATCTAACGTGATTATAATGAAATTAGAGAACGTAAATTAAACATTTGTGGCATTAATATTTAAATTATCAACATGTTTTTCCTGTTTCCTCCGCTACCTTTTGCAAACAAGAACGGGTGGGGTCAAAGAGGACATGAAGCAGGGTGCAGATAGGGTTGGCAACTGCTGGTCCAATCCAGTTCATTCTGAATGAGCTTTGTGTGTGTAAGGCTAACAGGGTGGTGCTTCAGCTAGAAAGTTTCATCACATATTCTCAGTGTTTCCTGTCGTTTCTATAATCTATTTATTTACTTCAGTGTTATCCCTTATCTGCTCTATAGTGCTAAAGCATGCAAACAGCCGGACAAGTAAATGAAGGAGTGTTTGAAGGAAATACTGCAGTCAGTAGATGTTTTTGATTTTGATGTTTATGATGCAGGAAAAAAGAACAAGCCAAAGGTCAAATTTGACAACAGCTGACCCTCTTCTCTACGTTATATAAATGCAGCGCAAGGAATGGGAGGTCTACAGGGGGTTTGAGTATGACACATGTAACTTCACCAAACCCCCCCACACACTGTTACACCTCTAGATCATTGTTCTATACCTGTGGGGCTCATCGTGCGAGGCTGCTGATGGGTCTCCCACATATTGACTATCACTTGACAGGGACCACCTGCACTCTGCAATTCCAACGTTTGGTAAAATGTTAGGGTTTTCACATGAAATATACAGTGCGCTACTTTTTTTTTTTCTGGCCCGGCTCTGGAGCAGAGGGTGAGAGAGAGAAATTAGAGCTGTTATAGTCACCAATCCCCATGTCGGGCTGTCAGCCAGCATGGGATGGAATCTGAAAAGTGGATTTGTTAGTGAAGGGGAAAAAAAAAAATTCTTCAGTGACACATTTATCTACTTTTTTGTGTTATTAATCATCACATTTTGACCTCTGAGAGTTTAAAATGATAATAAAGTTGTTGTTTTTTTAAAGTAACACTATTCAGGTTAACTCCAGCGTGACAGACACATCAGTTTGTTGATACTTTCACTGCTAGTATTGGCTTATTACAAAATTATAAGTACTGCAAATAAGGCCCCATAAACTGATGTCAGTTGTGCCACATTAGTTCAGTGGTTCTCAAGTCCAGTCCTCGAGCCCCCCCGTCCTACATGTTTTGGATGTTTCCCTGCTCCAACACACCTGATTCAAATGATCAGCTCGTTATCAAGCTCTGAAATGGCTAACGAGCTGATCATTTGAATCAGGTGTGTTGGAGCAGGGAAACATCCAGAACATGCAGGACGGGGGGGCTCGAGGACTGGACTTGGGAACCACTGCATTAGTTAAACACGAACTAGCTAGTAGACCAAACATAAAAGATTTAGAGGTTAGTTTGTGTTTGTAATACTTTTTGCATTTCTCTGCAGCACCAGAAACATCCGGGGAGAGTTTGGCAGCATGTCTCTAAAGACAGAGAACCTCCGTAATGAGATGTCTGTGCGGTATTGGCGCTCAAGCCCAAGAGTCAAGTCAAAAGCTCTATTTTCATACTGACTTCACAAGCCGACGGCCATATGAGTTGACATTGGTCATTTAAAATAGTTTTAAAACAGTTTGAGAAGTGTAAAGTCTGAGTGCTCTGCTGCGAGTCATGCTTCCACATGTATTTCACTAACCACTATTACTTAATACCAAGCGTGACTCAGACCACATGAATTTGTCAGCACACTTGTACATGGACACGTGTCTAAAGCCAAGCAAGGGCGGTGCTCAAACAACAAACACAATGAAGTCGAGTCAGGGCAGACCTCTCATACAATACGGGCCTCACCCTTGAGTTAAAATATAATGACACACCTGAAAGAGACAACAATAATAACAAAGTTACTTGTTTTTTTTTCTTGTCTCTCTCTTTTCAAGGTGAATTTCATCCCTGGTGTGTCTGCGTTTTCTCGACACAGATGAGCTTAGCAGAGGCTCACACGCTCGGATTATAGCGCACCAGCTGACTCTTTGCTGCTCAGACAACCTGGACCTTGACACTGACTCATGACTCTTCTTATGGCAGGAATACAGATTAAGAGACGCTGATACATAAATCTTTGGCTTGATTCCGACTTAAACTATTGTAAATACAGCTAATGTTATTAAATACTTGTCATAGAGGAAGCAAAAGGAATGACAGAGCTGGTTTTCCTACTTCCTGCCAATGAGCTGAAACAGAAAACCTGATATGATCATGTTTCACAACATGCAACAACACTAAGAAATCCCACTGAATTTAGTTATTTTCCACTTTCTTTTCGCATAACTGCATGTTTTACCCTCAGAAGGCTATTTTTGAGATGCACTTTTAAAGGTAACACTAATATATGCTCACCTTTGACTCCAGAAAGAAGCCTTTCAAATACCGATACTTGGAAACAACTCCTTTAGGAACAGTGAGGGTTGTAGTCCACGTGTTTCTGTCAAGGGATGACATGCTTTAGTGAATATTTGAAGAAAGAGAACAGAGGAGAGCTTTGTAAAGGTACACCGCAGCTGCTATACTTTAACAGCATGTTTCTAATGTGTGAGACTTTACACTTAAAGTGTAACTAACCCGTCATTCCCATCAGGGTGTAAGGTCACAGCTTTCTGATGGCTCCAGCTTCCCAGGGCTTCACAGCTACCAACAACTGCGATCACCTCACCTAGAAATGATCAGGTTAGGATTAATGAACATTTTGATGTTAAAAAGTATGTCTCCAACAAGTTAACTGGTCTAAACCAGTGGTTGTCAACTGGTGGGTCCCGACCCAAAAGTGGGTCACGGACACGTTCTGGATAGGTCACAAACAGCTGGTCAAAAAAGTAAATATTTAATGCGATATTTATTAGATTTTTGATATGTTCTGTATACGCAACTTCAGTAGTTGTCGTCCTCATGTTGTCTTTACTCAATAAAACAAGTAGATTCATGTTAAAGATTAGAATCTTAAAGGTTTTTCTTTTTTTTTTTAATTAAAAAATAAATCTGCTTGGTTTGAATTCTATAAAAGTGGGTCGCTACTTAAGGACTTTGGGAAAATGTGGGTCCTAGAGTGAGACCAGTTGAGAATTACTAGTCTAAACAATGGTCAAACAACAGCCTACATGTTTGGCAAATATGAGCTAATTTCCCCAAAACTCACTCTTCTGAAAGATGCAAATTAGTGGTGGACCCATACGAATTTTCTAAAGGCCAATGCCAATAATTAGATAGCAGGCTGGCTGATTGCCAATATTACGCTGCTGTTGTTGTCTATATAAATCACTCGCCAGTAACCATTTCAGGAAGGATATCATGTCATAAAAGATGGGAAAGCCTCTTATCATTGTGGGAGTTGTTTACGTTGCTACCTGCAGCGTCTGCACATATTACCTGTCCATTTTTTACATGTCATGTGAGGAAGTGAAATGTTATTTAATTAACTGGACTATCTCTAATTAGCAGATTAGAATTGATGAAACAATTATCTCTGCAACAAAGAAATGAGTCTAAACAAGGGTATAAAAATAGCCTATATGGTGCACCCTGCTTTTGACATATATGAGCAAATTTCCCCAATCTAAACCCTCTGAAATATGCAAATAAGTATTGGACCATTACTGTTTTAATCTTCTATTATTATATTGCAAAAATCCATCTCAAACACTCGCCAGTAAATGTTTCAGGAAGGATATGCTTTCATAAAGGATGGGAAAGCCTCTTATCTTTCAGGGAGTTGTTTACGTTGTTCATCAGCAGTCGCCCTGACACTGCTGCCTGCAGTGTCTGCACACATTACATGTCTAATTAACTGTACTATCTCTAAAGTAAATGCATTATTATGGCAGTCGGTTATTATAAAATCTCTTAGTACTGCTCTTAGTTTAATAACAGATCATTGATTTTAAAATGGAATATCAATAAGAGTGAATCACAAGTACTTCAACTCTTGTGTTAATGGCAATGTTGTGAAAAGGGTTGTGTTTCTTTCTTTAGATGTGTGTGTGTAGATGAGTTGAGCAGCTTTAAATACCTGGGGATGTTTCTCCTCTCACAGCTAAAGTCACCTGACAAGTCTCCATAGTTGGCCCAGTTATGGATACTTGAGACAGAAATAAACTGAAAGACACACAACAAGGTTTAAGTACACGGTTAACTATATTTAAAGAACATAAAACTTTGTGAAAAAATACAAAGTGATCCCTTACAAAGAGAGACTTTTAGTTGGCTATCTCTAGTTGTTGTTTAAAGGTCACAAAAGCAATCACCTACAGACACACACACCAGAAACCTCAGTCACGACAGCAAATATTACCTCCTTGATGTTGGCAGTGGATGTATGGTCTCTGTGCAGCCTCGCAGATGGAGGGATCAGAGAGAGAGTGATCTGCTCATCCTGCAGAGAGACTTCATTCCGACTGTGAGAAAACCTGAGCGACCCGTTAGTCTATCAACACCCATCTCTGCTCCGTTTCAAAGAGCGGGACGATGTGAAGGAGACCGGCTTCGACTAAAAACGACAAAAACACGAATACAAAAATAGAACCTGGATTATCACAACGTCGCTGACTCCCAAACGACCAAACTCATCCCATAAACGAGACGAAATGGAGATATTTAAACAAAGGTTGGCCACTTTTAGCCACTGTTAGCTTACAACAATCGCAAACATCAAGCTAACTATATGTAATAGTATGACTTCCGGTTTGTATTTTCAAGTTAAAATGTCTCAACTGATATTTTGCAACGTGGCAGTAGGTTGTGCTCTAATTTAGCAAATTATTTAAAGAGATATTCCGGCGTAAAGTTAGTTTAGGGTCGAACACACCATAACAACGAGTTAGACACCCCCTAGAGAGATGAATGTTGCAGACCGCAACGTTCTACTATTACTATTCTACTATTACTCTTAGTTTTTTAAATTTTTCTTGTTACATTTTTGCTTTGATTAATGTTGTTGTTGTTTTGAACATTCTCACTGGTCCTCACATAGAGGTAATGCATGATCATAAAAACATTTGTACGTTTTTACCAATAAAATGAGGAAAAGTGTAATATTCAAGTGTTTTATCCCAACTGTTCATAGAGAGAATATCAGTAGTTGAAGCTATTACGTACAATTAATGTTGTTTGTTTGTTGTTGTATATCTCACTTTTTTATTATTGTCATTTTTATATATGTTGAAAATAAACTTCCATAAAAAAATTTTAAATCCTCAGAGCAGACAAACTTAATTTTCGTACCTTTATTTTGAAAGTTTCGTTTCCGTATTAAGTGTTGTGTTGTGGTCTACACAGAGTGCTTGACGAAGCTGGTTCATACCGCCCTGCTCCGGATCTGTGGTCTGTCAGCTATGCTGCGTTCATGTACCATAGGAAATAATACCACCGTTAGGGGTTCAGTGCACATGTTCAAGCGCTCAAATTGTAAACAAAGGAGGAGGTCGCCCCCTTTTTTTTCTAGTATCTTTCTGCATGGATTTCACGCGAACTTTTCGTGACAAAAGACGAACAATGAAGAAAATAGTAGTGTATTTCGGTGCGTACACTATCTGATTTTACTTCGGGTATCCCTGTGTTAAAATATATTTGTAATGCGCATCGGTGTTTTTACATTAGTGACCGCAGTGGTAATCGAAATTATGAGTAAAAGTATTTTTTTTTTACCAAAGTGAATTACTTTGACAATAATAAAGTACTTTTATAAACAAAAAGTCGCCCAAATAGTTTCACTAACCCGCAATTTAGGAGTTTCCGGAGTGTATTTGATGCTGCAACGGCGTGTCAGTGTTTACCACAGACTTAACACCGACTACAAAACCTCAGAAAAATTAAACCTCTAAGAAAAATGTACCATACAGTATCAAAGTGCCAACAAATGCAAACATACCGTGAGCAGAAATCGCTTCACTTGTTGGTTTTCGGTTGGTGCGTGATTAGTTTAAGGACCTGCGGCAGCGACGGAGCTTTAAATAGAAAAGGGTGTTCCCGTAATGACGTCATTCATACTGTATCCTTGACAATTGTGCGAAAACAACCCCCCACCCCCAACACACACACAAACGCACACATTCAGACAGGCTGTAAATAAATCACGAAACTCGCAGGTATGTGTCTGGATAAAGTGTTTCCACGAAAGCGTACAGCGACGTAACCCAAATGTAAACACTCGACAGCAAAGTTTCCGGACCCGCGTGGGTTAAACACAGCTGCTCGATTTTCAGGATTTGGTTTTCTAGGAAAACAGGAATCAGATGATCAAGTCACTGGAGGTCACGTGTATCAGGTTTACTAACCTGAGGAGGTTTCTGCCATGAAGACTTTTACTTTAGGGGTCAAAATAAGTCCTGCTCTGCATAAAACCTGGAGAAGTTTCATTTGTTTCATTTCAGCAATTTATGGTATTTACTTATATCCTCAAAGGGATCTTCCGTTGTAAAATTATACCAACTATTTTACCAATTATACCAAGTTATACCAACTTTAGTAACGCCATCAACATATCTCAACCAAAACACCACTATATAGCCACAAATAATACCTCCAGCAGCTGCTTGTGTATAGCGAGACCTCAGGTCGGTCTATTACGGACTACAGTGGGGTGTCACAGCTCAAGGAAGAACATTTATGATCATTATTTAATGGGAATGCAATCAGACCAAGAAGCTATGGCAGAAGAACTACCGCGTCTGCAGTGCAAAATGATTAATATGGCAATCATTACGTCAAGCAAATGATAAAGAAATGATCATTAATGTTCCTACTTGAGCTGCGTCACCCCACTGTGGTCCGTAATGGACTGGCCTGAGGTCTCGCTACAAACAAGCGGCTGCTGGAAGAGAGTTTTGACATCTAACTTTACCATCCCATATATTCAAAAATGTTTGGTGTAGCATGAAAAAGGTGCATATTACACAAACACTCATGCTTGTGTTTGTTTTGTTGACTTGATGGTTTTGGCAATTCCTCACTCTCATATTACACAAGACAGTCCCCAGATGAAGTGATAATTCGGTGAATCAGTAAATCTTGGTGGACAGATTGGCTCAATTTCAGCACCTCTGATGTGTTTCAAAATATCCAACCATCCAATAGATGATGCTGCAGCAGAAAGAGGAGTGTTGAGAATTGTGAGCTTCTTAGTTCTTGAATGGAGTCCCCAGTTCAGAGAACTAAACTGTGGCCAGGAGCTCCCTCTTGTGTTCAAACGGAAACATTCACCATGCCATCAAGCGCCAAGACAGAAAATAAAATTGCAGTAGATTGAAAATTGTCACTTCATAATACTTCAGCTTCTTTACTGTATTATCTCTACTCTGTAATAAAGAGAATAATGGAAATCCAATATGCCAAGCAGATTCAAAGCAGCTGAGTCCTCTTGTGAGGTAGGGATTAGTCATGTTATGGATCCATCTTTGATGAGGCAGGGTCAGGTCTCAGGGCGGGAGGATAACTCACTGGAGTTTCCTGCAGTGACTGTCTCAAGCATGAAAAGTTCAGAGAGTACATGAACTACCTTATCTTTCCTCTAGAGTCTAAAATGAGATCAGCGCAGGAAAAAAAAAGTATGAGTGGGGCAAAAAGTGAGGGGATTGGAGAGGCGGGTGAGGGCTTGATAAAAGGAGGGAAGGAAATAGAGAGAAATCCTGATGAATGACGAGAGACTGCAGCTTTATGAATATTTCAGACTGTTTCTCAACACTCAGCAGTGCTCTCATTACAGATCACTTTTACCAGTCAAAACTCAGCTCAGCTTTCTGTACAGACTTACACATGGATAATTATGGTTATCATGTTTTCTAAAGAAGAAGAAGCAAAATACAAAACAAAAACAAAACAATCGTTATTTTACATGAATAAATCACAAGTTTATGAAGTTATAGGAAATACCAGGTTTAAACTTTATACATTTACATATTAAAGTATCTGTATTACAATTTCTATAATACCTCACCTATGACTCTTATTGCATTTTAATGGATTTTTGAAGTATCCCACCATCAATATTCAGAAATAAGACAAATAATACGTTGCAGACTTGGAAAAAACATGTTGAGTTGTTCCATAAATCTTTAAATATACAGGAAAGAAATGGAAATTTGCTTGTTGTATTATTAATGAATATAAACAATGTCTTTATGAGGAAATTTGAACTATAGAGGATAATAAAAAATTAATATCCAAACCAAACAGCTTAAAAAAAAGGTAAAATAATCAATCATGTATATTAAAAACACTCACACCTCATAGATAGGGGGAAAATGTATTAGTTGTGATTGTTGGTCCCATAACATTTGCTGTATGTGTGTCTTGCTGTTGTTGTAAAACGAGTTAAAATTGACAGATTTAAAAGAGAAATGGCTCCCTGACAACATGTCACAGAGGTCGGTTCAAGTGTTAGTGGATTAACATGAAATCTGTCTGCCTTTTCTCTGTCAAGTGGGGATTATGAGTCAGATTCTCTTCAGCCAGAGAGGTGATTCAGCGAGGATTTCCGAGCAATGCGGTTTGAAATATATCTACTTCTGCGCTTAATGAAATGAAATGAAAAGGAATACTTCTCACTGCCCACCATAAGAGCCTGAGGCTTAACCGGCCTCATATTAAAACAGAGTACTAGTGTCACTGTGTTGTGTAAGATGGCGATAACACCATGTTTTCTCCACCCAAACTTAGTGTATTTTAGTTTCTCCAGAATCTGAGTGCAAACACGTGATAAAGATTCAAATTCATAACTCTAACAAATATCTTGGTGACATTTAGAGAGAAATAAGTGCTTTAATGTTTGCACAGTGGAAGATTTTGTCTTTTGGGAGTGCTTTAAATTCAGCTTTGAGCCAAAATAGAAAGTGTGTATTTTCCTCTCTGATGCTTTCATGCGCAGAATTGAAAAATAACCCATAAATACTTGAATTCTAGCCCACGGGGCAGCGAAGTGGTACAAAACCACTGCAGTGCAAATCAATTTTGAGTTGAAGTCACATCGTTACTCAACCTAAGAGATGCCAGAAGAATAATATGGACCCATGTGCTCTTTTATTAAATGTTAAACATCTATGGAGCAGTCTTTCACATTTGCCTGCAGCATGATCCATGTCTACAAGTCAAATCAAACAATCCTTTTCTTTATCTATCTCTAAACCGCTTTCCTTACTCCATTTGAATCAACATTTGTACAAAAATTAAAGATAAAATTGTCGTTTTAAGGCTTTCAAGGTTCTACAATATCTCATAAAGTGCCTGAAAGCTTGGAGGAGAGATGATATAACATAGATTTCAAACAGAGAGATTAGAAGCAATTCCTCCAGGCTGAAGCCTCTGATGGAAAAAGAAATCTATAGATGTGGTTCTGCTAGATTTGAAGCTTTCCCTGATGAGCAGAGAGCGGCTGATCTATGATCGCCCCCCGCTGATGTGCAAAGAGTTACATAAAAACCTTTTGAGAATAACTGCGCACAATCCTTCCCCAAAAGACCATCATAGAAATTCTAATATTCTGTTATGTGATCTCAATGAGGTGAAAAGGAAGCATCTAAGGGAGGGAAAAGGTAATATATTTACAAGTGCAGTTTACACTTGGGCTATTGTACCACTCTGAAATAACATTAGAGTGTGCAGCCAACCATTGACCAGAGGTCTAAATAGGCCCGAGGGAAAACTGATGACTCCACAGATCGGAGTGTTACACCATCTCCCACCTGCCTGTCAGAGCGTGAGAGACAGAGGAAATGAATACAGATTAAGACAAAGATGAGGCATCAATGAAAGGCAGAGGCTGTGTTATCTCTGTTTGCTTTCACAGGAGGAAACACGACAACAGCTAGAGGGTCTCTGCTGCTGCTGCTGTGTGTGTTTTTTAAGCAGCTGCCTCCATCAGTGAGAAGATAGTGTGATAACAAATTTATCCACAGGCTAAATTTAATTTCCTTTGAAAGACGAGAATGAAGAGGAACGCATTATTCCTGTTTTCTGTCAGCGTGTGTGTGTGACCTCTGCGGTGGAAGAATTCTGAGAAACAGTGGGACACAGTCACACTTTGATGGCTTAGTCGATCTTCGTAATGGACGCTGACAGATATTGATGCCAAAGTTCACATTCAGGTATTTTTAATTTGTGTAATTTTGTGATGCACATGAGATTAAATTTCCTTTTGTATGTAGGACTGTGAATATGAGTAAAGTTCATGTAAGGCCACGTAAGAGTGAAATATTGGGCGTTTTTCTATGATTTAAAAGGTGACATACCGCTATATTGGGATTTCTTTTCTGCCTCCTCTTTATTTTAGCTTCCTGTATCGATTTATCTTGCTGCTATGACGAAGTTACTCTATATGATGACTGCACTGAGATGACTGTATTTCCATTTTACTCACACTTACAGACACAAACTTTAAAAACTCACTCCAGTGGATGAAATCCACTTTGTTATGCTTATATGGACATGACTGTTGCATGAAGGGGCTTTAGTGTGATGGGTAATGCTAATGTTTGATTCAAAGGTCATGGGTTCAAATACCAGCACTGACCCATACATTGAAAACTAACATGATTTAGGCGCTACCACAGAGTTCCGGACCGTGCTTTTGTACCAACAATGTCCAGAAAGAGATCTTAGCAACTTATAAGCATACTTTTCATTTGTCACAATAAATAATAATACAATAATATAAGCCACCCCGAGAACAGCACCCTCTGGTGACGGGCTGCAGTATAGGTCATGAATCCCGCCTCCTCCAGCAATCCCTATGGAGCTGTGGACAAACTTAAGAAATTAATTACACAAAATTTAGATTTTTCTCCCCCCCTGCTTGTGATGTTGACATGTAGTTACAGTAAGACTGGTTTGTGCTCAAGTCCTCTTTTTTTCTGTGCAGCTCCATTTTTAAAAGTTATTAGGGGGTTCATGTTTTCTATGATTCACACCTAGATTGCATAGCTCACCCGGGGGATACGCCGTTTGAGCCGAGCGTCATCACAGCAACTTTCGGCGACTCCCCCACTGAATGCTTACAACACTACTGCGCAATGCTGGTTTCAGGAAATGGAGAAAAAATTGCGGAAATACTGAGAGCTTTTCAGCTTCAAATCCGTATACTGGCAGAAGGCGGAACCAAGTTGTCCATAGTTTATACAGTCTATGGTATCAACATGGTCAATAAAGAGATCTTAGCAATTTCTAAGATTACTTTTCATTTGTAACAATATCTGTTGAACAATGAGTGAAAAATTATTGCGTTAAAGGCTTGTTTGTTAGAGCCCTATTTGTAACAATGACCCAAAATGTAATAAAACCAGAAATGTAATAACTGTTTGATAACGTAACAAGATCCCAAACCCTAAAGATAATAAATTTTTGCCCAAAATGTAGAACTTGTTACATTTTGGGTTTAATTACATTTTAAAATTACATTCAGGCTCAACACCGTGTTACATCATTGACAAATTGTTGCATTTCTGGCTTTATTACATTTATTTAATAACATTTTGGGTCATTGTTACAAATCAGGCTCTAACAAGGCTTAGGTCAGAGCCAGTAAAATGATGAAAAACAACTTGATTTTATTGTTGTTCATTTTTGCTGTTTTTATTTGTTCATTTGTTTGTTTTCAAGACAGAAAATTAGGAAATGGTGCCGCAAGTTAGATATATGTACAGTATTTCTTAAGGGTGACGAGGTTCTCCTACAGCATGTAGCGCACTAGGCTATCATTTTTATCACCCATGCCATAAAAGTAAAATAAGTAATGTAAAATTCCTGAGAGGCCTTTAAATAAAAAAAAGAAAAACAGCAGCATGACCTTCAAAAAGAGACAAACTCAATTCTCACTTCATCACACCTACTGTGGTTCAGACTTCAAAAAGAAAATTCCTTTATGACCTCTGTGTCATTCGGCTGCTGCTCACTGTGTGACGTCTGATTGTCTCCAGACTTGCGCCGAGTCCTGTTACCCTTCTGCGGGCAGAAGGGGATATAACGAATCCATGACTTAGATGAGAAATAAGAGGTTATACCAAATGGGAGGTCGTACACCTTGTCAATAGCCAGCATGTCGCCCGAGTCCTCAAGATTGGATTCATCTGAGGGCAAGAGGCCGCGTTCACGTTTAGTCCCTGAGACAGAAACATCGAAGTCTATTAGAAATGAACACGACTCCATATTTAAGTCACATTTCACTTAAAGTCGGGGAAGAGAGAAGTTTCAACCACTAACAAAGCTCCACTATAGCTTACCTGGAATTGTGTTATCCAGGACGAAGCCGAGGAACCCTCCTACGAACATATGTATGGACAACAATATGTTGATCACCTGGTCCAACTCTTCAATACCTGAGTGCAAAAGAGAGAGGAAATAGTGCTATATCATAAAAAAAAAAAACCTGAAATCCAGTTACAAGGGGATTTTCTTACTTTACACACCTGTTTTGAAGAAATCAGGATTCTTCATGACCCAGTTGGGGATAACAAGTCCAGTAAAGACGGAAAACCCAAAAACAAACAAGTTCCTGTGGGAGTTCATGTCTGTGGTCTGTAAAAGGAGACATGTCAGCCAAATCCAGAATAGCTGCATGAACATGGAAGCTGTTTTACAAGAGTTTTACCTGCAGGTTGGATACTCCTGCCGCAGATATGACTCCAAACATGATCAGGAACATCCCACCAATCACAGGAGTGGGGATGGTTGTAAAGATGGCTCCAATTTTACCCAGCATCCCCATCAAAATCATTAAAACTCCACTTATAAAAATGACCATCCGGCTGCCCACCTGGTGTGACACAATCAGGTTGAAATATGAACATTTATGAACATGTGTATAAATTCAACACTCCAGGGTTAGATGTCAGTATTTATTAAGAGAAGTCTACCTTGGTGATACCCAGGGCAGCCACGTTTTCGCTAAATGAGGTAGTGCCGTTCCCCGAGCCGAAGGCCCCTGCCAACAAAGAGCCAAGCCCTTCGATACCGATGCCCCGGTTGATGGCGTGCTTTGGAGGAGGACGGGCCCCTGAGAGCTTGGCACATGCGTGATAGTCGCCTACAGACTCTGCCATGGAGCATATTATACCAGCCATGATGCCCAACACACCTGCCAGGCTCACGGTGGGAAGCCCCCACTGACCTGAATGAAAGTGATTTCTCCACGTTAAAAGTGAATATTTGCTTCTACCTGATAGCCACAAAAATAAGACGTTTGACTGAAAGAACTCTTAGGTAAAAAGTGAAATGGTGGTGATGGTATTCTTGAAAAATTACCAGGATAAGGAACCGAGAACCAAGCAGCCTCGCCCACCACATTCCCCTTCACATCGGTACGAGCCAGGTGGCCGTAATGGTCTGGATTAGATGGTAGGACGTCATAGATGGTGAGAAGGTAGCAGACCAACCATGACACCAAAATGCCCAGCAGAATCTAATAAATATCTGATATTAGTATCGGAGTCAACATCAATGTAATGTAGTTATCCAGCAATCTGTGTAATTTAGTGTTATTGCTTTTCGACAGTATTTAGTTTAATTTTAAAGGGGAGGATAGTGGGAAAATAAAGTGAACATACAGGTATGGACTGGAAGATATAAAGCTTTGAGACGTGCAGTTTCTTGGCTTTGCTGTACGCAGGAAAAGGGATTGGTACACGGTGGAGGTACTGGGAGAACAGGATGATCAGCACTGTTGTCCTGCATGTATAAGAAGAACTGCCCTTAGTATATGGTAAAGAAAAACGAGACTGATATCATACATGACAGCCAGTGCCAACACCACTTCCTATGAGGGAAGATCTGACTTACATAGCAGAGATGCCCCAGTGGCTGCCAAGCTTAGTTCCAGCTGAGTCGTACAGCGACAGGCCAATGAGAGAGACCGTAGGGGCAATAGTTAATGGACCAATGAAGCGCATGAGGAAGCCGATGAGACCGGAGAAACCGACCAGGATCTGGAGCAGGGAGGCCACCATGATAGAGCCTTGTAGCTGCAAACAGGAGCACAGAAATTATCTAGTCCCACCACTCAGATAGACCACCTGATCAGCACCTGGCTACGGCAGAAACCACAAGAGCTCAGTCGAATAAGTCATGTCATTCAAAATTTCTGCTTCCTAATTGAACTGCAGTAGTAAGCCATGTTTTAAGTTAAAGGGATCTTCCAGCACAAAATTAAGTTAGGGTCAAACACACCATAACACCAAATTAGACACCCCCTCGAGAGATAAATGTTGCTGACAACTTGCTTCTCTAGTTATACCAACTTTAGTAACGACTGCAGGATAGCAAGAACCACACACAAACCTCAATCAAAACGCCACTCTATAGCCACAAATAATGCTCAGAACAGCACCTAACTTCATCAACAGAACATATAGGGTCCCAGCCATAGCACCAGCCACCAAACATTTTTTTAGCTTTGCCTAATTTCTTTAGCAAAGAGACTAAACACAACTCACCTACTCTCCTCCAGCAGCCGCTTGTTTGACCTTCGGGCAAGTCCATCGACTGCAGCGGGGGGACGCAGCTCAAGGAAGAACATTTATGATCACTACTTTATCATTCCCTTGAAGTAATAATCATCATCTTAATCATTTTTCACTGCAGACGCAGAAGTTATTCTGCCTTAGCGTCTCTGTCTGATTGCATTTCCATGAAGAAATGTTCATTAATGTTCTTCCTTGAGCTGCGTCACCCCGCTGTAGTCGATGGACTCACCCAGAGGTCTCCATAAAAAACAAGTGGCTGCTGGAAGAGTGTAGGTGAGTTGTGTTCAGTCTCTTTGCCAAAGAAATCAGACAAAGTTAAAAAGATGTTTGGTTGCTGGTGCTGTGGCTAGAACCCTATATGTCCTGTTGATGAAGTTAGGTGCTGTTCTGAGCATTATTTGTGGCTATAGAGTGGCTTTTTGGTTGAGTGCGTGGCTCTCTGTATTGCTATCCTGCGGTCATCACTTAAGTTTGTATAACTAGAGAAGCAAGCGGTTGGCAACACTCATTGTTCGAGAGGGTGTCTAACTCGGTGTTACAGTGTGTTTAACCCTAACTTAATTTTACGCCGGAATATCCCTTTAAAACACAATTAACTACTGATTATGTTAGCTTACTGATCTCAAGCGGGTCTGCCACACTTCAATAAAGTCAGGTGAGGAGGGGTCGACCAGAGTGGAATTCTGGGTCCAAGCTGGGCACCTCCACTCCGGCAAGGACAACATGGCCATGGCGGGTGTTACTAAAGCAAAGGTACCACCCTGCAGGATGGGAAGCCTACAAACAAACATAAACAGTACAAATAAGGCAAAATAAAGCATTAGATGTAGATTCCTATATGACTTTCATTCATATTGTGTCCATTTGTGGCTGGATTGAGAACATTATTATTCAAATTTATAGCAGATGGGGTGAATATCTATGTCCTCCATACAGCAAATTTGATGAAAATGTAGCACTTGAGGGGCTGCCCCGTCAATCTGACCTGACGCCGAAGGTGACCTGCAGCACGGTGCACAGACCGGAGACGAAGAAAATGGTGTTAATGAGGCGGCTCTGAGTCAGGCTGTCGTGCTGCAGACACAGTCCCTCGGACAAAATGAGAGGAATGGAGAGGATGCCGCCGAACGCCGTCAGGTAATGCTGCGCAAAGAGCAACAGTGATGAAAAGGCAGAACTGATTACAGCAGATACATTAACAAACAGTGACATTTCCTTTCACCGTATTGACTCAAGGTTGATAAAAGTTGCTTTCATACACTAATTGTGGTATTTTTTATACTTCTTTCATTGAACAACAACGGTCCATAACATTATACAGTAGGATCACACACACCTGCATGGCCAGTAATAGACAAAGGTACCAAGGGGGAACATCAGTCACACAGTAGAGGGGTTTATTTCTGTCCTCCTCTGCTCCATGCTTGCTCTTCTTCTTTTTCTTTCCCTCCTTTTTCTTGGGTTGATAATTAACTTGTTCTTCTATCTGTGGCATCATAAAAACATACAGACATAAAAAACAGACCTGAATGAATAGACAAGAGTTAGGAATACAATACTGTATGTCAATCATGGGTGTTTTTTTTTATTCCCATTACAGTTTATTTCTATTTACACTGAAATAGTTTGGTTTTAAGTGTACTTCAAGTGTGGAAAGTGACAAATCAAATAGAATTAGAAAAGAAATAGAACTTTTCTCAATCCAACAAAAAGTTAGTCTTAATGTGTGATAGTTGTGTGAAGTTTAGGCTGAAGTTTCTTGACTAATAGGAACTTTTGACCAAATAACTTTTTCATTTTCAAAATTTACTGAAAACCAAGTCTTTGCAATCTACTCTTTTAAACAAGGAAATTAAAAAAATAAAATCAAACTTTTTTTTTCCTTAAAAGTTAATAATTAGGCATAAAACTGAAGCACTTTGTTTGGTATTTGGTAAGAAGAAGTCCTTGTACTCACATCTAACGCAGGATTTTCAAGCCCAACGATTTCTTTCTCTGAGGCCATGATAAGTCAAGTTCAGTCTGGCACTTTTTCATGCCTTTAGATGCTGGATTACCACCAAAAGGTGCGTTCAAAACTCATGGCCAATGAACAGTTCAACAAACTGATAAGCAGTCAAAAAAGGAGGAGGAGGAGGAGGTTATTGAGTTGTAAAAGTGTCCTGGGGCTAAAGAAAAGTGGCATAATTTCAGACTTAACCTAACTGAATTTCCAGTTGAAGTAAGGATTGTGTAATCTCAGGACAGAGCTCACAGATGACTGAGTAACATGTTTAAGTTAATTATTAGTAATTCCTTTCACAAAGCGGGATCCCAGGTCCACCAAACCTCAGGGTGATTATTGCAACATACGTTTGTTTATGTGTTTATGTCGGATGGCTGTCGGCCAAGGGGTGCAGTTCTGCTGAAGGTTTCTATCTGATAAAAGGAAGTTTATGTTTGCTCATTCACAGGTTAAATTGAGTCTGTGCACGTGAGCTGCACAGTATTGCTCTGATAACAGGATTTTTTTATTGTTATAACTCTGATAATGCAATTAATACAACTTGCTTTCATTTTCTCATAAACAGAGGCATGCATCAGTGCAGGATGTTATCTGCCATTGTTCACAGAAAAGACCCACTGAGCAATAGATGGCTAGTTTTTTATTAGACTTAATTTCAGCCATCTAGATTCTGTATATTTTTAGATTGAATTTAGACGTTGCATTTTAACCCATAATTGAATAACTATTTATTTAAAAAAGTAACTGTGAGTTGCATAACTGATCTCTGTGTGCTTTACCAAAAAATAATTATGATAGCTGTTGAGCAATATAGAAGTGTAGTATAGATATAGCCCAGATTTTGACTTGGTCTAAACTTGGTCTAAATTTAGACGTCTACAAAAACTTTCATTTTTAGACCTGTGGTAGTCTGATTTTAGACCAGTCTTCTAGGCTACATTTAGACGTCTATTCGATCTCTTCTAGACCAAAAAATGCTCAGTGGGGAAGTACAAGCACAGCTGCAACAAGCTAATGAGGGTGTGAAAATGGTGTCACAAGTGTGGATGTTTTTACCTGATTTGGAGAGGGATACATGTTTGTGATTTACAAAATATGTGTATGTATTCTTAGAAGTTCAAATTTTAGCACAACATGAAAAAGACGGTGTGTTAAAGAAATAAAAAGCAGCAGTATCTGGTGTCAGCACAAGCTCCGTATCACCAATTCTTTGACCTGTAGACAAAGCAGTCTCTGCTTATCTCATCCTGTTGATTTTTGACAGTCATATATGTCATCTATTCTGAATAATTTGGGTGACACCTAACCCCTCACACCAGTTTCAGGCATTGAAATTGTAAAATACAAACGTTGATCTAGTTCCTGATGGTTTTGTTTACTTTTGGATACCATGAAAAGGCATCAGTGTGAATTTCAGACCATTATGCAAACATAAAAAAACTCCTCAGTGGAGCTTTAAATCACAAAATATCAAAACTAACAGGTTATCTTACTGAAAACAGCCACTCAGACAATATTGTGGCTATCAAAACTAAATTAGACACTGAGGCACTGAATCCAAGAGGGATGCATTAAATTTTTACTGCAGCTCTAAGATATTTATTTCCCTTTTCAGTCAATCAAACTTTGAAACATGCAATTGAAGTAGATTTTGACTATGTGAAAAATATCTGAAATATCAGCCCCTGAACCAAGCAAACAATTCCCTGGCAGGCACAGGTGACATCCATTCGACAAGTAGTCAGCCCCGGTGACACACCCACATACACAAAACTCTGAGTCTGACCACCAAGGATGGATAAGTTGGGGTAGATTTCTTGGTTTTATAGTTGTCCTCTCTTTAAAAAAGTGTGACCAGTTCACTTTTAAAATCTACTTGCATCATGCTGGAGTATAAAAAAAAAAGTTCTCTTAACCAAGAGCTCAAAGAGAGCACTGACAGCCTCAGCGGGATGGTTTGTCTGATCAGGGTTTGCGTTTAGCGCTTACCTCAAACTGTCAGCCTCGGTAGATGGAGAGAAATTGGGGAGATGGCGAGATAAAGAGATTTAGGGCCTTCAAAGAGGAGATGTTTGCGTTGCTCTCGGAGGGAAGAGAATGTAGAGAGCTGATAAAAATCTCTCCGTGCCGGGCTGATGAATGTGATGAGGCAGGAGCAGCAGCTCAAATTGTCATGTGAAAACACTCCGCTTTCCGGTTTTATAACAGAAAATTTAAGCGGGGTCAATTGCAGTGCTTCCCCTTTTGGCTCGCTGTTGGTCAGGGTTTGATGTCAGGTCAGAGTAACCCAGACTCACTAACTCCTCTATACAGCTCTTGTCTATAAAACACAGAGAGGCTGAACACGATTTTCCCTTTTTCCAAGATAAATTAACAGGATGAAATCAGTCGAAACAGGATAAAATCAGGTCAAACTGACACCACACTTATCTGCAACAAAGAGTGGAGAAACTAGAGTCAGTCTGTGCTTCTGTAATCATGGTAAAATGTACTGGTCTATACTGGTCTACTACAGCAGATTGCTTCTTCTCTTCTAGAGTCATTTATAATCTAAAGCAGAACGGTTTTAATGCCATTGCCTGCGATGTAGCACATCATTAACTCCCTGGGACATTCAAACAGATAACGCCGCTTTATCATTTTGTGATGGAGCAGGATAATTTTTCATATTTTGAGCCTACAGACGGTATTAATCCAATTTGATGGCAGAAAAGCAGAAGTGCACTCTGTAATGGGTTATTTTGTCTGTATTTAGGACGGGAATCATCTGTTAGATAACTGCTGCTGATAATGAAAGCTAAGCACAAAGAGAAAAAAAGACTTCCAGAAGTTTCACAGCCCTTAAAAACAAACTCTTGCCCTCTTTGGCTGCAAACGCACTCCTCATTTTGCGCAGACTGCTCGTGACACACTCCGACAGGGAAAGGTATGATGCAGAGATGTAAACACGGGGGTTTGAGGGCAGCGAAGAACATTCAGTCAGCAGATGTCACAGCACATAAAGTATTTGTTCAGCCAACAACAAGCCATTGTCTCTCAGCGGATCCTCAGGGTACGAGTAAAAGACTCCTCATAGGAGCCTTTGGTGGCAGCATATGGCACTGAGGCTGCTGCATACACTCTGGGTCGTGCATCTTTTTTATCCCTGTGAGAGAAAACACAATGCAACATGTTTTTTTAACTTCCTAACATGCACACAAGTAAATATTTAATGCTAATAACTCCAGAAACAGATATCAAAAGGATGCTTACATGATGCTTACAGTTTTGTTGTCTTATTATATCATTATCTTGCTGTCTCCTATCATGGATCTTTGTAGAAATAGTGGGGCATCCGTGTCTTTCCTCAAACAGACCAGCACAGTGCCAGCCTAGCCTGAGGAGGATTTGCAAGTTTGGCTTCATCCATGCATGTATTTCTTGCCCAAACTCCTCCAGCTGAGTAAAAATCTGATGAAAGGCTGACTGGCTGATACTCGTGTCCAACTGAGGAGCGAGACCCTTTTTGAGGCAAACAAGTGCCAGCACCAATCCGTTTAAATGAGACGTCAAGGTGAGAGAAACCAAAACAAACTGGCATCAGTGAGAGTGTAAGTAAAACATGTCCCAAATAAGACTTTAGTTCATATTCTATCCACGTATAATCAACTTTTCTTTCTTTATGTTTTTCCATCTCTCTCTTTGTACACTCCAACACCCTGAACTGCATTCAATTAAGCAGATGTTAAACAGGATCTCAAATGAGGGTGCATAAATCATGTGTCTTGAATATTTAACCATCAATTTACACAACAAAAACAACAAACAGGTTCACTCCTTTGTTATATAAGCGCGGCGAGTGAGACAGATGTCCGCTTGGGTTTGATCCAATTTCTACAGTCGGACCTGGCAAACAAGATTCTCAGAGAGAGACGTTGGCAAGACTCGTTTTTGAGCTGCATTTTCTTCATACTCACAAAAAACATCTATAAATCGATATAGCATAGTACCACGATATTTTGTCTGGTGATATATCGTATCGTCTCATTTACCAAGTAGCGATTTTTTTCGAATTAATTGTTAATATAAAGTTAAATTTATGCTAATAGAAACATAAAATCAACTGTTTGTCCAGTGAGGTTGGCAGAGGTGACAACATAGAGCAGGAGAAAGTTAGTACAACAAAGATATTTAAGGTTTGCAAGATGTGCTACCTGAAAATAAAATACAGCGTAATTAAGACAAACATAAAGAAAAGCCAAATGCTAAATTAGCTAAACAGTTGAAAAAAATTATAATCGCGATATATTGCATCGCAATACTCACTGTATTGCAAAATGTTAAAAATTGCCGTAATATCGTATCGTGGCCCAAGTACCATGATAATATCGTACCATAGGGCCACTAGTGATTCCCAACTTGGAATCAACCCAACTTGGGTTGTTTTTTACCCAATACCAGGGTTGAAAAAGGACCGACTACTTATTGGGTTATTTTGACCCAGAATTTTGAGTTATTGAAATTAACCCAAATTTTGGGTTGACTCAATAACCCTTTTTAAGGGTGAATTCAATCGTGGGCCATAGCGCTAAGGTCTTGCCTAAGGACCATTGACTGTATATACTATGGACAACTTGGTTCCGTCTCCCGCCAGTATACAGATTTGGAGCCAAAAAGCTCTCGGTTTTTTCTGCGATTTTTCTTCATTTCCTGAAACCAGCATTGCCCAGAGTCGCTGAGAGTCGCTGTGATGACGCTCGGCTCACATAGCATATACCCCGGGTGAGCTACGCAATCCTTGTACGCCAATAGGCTGTATCAAGTGTCAATCAAGGAAAACATGAACCCCCTAATAACTTTTAAAAATGGAGCTTCTCTAAAGTTGGTCCACAGCCCCATAAGCTTTGCTGGCGGAGGCTGGATTTATGACCTATACTGCAGCCCGTCAACAGAGGGTGCTGTTCTCGGAGTGGAATCACCCAGCAAGGAGGCAGACGGCGTCCATTCTACATACAGTCTATGCCATGTCTCATGTGGGATTGGCACCCAAACCCCCCGGTTGGGAACCAGATGCTCTACCTGCTGAGCTAACCCAGTCACCCAATATATTTTGGAGTAGCTACCTCCATATGTATGTATATACAAGGTCACCGGGCCATTTCAATTGCCATTAGGCCTAGAAACCATGCAGAGTCAATCGAACCCAACGTTCTGACCCAATTATTGGGTTACTCGCAGAAAAATAACCCACAATTATTAACCCATTCAAATAACCTTCAAATTGAGTTACAATAGAATCCATATGATCCAAAAAATGGTATGGATCTGAAAAATAACCCCGAGAAATTTAACTCAACCCGTAAAACCCATGAACTGGGTTGAAGAAATAACCCAAGAGTTTTTAGAGTGCAAGCACCTCAACTTGAACAAATCCGAAGTGTTAGCATAGTTAGCCAAACGAGATTAGCTATTTACATCCAGCACAAAGGTTACCCATCAAACCAAAAGGCCTCGCTGAATGTCACTGTGAAGTCACCCTCCAGGCTCCTTCTAAAGTCTCCTAATAAACTCCTAGTGCAGCTTTTCAACAAGTGACAACCTTTAAACTTTTGAACCTGGGAAGGAATGTAAACAAAATAATCGAGTTTCCCTCCTTTCAGCTGTCTGGATCCCGACTCCACGCCGCTTGATGTCATCACGCCTGTGAACAGCGCTTAACATCAGTGTCAGTTTAACCAAAGAGTGGAAGAAGGTCAGACCAGGGGAGGAGGCTTCAGGGCAGCATCAATCATCTTTAATATCACGTCAGTAAGAGAGACCGAGACTATTAAACGGATTACATCACTCTCTCTGTTCAATTGTCACCTCACTTGTCAGTCTGAAGAGCTGAAGCTGTTCCTGCAGGTATTATAAAAGCCGCTTCCTGAGTCATTTATCCATAATTGCCTCATCCTAATTATGCATTGCAGGTTATTCCCAAGAGTATGAACAAAGATCCAAACAAGCCGAGGCCGCTGCAATCATTACCAGTAAACTGCAGTTTTGCACAACACTGTGTCTTGGGTCTTCTGCAATTAAAGGGGGGGGAAAAAAAATCAATGACATGAAAAGCCTGTGCTAATTTGTGAGCTTGTTACAGACAGTGTTTGAAGCTCTTGTACACACTGACTCCTGTGTGTGTGTGTGTGTGTTTGCAGTCAGGAATTACACTCAGAATGTGCAGTTTAATTTATAGGAAGGCAAACTAGCTTTCCAATACGGCTGGATTTATATAATGTAATTTTAGCGTTTATTTTATTGTACCTTTGAAGAAGAAACAGACTAAGAAATTAAAGGCGTCTCTCCTCTCTCTGGTAAGAAATATTGAAGTCATTATTGTCACAGTAGTACGAAGGCAGCTGCAGTTTGTCAAAATGAAAACGCTTATCAGAACACAATGGAGCAAAAGCATGAGAATTTGTAGCCGTGGGAGTATCTGCCTGGTCAGCTAAAAGTGCATCTGCGAGGTCAGGCACTGATGCTGGCTCGCTCTTGGAAGGCCTGGCTTGAAGTCAGGGTTTTAATTTCTCCCAAAGGTCTTAAATGAGGTTGAGGTTAGAGAAACCAATCCAGTTCATCTACCCTAAACTCATTTTACACTTATCAATAAATTAAGTCCATTAAGTGTATTTGACTGATTTCTAGTCTAGATCTCACTAAATTCCAGCGACACTGATCTGAAGTCCAAACTAAAATGATTTCAAGATATTACAGTCCTAAAATAATGACTTAAAAGTACAGTGTGTAGAATTTAGCAGTATTTGGCAGAAATGTAATTTTACAGGCATTAGTGTGTTTGAATTTGTGTATAATCACCTGAATATATATGAAAAAAATCACTTTAAAGTCCCACTCTGATTGTTTTTTACTACTTAAAGTGTTATCAGTGGTCTTTAAACTGTGATTATTGGGTTTTTAGCCAAAATCACATTACCCGTGTCATTTCCAAGCGTTTTTTTTCTGCAGAGCTCCAGGAGCTCATTAGCAATTAACCTCTGAGTCGTGCACACTTCTCTTGATGTTAGCTAGCAGACTAACATTGCTGGTTAAGTAGAAGAAGAAGGTAACATAGAAGCTATTCAGCTCTCGGATACTGAAGTCTTTAGAAGCATGATGAAAGCTAATATCATAATTAGCTTTCTTACAAGCTGAGCTTGGATTTGCAGTGTAGGAAAACTCACTGTATCTGAACCTTAGACTGTATATACTATGGACAACTTGGTTCCGCCATTATGCTATGGACAACTTGGTTCTTCATACGCCCATAGGCTGTTTGAGCACAAACCAGTCTTACGGTAACTAATGACCAATAACCGAACGATACTTGCGGTCACGTGACTTCTGGTTCCGATTTCTGGAGCAATTGAGTTTGTCCTTTGTGAATGCAAACCGGATCAGTTCAACAATCAAAACAAATGTATCGTCTTGCTTTGGATTCGGATCAGGAAACGGACCTTTAGGTGTGAACACGACCTTAGTGGGTGACTGTGAAATAAAACACAAGTAGGAAGACAATGAACAACAAGAAGTAGACAGGTAGTTGCTGTGCACAAATCTGTATTGACAGATGTTTGTGTTGGTAATAACTTGATCAATAGAGGACCTAATTATCATGCACCACAGCAGCTGCTTGTCCCCAGAGGCCACTAATGGGAGGAGTTATTATCGAGAGCGTAATGAGAAATTTTGAGATGGATACATTGGAGAAAAAATAGTTTGTTTGTTTTTACAGTGTTTCCAAGTCTTTATCATGCTAGAACAACAAAGGGCTTCTACTGTTACATTAGTTAAAAATGCCTTGCAGATTCTGATAGACCTAAAGGACCAAAAACCAGATCATTAACTTTAAAATCCGTCAACATAAATCTTTCAGACTCTCTGTCATAGATTGGTAGCAAAGGTGGCACCTTATGGTAGTGCAAAGTCTAAAACTGCTGTTGTTGCGTCGGTTTTATGCACCTGTAGGCATTGGATGTGGATGAAACACTTCTACAACTCACTACCAGTAAGAGAGACTCCTAAAATACAGCCATAAAATAAACATACTTTGGACTGAATGGAGCTGCTTGACCTCACCTGTTAATAAACCGTTTGAATGATTTTGTGAATAGTTTATATTGATCCAGCCTTCACAGTCATGCCTCTTCACAGCTGAGTTGTTTAATGGAGCTAGTTTGCATTAACACATATAAATCAATACTCATGATGACAATCCAGGGGAGGGAGAGGAATATGCAGCAACACTGTCCCATTAAATTTTCATTCCCTGCAGAGGTCTGGTACTAAAGGTTGGTAAACACCCTCTGTGCTGTTGCTTCATATCTTTTGTTATGTTTATATGGGAGATAAAATATGGATGAAGAACAGCCACAGCAGATAGTGTGAGAAAAAGCAGCTTTGTGTCTGAAAATCATTATTATAATTAGATAAACACCAAACTACTCCACTAGCTTTCCAGATAGTTAAATAGTTTTTTAAATTTATCCACAAATGATGCCCAAAAAGTTATGTTTTACGGTTTAGAAAACTGTCTGGGAGTAATTACGTCCCTGATGAAAACAAAATGAACTGCAAAACTTCCACAGCTTTAGCGGTTTTGCTCTAGAGAGTCCCGTATTGTTGTTGCTGAATAAATTCCCGTAGCTTTGCAGCACTTGGGACTGCATGTAACAGCAGTTTAATAAAAATAAAAGAAGATGGTTCTGAGGTGTTTGCATAAGCTGCTGGCACTATCAGTCAAAAACGAGGATTGAGCATTGCACTCAAAGTTCTTTATTAAGTAAGGATATATCTCCTGACCTTTAAAAAGATTACCTATTAAGTCATATATATGGAAATATTTGATTCAGATGTCGTCCTACACAGCTGTTACGCCTTCACAAGAAGATAATATGAATGTTTTGATTGTGTGATGCAGAAAAATGAATGTAATGATAGCTGCTAAAACCAAGATCATTAATTCTCATTAATATATGTTAGTTAAGTGTATCTTGGTGGCTTTTAACTCTTTGTGTGTTATTATATGACATGGCTTGTCATGATATGTTCCGTTAATTTAGTTTTTCCCTGGTTTTGTTATTTGAGTGTATTTTCTAAGAAAGAGGATTAGGGCCACATGAAGAGGGAAAAAAAATATTACAATTGTGAAAGTTGAAATTTCAATTTCATGTTGAAATGTTGTGAATAATTTTAAGATTAAAATAATTACAATTTCAAGATAAAAGTCAAAGTTCCAAGATTAAAAATTTATATTTTGAGATTTAAATTGAAATTTCTATATGACAAAATATTAACAATTATGCGGAAATTTTGAGATGAAAAAATTAAAATTTTGAGGTTAAATGTGAAATTTCAATATTACAAAATGTCATGAATAATGTAGAAATTTCAAGATTTAAAAAATTTAAATTTGAGACAAATCAAAATTTCGAGATAAAAGTCAAAATTTTGGGATTAAAAATTGAAACATTGAGATTAAGTCAAAATTTCAAAATAACAAATGTCAAGAATAATGTAGAAATTTTGAGATTAAAGTTGAAATTTCAAGATTAAAGTCGACCTGAATAAAATCAAAATCAAAATTTCAACTTTTTAAAATTTCAACTTTTATCTCAAAATTTCAACTTTAATCTTGAAATGGAAATTAATTAAAAAATCTCCCTCCTGTAAATATTTTCTTCCTTTCTTGTTGCCCTAATCCCATTTTGTAATTTTCTTTGTGTTTTTCCTTGTGTCTCTGTTCCCTATTGTTCCTGTGATCCAGTCTTGTGAGTTTTCATGTGTTTGACCCCATTTCCCCTCGTGTTCTCACTGTTTCCCATTTTATTTTGTAGTAGTTGATTCCTTGTGTTTCTAGTCTGGCTTTGCTTCCCTAGTTTTCCCTCCCTCGTTAATCACTTATGAGTTTCACCTGTGTCTCGTCTGCCTCACCTTTTGCTCGTTACATAGTCCCTGTCTTCCCCCCTGTCCTTGTTGGTTCATTGTATGTCAATGTGTGTGCATGTCAGCCTGTTCCCTGTAATCTTTTATGTGTGAATACTTCGTCTCCTGGTGTTTTTTTCCCCCAGTGTCTTTTGTTTGGATTTTACTTCTTGTGTAAGTTTTTTGTTGCTTTTAATTTTGTTCTTTTTAATAAATCATTTTTTGTTCTGAATTTGGGTCCTTTTTTTGTTATTCAACTCTGCCACATGACGTGACTAAGCTTTAAAAATGAGTCTACAACAGCTTAGACCTTGGCAACAACAATTACCAAGTAAACACTTAAAACTGCAATCCCTATGCACAGTGATGAAGCATACAACAGATAAATTACAAGTTTGGAGTCCTACAAAACTGTTTAACTGGGAATCTTGGGGCTGTTTCATTTTCCAACAGCATCAACTGTGCAGAGCAGTCATCCATTAGCGTGTGACTAACATCTCAGTAAACAGCAAAACCGCATTAAAATGAGCAGCCTCTGCAGTACTGTAAGTGCTGCAGGTGTCACATCAATAAGCAGACTGGCTGCGGGTGTGTTGGCTGGATGTATGGGTGGTGACATCTTCCATGACTCATAGCTTCGCCTGTCAAAATGTCAGTGGGCTTGAAGAGATCGTCCAGAAAATAAATTTATTCTGGATATGGAGCCGTCATAGAAAAGACCAGAATGATCCAAATATTGCCAAATATGTGCTCATAAAAAAAACCCCAAAACAACAGTATGACCCCTGGCTGTTTGGACCATTAATTTGCTCACCAAAAGACTAGAACCACATGGAGTCATCTAAGCAGCTTTAACTTTATTGGCCAATATCCAGCCAAATAGACTGTTCTGCTTCATTCTTAATTTATTCACATTCATCCTTCTCAAGCTGTACTCATCATTCCCTCCCTCAAGAGCTCATTAGAGACTCTACCTTTACTCATTTTACTGAACTGAAACAATTTCTCTTAGACACAGACGCATTAAGAAAAAAGTCCTCATGGGTGATAGTGAAGGAAGTCAGCTACCATGATAAGAACACACTCAAAAATACACATCAAATGCTCTGAGGATTGTCTTCTAGTCTTTATATCAAGTTTCCGCTGTTTCACCACTTTTTATCTTTAACTCAGTATTTTTTTGTATTTACAAAAGGGCTGAACGATAAAACGATAACGATATATATCAAAATTTAATTTAATGAAAAGGGGAGTTGCTCCGGGTCCGCTTCACGCTGAACCAATCGTGCTGAATTAGAACCAAGTAGCAAACAACTGTAGTAGCAGGCTGCAGCTACACACAACCATAGCACTCTGACATGTGAAACCGACAGCACTTATGACAAAACAACGAAGAGACACAAAGACGTCACAGATGTAGTAGCTTATTGTATTGCAAAAGACATGCTTCCAGTAAGCACTGTTAAAGTAATGTGCACTGCAAATTATATCGAGTGCATGTTCTTGCAAAGTCGGGGAATACCTCAAATCTTTTTCACCACCTGAAGCCATGCCACGCAGAAGAGCATGCGCAATGCGAAAGGTTACAAACCCCGAGCGGAGAAAGGAGCCCATGGCGCCTGTACAGCCGAAGCAGCCGACCATTCAGTCTGCTTTCTCTAGCGCAACGCCTTACGACAAAACGTCGAAGAGACACAAAGACATCACAGATGCAGTAGCTTATTGTATTGCAAAAGACATGCTTCCAGTAAGCACTGTTAAATTTCATTTAAGAGTAACAGGGAATGTTTAAGATTAAGATTGACTGATATTAACTTTTTCCCATATCGCCCAGCCCTAATTTAGAAACAGAAAGATACAGATAGAGCTGGAGGATCTGACATGAAAATCTCATAATTAAGTAGTCCTCATTATAATTAGCCCCCACCTGCTTGTCTGTTAATGAAGACATTTCAAACCATGTATTGCTCTATAAATCAGAGCTGAGCCCACCTTATTGGCTATTTCAATCCCACGCTTGATGAATGCATGAACAACAACACAGGCCCTTTGCAGTGACACCTGCGTGGATTATGTAGAAGCACAGAATCCATTCTTTGCTGCCCGTGCTCTCTCCTCTTTTTTACACTACTTCACATACAATTACAAGAGTCTGCAGGCGGGCTAGCAGCTGTGCTTCAGGCGCAGCTTTTGAGCAAAATGCTAATATCAGCAGTGCTACATGTACACATTTGCAACACTCACATGCAGTTATTTAGAAGATAATGCCTTCCATGTGAAACAAGAGCATCCCTGATGATACTTGTTGTTTGCATGTTCTTCTATCTTGAGTTGAAGCTGTACTAAGTTGAGTAAAACGAGCAGAACAAACAGACCCAATCTTCTACTCCTCAACAGGAAAAATTGTGGGGTTTCTCTGGGAGCCCAGCTGGTGCAAGCCTCCAAGATTAATCTGATCTCTGCCAGTCAAGCCAAGCGAGCGTGACTGCAGCTCCATGTCTCCCTCACAGAAAGCAAAATCAGGCAATCAAAAGAAAAAAAAAAAACAGAGCGAGGACGCAAACTGCAGGAGAATGTTTTCAACTAGTGTCTGCCACTAAAAGAAGATGAGCATGACTTGAACACTTTGGAGCAAAATTCAGCTTCTTTTTCAGCTTGACACATTTGATATCAACCAATTTAGTCAAACAAACATGTTCGTCCACATTTATTGTAAGTTATTAATTCAAATTAGTGAACTATAGCTCAAACAGCAGGGCAGTAAAGTAAAATTCAGAATGTTAGCTTGGTTCAAGATCAAGAAACCGCTTGAATAACTTTGTGACTTGTCAAGATACATCACAGACTGTTTTATTCCATGGTCTGAATGACGTTGGATAATAAAAACAAGATAATAACTCGAAAAAGTTGATTGTTAAGAAGACCAACAGTGTTGCTATCCTGATACAACAGTGCTTCTAAGGTGACTAAAAATAAATCGAAAAGGCATTCAAGGCAACTGCCTCTACACGAGGTTGACTATGGTAAAGGAGCAACAAATGACTGTTACATAACTCTATCTATAGATCTCAATCTTAATGATTTCCTTTTTATATTTTATAACTATTATGACAAAAAATGCATACACAAGACGGGACAAAGAATAAGAAAAGGCGACACAGACTGTTTTGTTTTGGGGTCTTTTGAAGGTTAATACTCTGGTATTCAGGTGCCACATATTGTGATTAGGTATTATGAGATGTTTGCTAATTAGTTTGAACTTTAGATTTTGCTAATGTCTCATAATTGTTTCCAAAAAAAAGAAAAGAAAAGAAAAATGGCTTTTTTCCTTATCAAAATGTCAGACCAAGCTGATGCATAACCTGAAAGTAAGCGTGTTTGACCACACACAGACTCCCCTATTATTCTTGGACCGTAATCAAAGTCTCTCTTCAGTCCCCCCACCCCACCAGAGATCAAAGCCTGGCCGAGGCTTTCATTCAGCTCATCCTCCGCCACTCTCCTTTTGTTCATACATGTAAACATAAATGGTCGGGATGAAAGGGTTTGTGTTCTCGCAGACAGGGACCGATCTCATAGAGTCGTGCCTGTCTGAACGCATCGAGTTTTCCCTTTTCTCTGTCTGCGAGCTCCTATATCTTCATGGCTCACTAAAATATTAATCAGGCCTGGAGCTGTGACAGTAAGGCCACAAAACGCATACACAGTCTCACACGTGGGCGCACAAGAATCCACGGACACACACATACACACACATTGTTCAGAGCATAGGACTTGTATAATTTAGTGCTTCAGTGCTTTTGATATCTAGTGGCTGGATAGCACACAGTGGAGAACTAAGCCTCAGTCACAGACATGACTTCCTCTCTGGGGACGGCAGAGGAAACTGCCGAGCACTGCGACTCTGCTGATGCTCCTGCGCAAAAATATGCCATAATCTATCATTCCCACACAGGACTGGGTTCACTGGTTGCTCCGGATCATTGCCTTGATGCCTGACGTTCCAGTTTTTATGTTCTGACCAGCAATTATTTCAGTTACCATTATGGGGCTTGTCCGCAGTAACGAAGATGGATGTCAGGAACAGTATAGCATAAAGGCACGAGGAGCGCGGGGCGAGGGAGCAGATTTATGGAGCACGATATTCTCATTTGGCTTGCAGCTGTTGCAGTTTCTGGCCGTGTGGTTTTCAAGACATGATTGAGTTTGAATGTACTTTGCCATACGTAAAGGTCAGCGCCGGTTGTGTAAACATCCCATGTTAACATTTTCATCCATATGCATCCGCTGAGGCCCATATATAAGGATATATGGAGATACATTGGAGAAGGTCGCACACAGTGAATTTCTGACTTTGTTTTTCTTACACTGGGCTGCAAAAATACACGCTAAGGGGAAGAACAAATTACACCACAAGGAAACCAAACAAGAAACACGCAAAGTGCCAAAAAAGAAGATGCCAGCAGTTGTCAGTTTGAATGTCCTGAGATTTGCTGAGCCGAGTCGACTGAGTCTGAGCTCTGTCACTGCATGTCGGCTCATCCCAATCCATTCAGTTTGTTACTGAGACAGCAGCAGTCACAGATTAAGATACGCATTTTCACGCACAACCTAGTTTTATGGAAAGTGGGGGATTAGGAGAAAAAGTTTGAAACTTGGATGCGAGTCTTGTCCTGACAGATATGGTTACACAAGACCTTGCAGGTGTTTCCAAGAGAGATAATTTTACTTTACCCAGCAGCTGAGGTTTTACAAACTCCTGCTGATAAGGTATAACCACTTAACCTTCTGACTTTAAAAAGATGCATACACTCCTCTTACACTGAAGAGTCAGGTCTTCCCATTAACGGCACGTCAACTGGGACTGAGGCACCCAGAGGAAACGGGCTGCAAAGCGTCTAGACTGAGGTTTTGTCAGCCTTCATGGCTGAACATGCCCTGTTTAACTTGTTTTAAATGTGTTACATGATGTCAAATTGAACTGTGCAAGCAGACAAGAAATGTAGGACAAGATTGCAGTTAAGAAAAAAGGAGGGATTACATAACTTCAGCCAGATACTGGGGGAAGCCTCTTCTAAAAAGGCAAGGAAAAAAAATAGAGCACTAGTGAAGAAATCTAATGCAATATGATAGAGCAATCCTGCAATAAACAGAGCTGCCAAGAAGGATAGGCTGTCTTTATGAAAGGGAAAAGGTGCAAATAGTGTGTATAACTTTCACAGTATAACTTCTAATTCAATTTATGTCTTTTTTTTAAACTTTATTTACTTTTCATTTACTATGAGCTGCCATGGCAACTGGATTTCAACAGTGAGGGATCAATAAAAGTGTATTATCTAATCTTATCTTCTCTTAACCCTAGAACACTATTGCTGGGGGATTTTCACCCGACCATACATGTTTACGTGATTTTCATTACGTTGCGTTTGTCTGAGTATCATGGGTCCCTGGGTGGCTTCAGCATTGCCTTTGACATCTTTGAAGGCATATTTGTTTCCCTGATCCAAAACCTGCTTTTTCCCCACAGGCATGTGTTCGGGTGATTTTCACCCAGCTATAGTGATAGAGGGTAAAGTAGGTTTGGGTGGATTTGATAGCTGGTCACTTTTACTCACTCAAAATATGCCTTATTTTGGTTCTCTCTCCTGCAGTTGTTGTTGTGCCAAGGAACCTGAGTCTTCACCAGGGAAGACCATAGACTGTATCTAGAATGGACACCATCTGCCTCCTGGATGGGTGAAGCCACTCCGAGAACAGCACCCTCTGGTGACGGGCTGCAGTATAGGTCATAAATCCCGCCTCCTCCAGCAATCCTTATGGAGCTGTGGACAAACTTTAGAAATTTATTACACAGAATATAAAAATTTTTCTCCCCCCTGCTTGCGATGTTGGAAGACTGGTTTGTGCTCAAGTCCTCTTTTTTCTGTGAAGCTCCGTTTTTAAAAGTTATTAGGGGGTTCATGTTTTCTATGATTGACACCTGATACAGCCTATGGGCATAGGAAGATTGCGTAGCTCACCCAGGGAATATGCTGTTTGAGCCGAGCATCATCACAGCGACTCTCAGCGGCTCTCCCAGCAAGTGCATACAATATTGCAATATTTTTTTGTAGGATGGCAGGGGGAAAGTCCCGCCTCCTTCACCTCTGATTGGCTGTAAATCTGGAAACATCATCACATGCACAAGCCAAACGCTGGCTGTCGGCTCCGTACATCAAACAGAACACTACAGAACATTATCACACCTCGGAATCTCCAAACCCTAACCTTAACCCGACAGATGATGATGTTTCGCAGCCATTGGGAAAAAACAATAGGAGCCCAGCACTTCTAGCCAATCAGAGGCGAAGGAAGGCGGGACCTTCCCCTACCATCCTGAACGTCATCACTGTGACTCTCGGCAACTCTCCCGCCGAATGCGTACAACGCTACTGCGTAGTGTTGGTTTCAGGAAGTGGAGATAAAACGCGAAATTACCAAGAGCTTTTTTGCTTCAAGCAGTGTTGTTCTCGTTAAAGATATCGACGAAAATATTTCGTCAACGTCATCGTCAACGAAAACAACACTGCAGAATATATGTTTAGCATTTGACTGATGAAATGCTCATAAATTTTGCAACTCTGTTTGTCGTCCACCACTAACGTTTTCGTCCAGTCTCGTCTCATCAACGTAAATGCACATTTGTCTCGTCACATTTTGGTCATCTAAGACTTATCTTTAGGACGTCAATGCCACGTCTTTGTCGTGGAAAAAAAAAAAGGGGCTGTCAACGTAAACAACACTGGCTTCAAATCCACATACTGGCGGGAGGCGAAACCAAGTTGTCCATAGTATATACAGTCTATGGGGAAGACTGACATCAATATCGGACTGATAATAGTAAATAAATATATATATATAATTTTCTTTTTTGGGAATTTTTTGTTTATGAATGCCTAATTTCGGTTATTTTGTTGCATTTTTATATGGTCCCCTAGTGGCACTTTTTTCCCCTGCCTTTGGACATTGCACAGTTAAGAATAAAAGAAAACTACTTGTATTGCCCTATTTTGATATATTTTGATGGCAAGTACTTTTTCTTGGGTATATTATTTCGGGGGGTTGAGCTGCATCAATATCGGACTGATAATAGTAAATAAATATATAAATAAACATTACAAATCTTTGCCAAGAAGCTTCGTGATGTTTCGTCCACCCCCCCTTGAACCTGTCTGTCCCGTCCTCAGGCACTTCACGACATTAAAAACAAACACCCCTCCCTTTGCATCTTCTCCTCCTCTCAGATCTATTAAATTATCACCTGGACGAACCGTGACTTTAACCGGATTACTAAATCACTTTCCGAGAAATGTCGACATTGTGCATGCATCAAACCTCACTCAGGACACCCTCTCTTTTTTTCGCCGGCCTAATGAGTCATGACATTAACACAGCCTCGAGCCCTCCCCTCCCACGCTCCTCGCGCCCACTCCACTCTTTATTAGAGCCGCTCCTCAGCATCAGTCCTCAGAGCAGCACGCGCCTCACTCAGCGCACCTCTCTCGTGCCGCTGCGAAGTGGACGGGAGCCGGTGCTTCTTCACTTTTTTTCTCGGATTTACCATCTTTACCGCCAAGATGAGACTTATTTTCGTGCTCGCCACGGTTGTGGGTCTCCTCACAGGTAAGTGGAGTCGTGCTTTTCTTGTTTTGCAGAGTGCCGTGAGTGAGTTAGTGAGCGCGGTTCAGGTTCAGGACCACGGACAGAGACATTATCGGCTCTTTCACTTTTATAGTTTTTCTAATAAATACTTCCTCTTACGCAGAAAACCAAGCGCTTCCAGTTGGAAAAGAAGGGCAAAGAGAAGACGTGGTAAGCTTTTGTCAACTGAACCTCCTCTGTTTGAGATTGAAGCAGCTGCAATGCAGAAAGTAAAATCAGCACAACGCTTTCACGGATTCAAATTGTTGGTGCTTTTTTTCGTTTTAAGGTGACACGATGCTTAGTCGAAGTCCTCTCCAAAGCTCTCTCCAAACCGGACTCCCAGCTGGACCAGGACTGCAAAGACATCATCCAAGCAGGTTTGTCGCACCAGCAGATTTTTTCATGTAAACAGTAAACAGGCAAATCTAAAGCATTTAGGATACTGTTGACACAGCAGGTTTAGAGCTGCAGGTCGTGCAGATACTCGGCTGGTTCATGATTATAAAGAAGTTTAATATCCTGGAAACGAGCTCGTGATGTAAATAGCTTCAAGCATTTAGATCGTTTACATTTTAAAAGGGATATTCCAGCGTAAAAATAATTTAGGGTCAAACACACCGTAACGCCGAGTTGGACACTCCTGAGAGATGAATGTTGTCGACTGCTTGCTTCTCTGGTTATACCAACTTTAGTAACAACCGCAGAGAGCCACGTGCTCAACCAAAACGCCACTCTATAGCCACAAATGATGCTCAGAACAGCACCTAACTTAACACAACTCACACAATCTGTTCGAGCACCCGCTTGTTTGTAGCAAGACCTCGACCAGCTCATTACGGACTGCTGCGGGGGGTGACGCTGCTCAAGGAAGAACATTTATGATCATTTCTTTATCATTTCCTTAAAGTACTCGTCATCATATTAATCATTTTGCACTGCAGACGTGGTAATTCTTCTACCTTATCGTCTCGGTCTGATTGCATTCTCATGAAGAAATGATCATAAATTTTCTTCCTTGAGTTGCGTCACTCCACTGCAGTCCGTAATGGACAGGCCTGAGGTCTCTACAAACAAGTGGCTGCTGGTAGAGACTAGGTGAGTTGTGTTTAGTCTCTTTGACAAAGAAATTAGGCAAAGTTAAAAAGATGTTTGGTGGCTAGTGCTGTGGCTAGGACCTTTTATGTACTGTTGATGAAGTTAGGTGCTGTTCTGAGCATTATTTGTGGTTATAGAGTGGCTTTTTGGTTGATTTTTGTTTATGGCTCCTCAGGCTGCTGTTTATTGCTATCGTGTGGTCGTTACTAAAGTTGGTATAACTAGAGAAGCAAGCGGTCTGCAACATTCCCCTCTCGAGGGGGTGTCTAACTCGGTGTTACGGAGTGTTTGACCCTGAATCAATTCCACACTGGAATATCCCTTTAATGCCACTTCTTTAAAATTGAGCTTTACCGTTATTTACGCAAAACAGCAAACAAGTCATCAGATTTGACCCAAAGGCTGAATTCAAACAGACAACCTACCCTATAAGATGGCTGACACGTCTGATCTTTCCTTTAATTTGTCACAGGGGTTAAACATCCCCCACTGGACAAGAAGACTGCCCTGGAGGTCAAAGGTCAACCCGAGGTGCCCGGAGCAAAAGGAGCTGATGTGAAAGACATCGAGGCTCTCCTGAAATCAGTGGAAGAAAAAAGAGAAACCCCAGAAGACGAGCGCAGCCAAGAATCTTGGAGCTTCGGTGATGAGAAGGAGAAAAGACATGAGAATGAAGAGGAAGGAGAAGAAACAGAGCGGGAGAAGAGGAGTGGCTGGAGGCCCGGAAGGCACTACCAGAGGAAACACAAACGAGGCGAAGAAGATGAAGACGATGGAGAGCGCAGTCAGGAGAGTTGGGCGTTGGACAAAAGATCAGAAGATGAAGAAGAAGAAGACAGAGAGAAGAGGAACTGGAGGCCTGGAAGACACCATCAGAGGAAACACAAACGGGATGAGGAACCTTTAGGAGATGAGAGGGAGGAGCCAGAGGAGGAACGTAGCCAGGAGTCTTGGGGTCTCGACAAAAGGAGCGGCTATGAGGATGAGGAAGAGAGGGACAAGCGCAAATGGATGCCCATACAGCGCTACCACTACAACAAGATCACTAAACGCGGAGAAGGCGAGGAGGAAGACGGTGAACGCAGCCAGGAGTCTTGGGGTCTTGACAAGAGGGACTGGAGAGCTGGAAGATACCATCAAAGGAGACACAAACGTGATGAGGAACTCTCAGAAGAAGCCAGAGAAGAGCCTGAAGAGGAGCGCAGCCAGGAATCATGGGGACTCGACAAAAGAGACTGGAGAGCCGGCAGATACCATCAGAGGAGACACAAGCGTGATGAAGAACTCGCCGAGGAAGGACCTGAAGAAGAACGCAGCCAGGAGTCATGGGGTCTTGAAAAGAGGGACTGGAGGGCTGGAAGACACCACCAGAGGAGACACAAGCGTGATGAAGAACTCGCCGAGGAAGGACCTGAAGAAGAACGCAGCCAGGAGTCATGGGGTCTTGAGAAGAGGGACTGGAGGGCTGGAAGACACCACCAGAGGAGACACAAGCGTGATGAGGAGCTCTCAGAGGAAGCTCGAGAAGAGCCTGAAGAAGAGCGCAGCCAAGAGTACTGGGACTTCGATACCGGCAGAGACAAGAGAGAATGGAGGACTGGAAGACACCACCAGAGGAGACACAAGCGTGATGAGGAGCTTTCAGAAGAAGCTCGAGAAGAACCAGACGAAGAGCGCAGCCAGGAATACTGGGATTTTGATACTGGAAGAGACAAAAGAGACTGGAGGGCCGGCAGGTTCCACCAGAGGAGACACAAACGTGACGAAGAGCTCTCAGAGGAAGCCAGGGAAGAGCCAGACGAGGAGCGCAGCCAGGAATACTGGGATTTTGACACTGGGAGAGACAAGAGGGAATGGAGATCTGGCAGGCACCACCAGAGGAGACACAAACGTGACGAAGAGCTGTCAGAAGAGAAGAGAGATGAACCAGAGGGAGAACGCAGCCAGGAGTACTGGGGCTTTGACAAAAGACACGACAAAGAAGAAGGAGAGGACAGGGATGACGCTCTGAGGTACTCCCATGACATTTAGCAACTTTTTCTCTTGAACTTTGCATGTTGATTAACTCCAGAGTTCAATGATAGGGATCCAAACCAAGAAATCTAAGAAATAAACAGACTGTTTGAGTGCTGCCAAAAACCAGTACAGAATTTAACTGAAGCTGTTTGTCAGGTATCTGGCAGAAAAACGCAATCCCTGGATTTTCAGAAGCTTCTACCATCCTGCCTGGTACAAAAGGGATCAAGACGAGCATGCTTCCGCCTCAAACAAGGTAGGAAATTACAAAATCATACTTGTAGCTTAAGATCTGCAGCTTCAAAGACTCAGCCTAAGTGAGCAGCTTTAATTAATGCCATTTCATTTCCTCCTCTAATCACATTTTGTAATAGTTTTAGCCTGACAGAGTCAACGATCAAGTTCACGTTTACGTTAGACTAGAACGCACTGACCCAACGTTAAGCCAATTTCAAGTATCATTAACTCGAAGAGGTCTGGATCAGCCTGATTTTGAAATGTACGATTCTACCTTATCTTTGCTCAGATGAATGAACTGGCCAAGTTGCTGAGCTACAAGATAAACCAGCTGTCCAATCAAGAGGAGGCAAAGAGGAGCGCGCAGCAGAAAACACTCACCGCACAAGAGGTAAAAACTGCTCTCGATCACTGCGCAACTAAGTGTGGACTAGTACTCAGGCAGAAAAAGCATTTTAAAAAGCACAAATCAAAAGCCTTGTCTTTCAACTCATAACTGTGTCGACCTTTGAACGAGAAACATACATTTGACCCTGTAAAGCACATCTATCGCCTCCAACACTGTTTCGGGGGCTTCATTATGGAGATCTCGTCTGCACAAGCATGTCAGGGTTTAGCCTTTAGAACTAGAGAGCATCAGTGAATATGCATCTGTGCAAATAAACATCCAGAGCTTTACCCATCAGCATGTCCCAAATACAGACAAAAATCAGCGTATTCATGAGCAGTGACACGTTCTTCAACTCGAGCAAACACACAGTTTGTCTTTATTTCCCTAAATCATTTTCAGCTCTTTCTTGTTCGCTCCCTTGTTTGTATTTGCACTTTCAGCACTGGGGTTTTATACGCAGTAATCGCACCAAGAACTTCATGATTATCGCCTCTCCTCCAGCCATCAAAGTCATAATTCTCCCATTAAAAAGAGCAATGGCCCGCAGAGACCTCCCCATCTTGTAACGCACTCTAAGCAGAAAAACAAATCAGGGCAGAGGAGGCGGTGTACTGCAGTTCTACAACCCAAGCAATAATAAAAAAACTCAACCCACATCAGCTGTTTTTTTTTTTTTTTGGATGGAGCAGGTACGGGAAATGATATTTATGGTTTCTATGTCTTTCAGGAAAAAGAGCTGGAAAACTTAGCCGCCATGGACCTCGAGCTGCAGAAAATCGCTGCAAAGTTGCATGACAACAGCGCGTAAACCAGCATTTCATTTCGACACCAGTGGAGAGATGCTGCTGTCCAACTAAATGTCCGCCGTTTAACCTGTGCTTACACTGTTGTAAAAAAAGACAAAAAAATAAGACCAAGAACTCTGGAGCCTTGCTAAAACCACTTTATCAACCTGGTTATCATTGTATTTGTGATATTTTGATGTTATCAAAGTAATCTGCATGGGAATGATTTTGATGTTTGTAAATATACAGTAAGATCAACTTTGAAAATTATATATATATATATAGATATATAAATAAAACAGAGAAAATTTATCCGAAATACTGTCTTCTGCAGAGCTTGTTCAGTTTGCACTCAATAAAAGAAATTATTCTGGGACCAAACCAATCTCTCTCAAATTATTCCTCGATGAAAAAAAACAAGTTCACACACACACACACACACACAACAGCGTCTCTTGTTCTGCGTTTTTAATCCTGTGCAGATACAGATGTAACCCACAGTGACGCTCATGTAACAAATGGCACTGACTGTGGGGATAACAAAATTAAAAAATCATAACCTAGAAGCAGGGGACTGCTTACTCACGAAAAAATTTGTTTGTACCTGTTGAGGCATAAAACTCAAATCCGACATGTACTCTCAACACATAACAGATTATTCTAACTGTTCCTTTCATAACACACGTATACACACACGCACACACACACTGAGCTCATACAGCCTGAACTGGCTTACAGTTAACTCCTCAGCATTACTTTAAGTCTGCACTGATCTGGATTACACAAGCCGGGGGAAAAGCGTGCTGATGAATGCAAACCAGACACTTTTGTCTGGTTTATTCCAGATGTGTCAGTTTCGATCAGTCAAATCAGACGAGTTGATGCTGGAGGAAAACCCCTGCAGGCCGTCGGTAATGTGCCCTCTGAAGAATCTCTCCTTCTGTGTTTGTTTACCCTTCAGTGTCTGTGAGTTTCTGTCTCTTTGGTGCCGGTTCCTCAGCTCGCCGGGAGCCTGAAGGTTTGGAGCGGTCCACGGCGACCGTCATTCCTGAGAGGATGTAGCCCCCGCCTCCGCTCATCAGCAGCAGAGGATGCGTCCTGTTAGGCAACACCTTGGGACACAAATACAGTCAAGGAGACGTTAATTCTACAAGAAGAGCCGGGGGAAATGACACTGTGGTCGTGAGGGGAAGATCTCAGAGTATGAAAACTAGCTGGTTTCAGGCAGTTTCTGTAGTTCACGAAGACCCTAGTACACACACGAAAAAGGGTGGGCTGTGCGGGAGTGTGTTATGAAAGAGCGGATGTAAGAAAAGTTGCTGCAGCGAATGTTCAAGAAAAAGACTAAAAGACTAAAATGTTTACTGTTTTAAAGAAAATTAAAGCTTCTGTGAGGAATTTTTTGACATTTATGAAATTGACAAACTCATGTTGATGCCTTGTTATGGTGAAGAAAAGCAGACGAGATCAACAGCACCATAACTGACCTTTTTTATACTTTAATGTTTGATGCTGGAAACTGGTGCGAGAAGAAACAGACCCTTTTGTTCTTATATTCCATATTCACAAAAACGATACATTTGACCAGCAGGATTAAATTCTAGTCAGAAGATGCTACTGAGACTGATTTGTCCACAGAGGGGCGCCAAAATCCACACTAACAAAAAGTTCCTCTTAGGGGCTTTAAACAGCTGCAACTTTGTCAATCAATTACATGATTTATAGCAAGTTTGTTCCTGCTGTTTAAAGTTTGAGAATTAGTTGTTTTTCTGATATATTAGTTATATTATTAATCTGCTGTATTTGTACAAATTGTAAAAAAATAAAAAAACTGAATTACAATTTTCATGAAGTAGTTTAAACTCATGAGTTTTTAGTTTTAAATATGTGATGCCTCTTTATGACTAACAAAAATCAGACAAAACCATTCGCAACAACACCAGTACTTTTTACTAAGTAATTGTTAGAGCCCGCACAAACTGCCTCTGGGATGCCACAAGGCAAAGTTCCTCACAAGATCTTTAATATTGTATTAAACACCTTTAAAAGGCAAGAAAAAAACTTGAAATAAATACATTTAAACCTTGATTTTTCAATATGCATCAAAGTTTCACTGATTTGCATGTAAATCACATTTCTTTTAATAGTGCATATGTGGGTCTAAATACTTGCATATTTGGCAAGTACAAGTCACGAAAGTCAGGTGCCACTTGAGCATTTATACAGAGTGTCTGATAGGAATCGACTTAAGTGAAAAGTTTAATATTTTCCATTTGACATTTAAAAAAAGGGAGAATTTAACATACTCTGGACTCACACATGCAAACTGAAATATTTCTAGTATTTCCAATTTTAGTTTTAAACATTTTGGCTCCAAAAACTTGACAGCATATCTCTAACTTTTAGAACAGTATAAAGTCCTTTTCAAGTAAAGTTGGGAACTCAAGGCCACAGAGTTTGGAGAGAGAGTGAGGTAGGTGCACAGAATCCAAGATGTTTGAAGCCCAGAGCAAAGTTTTCACAGTCTGTGATGTTTGAGGTGCCGTGTCACCTGCTGCTGTTTGTCTACTGTGTTATTATGAGTCCAGAGTTAACGCAGCCCTCCAGTAGGAGATTTTAGAGCACTGTATGTTGATCTCTGCTGACAAACTTTATGATGATGCCTATTTCCTTTTCTAGCTGGAGTTGGCGCCTGCCAACGGTGCCATAGTTACTACAAAGAGCCTCCCTTTTTCGATTGATGTTTGGGTATATTCTAATAAATCGAGAAATGCAATGAAAATGTGAACCATTGAATTAAAGAATTTAATTTGTTTGTTGTCACTGTGAGTGTCTCCTTTAACAAAACACGTCATCAAGTAGTCCATTTGTGGTATAAAAATGACTGACTAGGGATGTACCGATATACGATTTAATTGTGATGTGCGATATTAAAACATTTGGGCGAAAAACAACATGACCGCAACAAGTTTGGCCTACTCTACTGCTTATCATTGACAATGTTAGTGACGTTTCTGCTAACTTTAGCTTCAAAGAGCTAATTCTCCCAACGTCGCGTTAGCTGCCTCTTGCCATTTTTTTGCCATTTTTAATAACGTTAAAAGCAATGCACTAATATCGTGAATCATGATATTTTGGGCCGCCAATATCGTGATATCCAATTTTTCATATCGGCACATGCCTATGACTGACTGATGCAAATCTAATGTATCTGCAAAAACAATCATGATACCCTGCTGATGGTGAGCTGCACTTTTACCTGATAATGTCTGAGCCAGGTGTCTGTGAGCCTGATGTTCACCGCGCCTCCTTGTTCCTTGAGTTTTGTGTAGCACTCGATCAGAGGCTGCACAGATGAAGGCAGAAGAAATGAAAACGGAAACATTAAGGGCGCTACTGCTGGAGTCAATGAGTCGACACACACTCGCACAGTGATCTTTTTCGCAGCATAAGCACAACAGAGAGTGTATATATGAGCTCTGCTACGTGACAGGCATGGCAACACCGTGGCTGTAAATGGGATCTCTGCTGTAGTAGGGTTATAAAACATTGCCTGATGGACATTTAAGCAGCGTTTACGTCACTGTTGTCAAGTAAATACCACAGATGATCTTACCTCTTTGTACTGGGAGTAGACGACAAACGGCCTGGACGGGGAGAGGAATTTCAGAAGCCCCATTAGGACTGGACACGGATGGAAGCGGCTGGCTATAACCAACCTGCATGTAGGAAACAAACAGATGATCCAGCAAACCTGTCAAGTGTGAAATACACTATAAACTCGGCACTGTTATCGGAAAGATATAAGTAGGAAATGAAGTAATTTGGCTTATCAGTGCTTCCATGTGAGTTACGGGCGGTGGGCCTACAGGTTTAATACTAATTAAAGACATCCATTTCCTGTTTTACAGAGCTGGTCGAGAGTCAGTAAAAGAGGCAGATTTAGGACAGTGTAGAAAATTGTGCTCTGAGGCACTGTTTATGATATAGCAGCTGTGAAGACTCCGGGAAAAGTCAATAGGCTAACCAGATCAATACTTTCAGCTTGCGGATCACCCTCACAGCGAAGCCATAAAGCAACTTCTTCATCTTATATGACGGGAAACTGCAGAGCAATCACATCGTTCACCTTGAGAGGGCGTTGCGCGGTGGTCACGGCTTGTCGACTCACTGGGAGGAACGACATTTATCAAGCTTTTCATCGACAGGCTTAACAATACTTTAATCGCTCATCGAGTTTCGAGCCTGTAGATCTATTTTAATTGCTGTTGTTTATAACTTGGTGCGATCCAGAACTGATAAAGCAGAGCTGGAACAAAAAGAAAGATGCTGATGCAGAAATGAGCCTCGTGCTGCTGAGGGAAAAAAAACAAAACAAAACTTGGAAGCAGAAACTCATTCTGACACCAACCCGTCGGCGTTCCTGCCTTCCAGCAGGGCAGCAGCAGCTGCCAGCTTCTTCCGTTTCTCCTCCATCTTCACCTTTTTTTCCTGAGCCTAAAAAAAAACAAAAGAAAACATAAAGTTTGAAGATTTTCTAGAGGTCAGAATTTGATCTGGTGTGTTTGCTCTTTTTACTTTCAAAGAGAAAGGCAGGAAAACAAACAAACAAAAAAAGAGGATGTTACAGTGGGCATACTTTTGCTTCTCTGAGTTTCTCTTTCTCTTCTCTCTCCAGGTCTTGGACTCCATCAGCAGCACTGTTGGTCTCCATGCTCTGCTCCTCTGGACTGCCCTGCTGCTCTGCCCCAGGCTGCTTCTGCTCCTCCCCTGCAGCTGCATCGGGCTGCTTTAAATCTGTAATGTTAGAGGTGATATTTGATATTCAAGGACAGCCATAAAGTGGATGTGTGACGTGATTAATGATCCACTTTCTGGTTTAAAAATGCTGTCGAAATAAATTGGCAAGACATAAATCCAAGCAGTTTGGTGTTTTAAATGAGGAAAATCTCTTCCTTTGGTATTTTAGCAACAGATTATCTGTTTTATATAAAATCAGGCTATAAACATCCTGGAGAATGTTTGGAATAAACAGTCTACCTCCGCCGGCAGTGGGCTCTTTGGCAGTGGTGTCCAGAGTTCCTGCCAGCAGAGCATTGACACGACAGATGGGAAAATCATGCAGCGTATCATGAAAATGTGTGGGAAAGCCAAAGTTCTCCACACCGGCCCGAACAGGTTCTCCTCCTGGGTACATCTGGATCACTGAGCCGTAGCCTTTATCGAAAGTAAAACAAAAAAGAGCACAATCACACAAAAGGGAGAAGAAAAAGGTTTGCCAATGGATAACACATTGTATGTATTGAAAAAGGTTAAAACGCTTTGTCACATGGCAGATGTACCTCCCATTCTTTCCATGACAGCTCCTAGCACAAGGCCAGCACACGTCTCGAACACCAGAACTTTACTGCCAGCGTGGATGTTCGCCAGAGTCAACATCTGAGCGAGGGTGTCGTATCGCAGGTGGCTGCATCGCATGAAAACACACACATCCATCACATTCTGCTCTGTGAACGGCTAATTTCACACGTTTTGTAATTCCGCGTGCTGACTCACCAGACCTTCCCTGGTTCCCGGCCGTGGTACATCATTGCCAGGATGCGACAAGACGGTTTAAGAATAGTCACAGTGTTTTCATACCTGGAAACGCAAAAGATAGGAACACATGATATCACTTATTACATCACCCTGAGTTATTCTAATTCTGAAACAGATTGCATGCCACATTATGAGTAACTCACTTCTTCTTTTTCTTCTTGATGTACTTGTCTTGGGCATATTCAGTCTTATCTCCGAATGTAGAGCTGTTCTTTATGAGCTCCTGGATGATTTCCTGCGGCGCACACACACACACACACACACACATACAGTCTCAAGTCTCTTTCTCGTTATGCTTCAACATTTTATCAAGCCATTGAAAAGATAAGGTCCTCGTGATGAGACAAAAACCAACAATGCCTCAGAGGCAATTCTCAGCATTTTTGTTCGCACAAACCCTGCCTATGGCACTCGGATCTGAGCCCACTGGCTCTAACTTAAAATCTAAAACTTTTTACAATGGGGCACAAAAACTTAAATTAAGTTTCTAAAAGAAGGATGATTAATTACTGAAAAAAAGCAGGATGAGCAATTACTCAAGCTTAATGATGTAAATGTCAAGAACTACATTTTAAAGTAAATTTAATGCATAAAAAGTGCCGAGAATATGTATGTGGGAAGCATTCCTGCCAACACTCCCATTTTTCCCGGGACTCTTTCATATTTCAAACCTTTCTCCCGCCCAGATCCTGTATTGTCATTTCTCCCAGGAATCTCCCATAGTTTGATGGTCCACGTTCATTCATGAATCGGATCACTATATTTGTCCAAAGTTTCCAGACAACCTTAGATAGTCCTGTGCTTCTGCTGAGCCTCACAGACACTGGATTGATACTTAACAATTTGGGATGATTCAGGTCAGTTTAAGATGTAAACTATATTTAAGCAGTGTTTGTTGCAAAATGAACATTTAAATGAAAGGGAAACAAACATGAGATAAAATATTTATGTTGACAGTCTTGCACCTTATCGGAGTGATGCGTTCAGGGCAGCCTCAGATAAAAGAGTGCTGTATAGCACAAACCGATGTTCATACATCATTCATACAGATGTTTTTTGTGTGTGTGTTAATATCCTGCGTGTATGGACAGCACTTCTGTGTATGAAAAGTGCTTTAATAATAAAGTTTGATTGATTGATTGTAGACATTTTTCAAAATTACTCGTACCTGTGGCTTCAATCCTTGCTCTTTTAGTCCTTCAATATCATCTCTGGTCAGTTTCTGTGATTTCCCATCATCCACAATGTTTCTGTTGTCTATTCCCCCCTGTTTTGCATCTGTGAAGAACACAAACAGGCAGAATTCAAGTATTAGTTATTCACCACAAATGACACACAGGCATAGAGGGTATCAAACATGCATGTTTCTCTAGTGTCCGTATTGAACAGCAGGTTACAAACCAGTAGAGCTCCCTGAGTCCTTGGGTTTCTGCAGCTTCAGAGCTCCTGACACTATCTCAAACGTGGTTCTGTACAGGTTTCCCACAGCATTATCCAAGAAGAACCACTGCTTCTCAAAAATCACCTTCCTGTGAGGATGAGGAGAAATATAGTCATCATTAATGACATGGCATTTTTACAGCCCTCACTATGGCGTCCTGTCTGCACATGTAAAGTTACCCTGTGAAATAGGTTTCTATATTTCTAAGGATCACAGCATGATGCTTTTTAATATGTTTACAATGACAATTTTGTAAGTATATATGAGAAATATCAGGTGTTAATCCCTCTCCTAATATGAAGACACATGCTGCAGGGCTTTCTGTAGCTAGATAGGAGGTTTAATTCGTTTTTACAAACAAATACTTACTTCTTCGGCTGAATTTGCACAGCTTTGTAGATATCGCCTCTTTTCAGGACAACGTAGTCTCCCTCTTTTATCCTGTAGGCAGAATCATCATCTCCGTTGTCCGCCATAATAAGGCAGATGAGAAAAGACTCACCGGACAGTTTATAAGCTCACTGTCAACTCCAGCGGTTTCTGCAGGGTCGCAAAAAGACAAGGCACAGTTTTGAAAAGGCACTAAACCACCCTGAAGAGAAAGCCAAACACGGTAAATCACTATTCCCACGTGTTAGCCTGCATTTCCCTAGCTTCTCAGGACGAGTGAACGATTGCGGAAGATATTCATTGGGTCCCGCTTCATCATGTTTGTCTGTGATTGGTTAAAAGGTGCATCAGTGATCTCAACAGCCAATAGCAGCTTACAGCGGTGACTAGGTCGACACGTAGATTAAAGAGAAGTCGATGCAAGTGGCACTAGGTTAGGGACTCCTACAAAAGAGAGGGGGCGCTAAAATGGCCGATTTAACTTATGAAGAAGGTGGATAAAGGATGGAGTGTGTTTATTTCAGACCGGGTTTTAATGAAAGAGGCGGAGAGGATGAAGTGGAAAGTGGCAAAAAATATTTAGCCTACTCCATATATTCTATATATATGAAGCTTTTTAGTGCACTGGAACTCTTTTGAATAGATTTTAAAATAAATAAGTATACTTGATTTTATAAAACATCAGTTACTGAGTTACATACAAGCTAATTTATCAACTGTATAACAGAAGTTCACTTGGTGATATCCAGAACCAAGTCAAGTTAATAAGTTAATAAGTGTGAATGATCCATCTACAAAGTGCAATCCTGATATAGTATACTTAAGTGTCCTCTTGGTGCATATTAGTGCTTTTACAAAAGTCTGGGGACACATCTGACACTATACATCCCCACTGCCATGGGTTACAAGCAGAGACTGTGTAGTCTGTGATTAAAAGTCTGTATTTAGAGTTCAATGTTTTAAATAAATTCTCAGGTAGTTTTGACATTTACTTGATTAGATCAACAAAGTGATTTTACCTGTACTCAAGTAAAATTTAATCACAATAACTGTACTTTCACTTGACTGAAATATTCAGTATTCTTTCCTTTTCTTTATATAATTTTATTTTTTTAATGTGAAGAAAATCAAACAACCACCACCACAACAACTATATATATATATATACATATACATACATACATATATATATATATATATATATATATATAAAAATTTTTTTTTTACATGAGAAATTTTACATGAGTACAGGTAAAATAAAGTTTTAGTCATAGAAAAATCTGTTTCTATGATGATTCGGTTATATTCACTTCAAGCTGTTTACTTATAACTTTCAAACATGATTAATGATTCGTTCATTGATGATTTTATTCTGATGTTCAGTCATACTGACCTTGACTTTGAGGTGTAGAACATACCTTTTTTACACTAACACCATACTGAGTGCAAGATGGATTTTATAGCACAGTTATATAAAAAGAATAAACTCAACAGCTTGCCTGTCAACATGGGAGCTGACAATGCTTGTTTACGTCCCAACACAATCGCTACCATTTTTGAGTGCGCAAACATGGCAGATGTGTGACTACGTCATTACCCGGTCTGGGTGGGTGCATTTTATTTCACAGCACGGGGCCTCAATCTGGTGTTTTATAACTGCTTTTTATCAGCGTGCCAACTGCACCTGCCCACCACTAGTGCACAACAGTGTGGCAGTGAGGCGGCTGAAAGAGCAGAAGAGAGCATCCCACACTGCTCAGGAAAGGAATAACATGATATGCCCAAATTAGGATAAACGGTGCAACTTGGAAGACAACTTGAGTCACTAGGAAGGCTCAACTAATTTTCTACTGACCCAGCTGCATGAAAGTCTTGGTAACTTCGCAGCAAAATAATGTTAATAGCTGTTTTTGTAAACATTATGACTGTGGGCTGAAAAGTCATTTCATTTTAATAATTACCACGTGTTATTAAGGATGCTTTACTCCCACTTTAGAGCAGATGTGATGCCATTACATGAAAATACATGTACACATATCCTGGGGCTAGCAAAAAAAAAAAACATTATTATGTGAGAAAAAAACAATTAAGGAAAACAAAACCCATTAAAGTTCTGTTTTTTTATTCAGCAAATTAAAAAAACAATTTGTAAAATACAAAAAAAACAAACACCTTTTATGTTCTTTGCTATTGCTTTTCTTCTGCTGAACCTTAAAAACTTTTACAAATATCCATTCATCCAAGTTTTCAGAGAAATCTTGACTACATATTTACAACATCACCATTATTTTCCTAGTGCAGAGTACATTTCTATAACCGTTAATGGCAGGAGATGCGAAAATGTGGAATTTCTCTGACTGTGATGTCTTTACATTTGCCATTGCTGTAATATTCTCAGTATTTAGGGCGACCACTGCTGCAGAAGATGACATCTGCACTTTCACATTGTAACATAAAAACTGAAGATGTACCATAGGTAGGAAAGGCCCAGGACTTTGCTCATTCTTGGCCTCCAGTAAGTTTATGAAACAAGTCTTCGTCTAGAGTTTCGTTCTGGTCTTTCGATCTTGTGGAGAGGAAGATGTAACCGCCGATGAACTCGTGCACCACCTTGCAGTCACAGCTTACGCAGCAGAAGGCTATTGACACGTTTTGGTCAAACTCTATGGTCACCTGGAATTGCATGCAAGATTCATGTCAGTCAAGCGACACTGTGTTTGAAGGTTATATCTCCTCAAAAAACTCCTCACCTGTCTAATCTCCCAGTTTACGTTCCACTGCTTCATGTTAGCAAACCTCCATGTGGTGACAGGAAGACCAGTGGACATGTCGATACGGATCAGACGGTTGTACGAGATCCCCAGAATCTCATCTTTCTTACAGCCTTTGAACCTTGAGCACAGTAAAGAGTATCCACAAAAGTGATTTTTAAAGATGTCTCCAGTTTTAAATCTGTGTGTAGATATGTTAAAGTTTATGCGCCGTACCTGACAATGTAGTAGTTGATACCAAACTCTGGAAGTGACTGCCAGGCCTGTATAAATCGCATCTTGGCATCCATCAGTGACAGTCGTGCAATGTTCTGATGAGCCTCCAGGATACGTGCAGTTAGCTGGAAATAATCACCACACCAGGCAGATGAAGCAATCGTATTAAGTAACACCAGTGATGTCACATTGACAGCTGTGGGCAAAGTCATCGTCTGTAGCCTTTGAACCAACCTGCTTGGTCTTGTGCTTCTTGGCGTAGCGCGGAGAAACAAAACATTCAGCGTTCATCTCCATGGCATCGACGTCAGGAGCCGCCTGACCAGGAGGGGGAGCCAGGCTCTTCATCTGCAAGAAGGACTGGATGTTCTTCACCTCGGACTTGTACGAGCTGTAGGCCATTGTCTTGCCTTTGGAGGCCAGTATACACGCAGCCTTCCATTTCGCATACTGTGTCTCCTGTAAGACGGGGCGATTACACGTCGGTTACAATAGCAGTCCAACGGGAAACCGGAGGAGGAATTGCATGTTAATTACACGGAAATGATTTTAATGCATGCAGACAGAGAGCTGAGCCTTACATTGTCACATCGGATGTACACCTCGTTCATCCCATCTGCAACAGGCAGCAGGAGCTTGATGCCGAACTTTTTATCTGTTACATTGACATCAGGGACCACCTCACAACCTGCCAAACAAAGAGATGGTCGTGATTTCGAATACTGATGAAACAGAGCCAAATGTGGAAAATCGTCTGATATTTGCACGGACTACAGATGCAGCTTTGCAGTGGGAAAACTGAATTTTAATGTGGCCTTTGAGTGTAAATATTTAAACATTTTTCTGTAGCAAGAGAAAAAGTTTGTTTTATCCATATATTGCTCTTCTTAAGAAACATGTATTATTAAATACTCCACGTTTTGTAGTCTATATACATAATTTGTTATGCTTAGGGGGGTGCTCAAAGGCATTTTCATTCATCATGGGTATGTGTACAAAAAGGGTAATTCATCTTAAACATTACAGAGGTCTTTTCATCTTATTGTTTGGTACTGACCTCGGAGATGAAACTGCTCTATGGGCTCTCCATTGGAAGTTTCTTTGTTTTTGTAGTAAGAGATGGTTGTGTCCTTGAATACAAACCAGTACTCCTTGTAGGGCCGCAGCGTCAGTCTTTTGGGCCTTATTGCAGACAGAAAAATAGAAAATAAATCTCTCTTTTGCCTGTGATAGTTTATAACCTTTTATGAGTAAAGCAAACATCCTGAGTGTTTTAGAAAGGTGCACATATTCATGGGTACTTATTCAGACCAGAGAGCAGCTCGATAGAGGGTTGTTTCCTTAAATCAATTCTTATAAATGAACAGTTTGATTAACAACCCTGAGATGATTTAAAGCCATCATCAGAGACATAAATAGATGCAATCGATTTTTATAGACACTGCTTCATCTCTCTCTACCCTGCTCCAAATTTAGCCTCTGAATATGGCTGATTTAGGACTCCAGAGAGTTAAAGGTTGAAAGGACAGGCCAATCATGAATTTCAGTGACAGGTATACAAGGTGTGAAAAATGGATTCATAATAAAGGTGGGATTACCTGAACAGGCGGAGGGAGTCTGCCAGCTCTGGAATGTCTGTAATGTCTTCCTGGGGGCGGGACAAACAACTGTCAATTATCCTGTGTCTTCTCCTGACATCACCGTGTTAAGACATGCAATCATAAGAGGCCTACCCATCACTCCTGCTCTTAAAACAGGTGTTCTCCTCGCACTGTAACTTGGAAACCTGAAAATTACAGTCGATATTCGCTCAAGTGTCTAAAAAAATATGTTTACCACAATTCGGTCTGTGAGTCCCCCTTCAAGAGTCACCTCCAGGTTGGACAGGGCGGCTTCGACTTCATCTATTTCTGGTTCGTTGGAGTGGTCCAGTGGTTCACTTGATATGGTCAGTTTACAAATGTGGTACTGAAACCAAAAAACAGAACACTTTGACTCCATAAATGGACAACGCTTCACCTGCTTCCCCGGCAGCAAAGATTAAATATTTACTTCTTAAGTAGGACTCATTACGAAGTTCTCCGACATGACTTAAGAGGTTATGCAAGGCTGGCGTGAGTCAGAGGGAGCTTTGAGCACGGCCTTGTGTTGCCAGCCATCGCACCAGTGTGTAGGTGATATCCATTTGAATCACTGTGACTTCTGAATCACAGTCCGAATAGTTGCTCAATAACAGTCACACGTATCAGAGAAGGGCTGAAATTCAGACGCAGATGAGAACATCTTAACAAACTTATCTCCGGTGATAGAGTTCATTATTAGTTCCTTTTTTTTCTAATAAGGGACCTTTAATTCTCATATTACTTTTCCCATGCCTCTTACTTTATTAACCCTCTCCCCTTCTTAGTGGGATTTTCCTCATGTCCTGACATGTACCTGCACGGCCTCAGACACAATCCTCCTTAGTAGATAATGCTCAGCGACTATACACCTAAACTGTATTTAAGACTAATTCAGGGCATATTATAGTGTCCTTTTGAGCACTGTGGTTTATGAGTGCTGTAATAAGGATATAGGTAATTAACCTTTGGTACCATAGACCAGGTCTGATGTTATAGCAGGGTAAAAGAGGTCAGCATTGAAAAGCTCTGAATATAAAATTACTAGGTGTTTATTTGTGTATCTTTAATGATAAAAATCCAGATTTTAGCACTCATCCTGAGACAACAGATTCAATTTTACTTATTATATTAGTATTATACTAATATTTAAAATAGTTCACAAACCTAGTAATAATAAATGGTTTTTGAACTGTGAAAAAAAAAATGTGAAAAGAGTAAATAAGTTTATTTCTGATACTGAGTGATGCATCAGTTGACTCTGTTTTTATGTACACATTGACATTTTATCACTATGATGTTACATGATTTACCTGTAATGATGCAAACATCAGCATTTCCTCCTCAGTGCAGTCTATCTCCTCCAGCAAGACGGACCAGCGTGCTTGTTCATACAGCTGCGTTATTCGTACAGCATCATACTGAGGGAAAAAGACGTGAACAGACACACAAAATTTTAATTTATTCCCAAACTTCAAGACAAGTCAGCCACAATGGCTTTTGCGGGAGTCTTACTTTGGGGTTGAGGTCAAAGAAGACATTGTACTTGAAGCGAAGCAACAGCTTGTCTTCATCTTGAATGTCTTGCTCCATGAGAGAACGAGACGAGTCCAACCACCTGTGGAGACAAAGCAAAAAGGAATAAGATGAGCACTGGTTGGATATATCGTCCGAATTTCATGACTGTTATTCAAATATCAGATTTCAGAGTCGTTGTGTTGTTATATACCCTGCATGGTTGACTGCTTTGTCCACTAGCGAGAGCGGCTGGAACATTTTGGCTAGCTCAGCTGGCGGTAAGTTTGGCTGAGATTCAGCGAGTGGGTTGTCTCCAAACCAAAGACTTGTGGCAGACACCGGCATCCCGTTTTCCGGGTCGTAGGTAGCTGTCATGGTCTTACTGTACATTGGGCCTGGTTTAAAGAGAAATAAATTATTAATATTGGGTTGACCCATATGAATTTTCCTTCATTGATGTGATGAATTTAAGAGAGTTGCAAAGGATATCTTTGTTAGAAAAAGCATTTTTTTTATGGGTGGTGTGTATCCCTTGCTGCATATTCAGTGTAAGAAGAGAGAGTTTGCTGGGGAATCCCTCAAGAACCCGGCAGCTTACAGAACAATTCTTTCAGATCTCGCTGATGAACATTGCAACCCCTCTGCAGCACCTCATATATTTCTCATTTCTCCTCCTAACTCCAATAGTTACAACTCACTGGAATAAAACTCTGTCTCCTCAATAGATGGAAAATGATCTAGGCAAGTTGGATTAGTGACATAGTGTGTCTTTCTCTGACTTTGTTTTATAACTAGCTGATTTTCAATACAATAAGTGTTATATATTACTATTTTTGTTTGTTTTATGTCTGTTTTACCATAAGGTGATACAATAGTTGAAGAGACATGGAAAAAAGTGGGTGAAAGGAGTGAGGATGATGTGCAGCAAAGAACCAAGGCTCAGAGTCTAAACGTGGGGCTTCTGAAGTGAGGGCTGCAGTGTCTATATTAAGCTAGGTCAGCACCTGGGAGTCACATGTTAAAACAAAAATAAAAAAAGCTGATGATCTGCCACAAATTTGACTTAGTATTTCACTTTAAATTAGTTGCTGCTCTTTCCACTGTCCTATGCTCTCCATAAAAGCGAGCAAAGCCACAGAAAGATGCTAAAAATAAGTAAAAGGAAAGTTTATTTACTTAATTTCTTTAATCGAGTTTGAAACAACTACTTTCCACATGTCACTTTCACGAGATATAAAAAGTTTTATTCATAGAAAACATTTCTAATCCCTAAATATATCAAATGACTCAACAGTATATTGAAATCTTTTTGTGGGAGCAAATTATCCTGAAAGTTTTGAGCTGTCTGTGACAAACTAAATTTATTTTTGTGCCTATGTTGCGCTCTTGTCACTGCTTTGGTCTAACCGATGTGCTTTTGTATGTTTTCTTCTAAACTGCTGGGTACTGCAGATTAAATTAGCCTGTGAATAATACGAAAACTGAAACATCTTGGCAGCGCCTTCAAACACAAGGCAATAGTAATATAAAATATAAACCACAACAAGACCAAAATCACACCAAATCCATAAGGTATGACACAATATGAAGGCTGAGACATGTTTAATAAAACTAGAAGCATTGTCATTTCTCTCTTGTTGATGCATCTGAATCTTTTTATTATGAGAGTAATAGCCACAATCTTCACTGTGATACTGCAGGGATACTTTTTATGTAAGTAGTTCAAGTTGCTGTTTTTGTCTGTGAACTTTTTAGCATCGTTGGGAACAGCTCTGTGTTCAGCAGTACCTGTGCCTGCTGGTCCCCCGCCGAGTAAATCAATGTCCCAGATATCATCGTGTGCTGAGTTCTTGTCTTTCTTCTTCTTTTTCTTGGAGGGATCGTCTGGAGGCTTCAGCAGGGACAGCTCCTCTGATCTTCTGATATCTGAGGTGGAGTCAAATGTAGGGGGCGTGAGGGATCAGGGGTATCATGGGAGAAAGGGGAGTCAGTCAAGGATTTTTGTCTTAGAAGCAGCAACGGCGACTGGATGATACACTCAGAAAGGACAGAGAAACTCACTGAGTACTCGACAGATCTCTGCTACCGCCTTGAAGACCACGCTGGAGAAGCTGACGGTCATTTTAACAGTCTTCATATTGGGAAGCTGCAGTAACAAGGGTTTGTGCTGGGGTGTGTATCGCAGGTCAGCATCAGCCTGTGTGGGATTACATTTATTAAATAACATGAACAATTCCTGCTTTCTTTAGATGATTTTGGAGATTTTTATATATTTAGGGAACTTCCCCGTCACTTTTTTATTTGAGGATACAATATTATATTTGTTTAAGATCTGTGGGTATATAGTTTAAAGTCATGTTCTTACTTGCAGTGTAGGTAATCTACACCAAAAAATAAGGGCAAGCCCAGTACTGTGGGCAGACTTAGACACATAACTGTGCATTGTACAAATCTTAACACAGTCTTTCATGTTTCTTGAAAGAGTGTTTCGCCTTGTTAAAAGCTTAACTTTCACAAAGTGTTATTAGTTTTTTGAAGCTTAAAGAATGAATGCCGTAAAAAGGAATGTCTAGATGATGAACCTATTAAATGGTGCAGGTTAGGATATAAAAATACAACCAAATATGTCTCTCTCTCGCTCTCTCTCTGGCTTATGAAGCTGCAATCCCATTAAACTCAAATGCTGTTGCTTTTGAGAACTACATAAAATAGATTAAAAAAAATCTTCTCTTGAAATTACAACTGCTTTATTACAACTTACAAAAGGTCAGCAGAATTAAAATCCTAAGAATCACTGGCTCATCATCTTCTTATTACCTGAATCCCATACTTGTCCAAGGTCCAGTGGGTTTTAAGAAGCCAGCATTTCCTCTGCTCCCACCACAAGGCATGATCTGACCAATCCTGAGGAGCCTCTGCAGACAAGACAGATCAAACTTTAAAATCATGTTACTTTCATAATGCCAGTTTTAAGGCTTGTTATTACAGTCATGTTTAAAGGGTCAATGGAGCAGGACTCTGGCTTTGAAGCTAGAACAACCATCACACACACACAGACTTTGGTGTAGGTGGCTGCGCATGATTAAAGTGTGGTTTTATGAGTCTACCTGACATCATATCATGATGTCGGGCCGAAATCCGTCTGTTGATGACAAGCTACTTAGTCATCTATTGTGTCTCATGCTCTTTAAACCACCTAAAGTTACTCCTCTTATCATATTAGCTCCTCTGTGTTTACAGGGATCTATAAAGAGATAGTAATTCAGATCCGGGCTGAACTTTGGCCCCTGGGGCTACAAAAGCCAATGCATTGTGGTGTAACAATGGCATTGCAGCGCAGAAAAATGCAGGGCAAACAAGGGTGTGGCCTCTCTGTAGATCACATACAACAGCAGGGAGAGGCTGAGTAACTGAGCTTCAAACGTGGAATAAATAGACATACTATGACCAGATAAACAAACACAGCTACTTGGAATAAAACAATTTGAGCAATCCAACTGAATGGAGGCATTTGAACTTTGTATTTTAGTGTTTCATGCAGTGTCCCTGGATTATACATAAATGAGATGCAACATACTGTTGGTTTCTTACAGTTTGATGACACTTACTGATCTTCTCCGCCAGCTTCAGCATGAGGCCTCCAATATGCAAGTCTCCCTTCACTCGCAGCTTAAATTTCATGGACTCATCTCCAGTTTTTTGATCGACCTGCACGGACAGCTCCCATGATGTTTCTCCTAACTCTGCGGCTGTGATCATGGCCCTGGTGTAGAAAGACAAGAGTAAAAAAGGTACATGGATTAACACACTCTTGGGTTAAGATAGCGTACCTACTGAAGCGCTTCACCGGGATCACTGGAGGGGATAAACTCACCCCTACAAACCATCCCTAATTAATAACATGGTGGGGGAAATCCACCAAAATATGCTAATTCTTTCCTTGCTTTCTTTTGTTTGGAAGATTAGGAAACACCTGGGACGAAAACATGAGTCAGAGGATTAAGTGTTTCTCAACATCCTGTGGGAACATCCTAATGTAATCTCTGGGTTTCTTATCCTCCAACAAAACAGATTTTCACCACGCTTCTTCTGCAGTATCTCCGCAATGATACTGCAGCCCCCAAAGTTCTCCTGTAAGCCGAAACATTTATAAATAAGATATCAGTGAACACACAGGCTGGCAGCTGTACTGAGTTGGGGCCAGCAGGAAGGATAAGGAAATACTTCATAACACACAACACACACAGCGGGCATAACGCAGAGGCTCTGCACAGGAAGGTGGGGATATGGTGGAGGATTGTTTGATTTAAATTATGAAATAGACTTTCTGGATGAAAGAAATCCAGCAGGTAGGAGAAGGGAGAAGAGCGGAGGAGGTGCTGGGAGGGTACAGCTGTGGAATGTGTGACGAGCAGGGACACGAATCTGGTGCAGGAGAGACCATACTAAACAACAGTCTCCACACACACACAGCTACAGTCTTCCTATTATTCACATCTGAAATGTGGTAAACAAAAGAGAGGCAAACTAGTACACAGACACTAGTCTAGACTGGGGTTATCTAAAGAAATACCTGTGTCATCCGTCCTAGGTAGCTCAGTGGAAGTGTATGCTGAGTAAATCTGTATAGCCAGGAGGCCGGGTTTAATGAGCACACTCTGCTTTCTTTGTGCTGCCCCGTGCAGCCGTAGGGTACAGTTAAAAGTCTGAGTTTGAGCTTGCATTTCAGCTGAGGAGAGGCTTGTTGGGATGTGTTGTAGAGTGATGAATTTACTCCAACAGTATCACTTTTATAAGTTGGAAAAGACCTAAAACTGTGTTAACAACAAGGGGCTCATCAAAATTGCATAATCAAAAACTTTTTTTGTTGAAAATACACCCTGTTTCAAACTCTTCTGAAGTTGTCACTGCACTCTGAGCTGAATTTAAGATATTTCATTCATATTTCATCAAATTATTGTAGTTTACACAACAGAAAGGCATTTTAAAGTTTAATTTTCAAAACTGCAGCACTGGGAGAACACATCCACCCTCTATTCATAATACAACACAGTCTGTACCTACAGACACAAGAGTCTATAACTTAAAAGCACCCAGCATTTCACCTTGATGTTCAATCATTTTTTTGTCACTGAAATAAGGATAAAACTGAACATTGTGGCACCAAATGTCAAGTTTCAGGCCTTTCCTTTTACCTTTTAACAACAACAGTATTCATATAATTCTGGACATAGTAAGCCCAAACTTATAGATAAACAATAACGGTAAATAAATAATCATACGCTGTCCTACTACTACGGAAATATAGATACAGATCTCCAATGACTCTGATTATAACCCAGAGAAATCACAGACAGCTCTCTAGGCTCCTTCATTCAAATCAATCTGCTAACAGGCCCCATAAAACTAACGGTTAGCCCACTTACAACCCGTTGTGGGTACTTGTAAGTTAAACATTATGAAAACAGTCCTTACCTTTCTTCAAAGTTTTCTGTCGCCTCGTTATTCCTAGAAATATCTTGGGAAAATGGTCTGACCCAAGAATGAATCTCCTTCGGGAGTAAAACACGCCCAGTTTAGACAGGTAGAGAGGAGGCGGAACCGTTACAGGAAGTCTGCTAGCAAAGGTGGGTTTGTTCACAAGCTGGTGTTAGCTCAGTTTTTCACGTTTGGTATTTACTACATTTAAATTTAATGTCCAGATTTTGAACTTTAGTGTTAAATATCGGTGGTTTAAATGTTAACATGGCTTTCATTTTCAAGTTAGACGAAGCCAGACCATAACCTCTCGATAACTTCATTTAAGTTTGAATATACATCAGTACTGTGCTAGCATGTCTCGTGGGCTAGTTACAGCACTAAACAATTAATATTTGGTCAAATGTGAGCAGAAATACACTTTGTCCAGGAGGGTTTTTCTGTAAAAGAGTCACATTATAACACGTGGAACATGGTCTTGAAACGGTAAAGCAGCTATGAAGCTAAAAGACACAAGTATTTCAATATATTTTATTTGTCAGAATAGGGGAGAGTGGGGTAAGTTGAGCCAAAGGGTAAATTGAGCCACTCCCTGTTGCTTGGAAATAGTGAAAGAAATTGATAATGTGACCAAATATTTAGGAGATGAGCATCAATTCATGGAGTCTGTGAAGGTTTGAAGCATGTGGATGAAGGAGTTAGACATTTATTTCCAAAAAAAAAAAAAAAAACATTTTTTACTCTTGAAAGTGAATTTAGTCTGTCAAAAGTTTTATTAGAATTGTGTCCAGACCAAAAAAAGATCCTTTTAAATTTGTTTTATACATCAATTGTGGTATCTATGAGCTACAACACGAGGTCAAAAACCTAGAATCAAAGTCCACCATTTTAGTTTAGAGGAATAATTATAGTAGTTCTGGGGTAAGTTGAGCCAGTGACTCAACTGAGCAAGTACAGAAGTCTGATGAGAGGATCAGAGTTTCAGTTCAGATTGTTGAAATAGTTCACTTTTTCTTTCGCCCCATACACGGGGTAAGTTGACCATAGGAGACCACTTTTCTTTGGCATGCTATATTATCAAGACAATTATGTTTACACTCATTCTGTTGGTTTGCAGGGATGCACAACACCTCGAATTATATGCAGATTCACTAGTTAGAGACAAAACTATGATTGCCTTCATGTAGTGATCCGAAATATGAAAAATGGCTCATCTTACCCCACTCTCCCCTATAGGCTTTCTCAGACCATTAATCAAACTGAATATAAGGTAAATATAAGTTGAATATGTTTGATTTTTTTCTCTTGAATTTTGGTCTAGCCTACAGGTTGTTTGGAAATCTACTTAGCCACAGGAAATTCATAGCATTAGCACTGAAGCATTATTGACTACTTTGTTGACTAAAAGCTCAATACAGATTTTGTGATCTCATCAATTGTTCAAGAGGTTTTGAATCTTGTATCACAGCCCTTACAAACAATACATTTCCGAGGGATAACTCGGAAAAGTAGAAGGTCTTACTTAAATGGTAAATAACTCCCTACACACACTTAAAGTGAAAAAAGTAAGTGTTTTGTTTTAAGTTGAAACTTTGGGTTTCATATTGATCTATTTACACAGACTCTGAACAAACTTCAAACCTGTAGGGACTGAGTTGGTGTAATTTCTTTGAAAATATTGTGTGAGGATTGTTGCTCCAGTTTACGGGAATCTAAAGAGACAACATGATGAGTAATAGTGTACCTCCATTGATTCTGCCCACTTTCAGTGATGCCCACATCCCACCTAATGAGTAAATCAAGATGAATCACTTGATATTGTCTTTTTCACATTATAATATTGCCAGCTTATGAAACAACAGTAACACATGGGTGAAGGTGATGGTTGGCATTTTTATCATTTTTTTGCAGATTGTGTTCAACTGACAGCCAGCCAGCCACAGAGGCATTCAGCACCTTTGAATATGTAGGTGTTTCTTTATAATGTTTATTTACGATCTAAGTCTCTCTCTTACAGGCTCTTTTATCGTGAGGTTAACCAGTGTGTGAAGGCTGCCACCCTCTGGTTTGTTAAGGTAAGATCAAGATACACTTCTTTACACTTGTGCTTGAATTTGAACAAAATGCATAACTCAACTAGATGGAGACACAAAGTGTATTTTGAACAGGTCAAAGACATTAAGGGTGTCTCTTATTTCTTATACCTGGTATCCTTTTTTGGCTGATGCTTAATAAGGGATTATGCATACTCAAACCTCAAAAACACAGTACTTTATAGGAATATATGAGTGTTTTTGTATTTAGGATGGATATAATAATTCAACATCTTATTTCTGTTCAACTCATCCAAGTGAAATATTCCATAAAAATACATCCACAGTGATATCTATTTGGTATTTGGCTGCCACAAAGGGGCGCCAAAAGACCATATCAAGAAAACATAGTAAACAGCTTTGGGTGCTTCATGCCTGTGGTGTAGAATCAGGCAACTGTTTGTAGTTTGTAGAACCATGACGGTTTATAATGGTCCAGTCCAAGTCTGTATTAAATTTAAAAAACATCTTTATCATTCCCTTCATCACATGATATTTCTTCAATGGAAGAAAGCAGGAACTGATCATTTCCATCATTTCCAAATTATCACAATATGAAAATGCACTTTAAAGCTACAACAAATGAAAGGCAGTGTTTTTGAGTCACTGGAATTATTGTCATTTGATTCAGGGCCGAGGATTTCTAGGTTGTGATTATGAAACCATGCCATAAAAGCAACCTCAAACCATCTCTTTTTTGATAGCATGTTGTCATACTGATTGAGTGTGTATTGATTTAGTGGTAAAATTTTTGTATTTTTCCTTATGGAGGACAGAGTCAACTGCAAAGGATTTGGTTAAGACATTTTAGCATTTCTTTTTTGGCCAACAGAAGGGCTCAATCGAAGGCACTCCGGTTCAAAAACTGTGTCTATGACCGCTTGACCATTTCAACCACACCCAGACATACAGATTAAGAGTCGCAAACTCGCCTGTGTGTCTCTTTAAGCTCTCTGTCCCAGCTGAGTGTGTAGTGCTGGCACATGAAGTTGTCTTGTGTAAGAGAGGAAATGTAAATTCCATGACAAAAACAAACAAATAAACTCTGAGCCTCATAAACTGTGTCACTGGTGGAGAGACACATGGAAAATAACATCATTTGGAGCTGTCAGGCCTGGACGCAGTACAGTCAAAGTCACACCACGTCCATGTCATCATGACACCTGTGGCTCTAACGGCAATGACAAACACAGTCCAAGCTCAGGGAGAGGACAAAAATCAACTTTACTACAGTTTCTGGGAGACTGATAGAAAGACGGCTTTCGAGTGATGAGGGGGGTGAAAAGAACAAGAGTTTGGACTGTAGTTTTAGACACAATAAATTACATCTAATGCCTGAAGCGGGTCTGAACCCACTTGGAAGCGGGTGGGAAACAACATCTGTAGAAGCCTTTGCCGGCTTTCTGTATTTATGGAAAGAGAAACCTTCTGGTGACCTGGGAACACGCTTACCCAATTAGCAGCCTCGCCGACGGATCAAATGGAAGTGAAAACATTCACTGCCGTGACGGAGTCGCATCACAATGCCCCATTCATGCTGCCGAGCCCCATGCTTTTGGGGTGAGGCGGGGTGGGGTTGGGGGGTTGTTCTTATAGGGATGTAGTGAGAAGGTGGGATGAATGCAACAAGAACTGAACTCACCTCAGCACCTTCTTTGACGTGTCGATGGAGGCCTCATTCATGACTTAATACGGGTTTGGAGGTAAACACTGTTCAAAAGTGATGTTTTTATAGGGTTAGATACCACCGCTCACCTTGGTGTTCCACATCCCCTTCACCTCAGCCCCTACATCCCCTCAGCCGTCCCACCTCTACATCCCGGCAAAACCTTGCATCTTATTCTGTGGGACTGGCACCGAGGGGGTCAGGAGGCCTGAGAACCAGCACTGCGGAGAGGCTCTTGACAGCAAAGGCCTCCTGAGACCAAAAGCTACACCGCTTTGTGGACTGTAGAGTGTTACAGCTCTGATTTATTTTCTCTCTTCCAGGCTGTTAAAATCACTTTTTTTCCCCTCCTTTCTTTGTGTCTTTGTTTAATTTTTATACCACCGACTTCCCGAGCTGGCATGAATTTCCCTCACCAGTGTCTGTCAAATATAAAAATAAAACTCCAGAAAGGACAAGCCGCACCTGGCAGGTTATTTGTTTTGCAAACGTCAGTATGATGTGAATTTCTGTCATGATGAGTGTCAAGAAAACCCAGGTGTGATGGTCAGGACAGAATTGAAGACTGAGAGCAGAGTGATTGACTAAGTACAGGCTATGTGTTGATAAAACTTTCTAAATATTACTCACCTCCCCTCAGATAGACTGTGTAATCCTCGCACTACAGCGAAGGTTCAGTATAAAGGCTCTTCTATTGCTAAAATTAATTGTTTATTTATATGGGTGGAGCCATTGCTGCTTCAGTAAATGATGTCTGGCCTGTGGATGTTTCCATTGAACCTTTTAAAAATGTTACCAAGCGAGGGCCAACGCTATAAATATACAAAAGATTTTTAAAAGTGCGAGAGAAGTAAAAGCTCGCTGAATATTCATGCATTTTCAATTACATTTGAACTTTCCAAAAGCCACAGCCAAGACTTATATTCTTTCTCATATGTTCACCTCCTCTAGCATGGAAACATCTGATGGAAATAAAACTTTTCACAGTGTCAGGTCAGATAGCCATAAATACAGGTTGTCTGTACAACGTGACCCTCACATGTAGAGGAGAGCCTGTTCTGAAATGCGGTTGGGAACAGGATATCACATGTTTAAATATTGCACTTCTTTCTGAAAAGTGGCTACTGTAAAACAACTTCCATTACTGAGTATCGCTTTACCTGTCACTGGCAGTATTTCACCCCAGTTCTGTTAAGAAACATAATAAGATATCGGAAAAACACAGCCATATGGACAGAGGCAGATAGATGGACATCTTCATTTGTTGATGGTGTTAAAATTTACCCTTAAATCTGGCACGCTCTTTGTCTTTCTTTTCAGCAGGTGTGCATGAAGTAAAGGAAGCAGGATATTTGGTTCCTGTGTGAATATAAGATGTGTTAAATAAAGCCATATGTAATCCTGTGACTTTTATTAGGTTTGTCAGGGTGCTCAGAGATACACTGGAACCCCAGCACAAAGTCTGCTTACGATAAAATATCACCTTTTGCAGGTCCCCTGTGCAGAGGATGTCGGGTCTGGGTCTGACCACATGCGCACGGAAGCGTTTCGATGCCCCACCACCACGTCCTGTGCTGCAGAGCGACATGGAAGAAACAACTCTTGACACCAGCCTTGAAGTCGCTGTGACTGATCTCACAGGTAAGCGTAAGAGGAAGCCGGGCGTTGTGTTCCTTTCCTCCCCACATCAATTTGCCAACCGGTCGTGAATGGGAGCCATTTTGAAACATGCAAATGTGGGTAGCCTCTGCTTGTATCAGCTGATGCAGGTCAGTGTTTTTCTTGGCCAGGCCTTAAAGACCCGAGGGGAGAAAGACGTACTGAGAGTTAGAAAAGGTCACATAAACTCTAGTGGGATTACTTTACCAACACTTTCCATGGCTGAAATCCTGTGAATGGATACATTGTGGGTAGGGTCTCTGCTCGCGGAAAGCAAACCCTGTCAGGATCCAGTTCATTAGCACCTAGTTTACTGTTTGAAGTTAGTTATTTATCCGGTGTCTAAAGGGGAACCCCTTTCAAACCCATGTAAGTGTATATGTGTGTGTGCATTTGCGTGCATCCATGCACAGGCATGTAGTGTGTACTTGTGCAAACGTACAGTACTCAGAAGATCTACAGGGGGTTTCCAGAGCAAATTGCTCAAGAGCAAATAAAACTTTCCATGGCGCAATAAAATCTATGGAGAACGAACAGGAGGGACATTGGTGCAGCTCTGAAGGTGGGAAACAACCTTGAGAAAATGTTAAAAAAATATATACATAAGGGTTTGATATATATCTGCCCTGACAGCGGCTGACCCCGACCCTGTAAATAAAGACGAGTATCCCAAACATAGGAGGTTGAAAATGTTAAACAAAGTACATTTACGTATAGATTGCAGATTGTTATATACTTCAGGAGAAATAAAGGAAACAATGAAGTAATATTATTTTAGATTTTGATTATAAAATGGAATCAATGCCCGTAAAAAGATCTCTAGAAACACTTTTAGCTTGTTGAATAACAGTGAAGCAGCTGCAGTGCTCCTTTGAGTACTGCTTCCATACTGTATTTCAAACTATCAAGTGAGTGAGCCTGAGAGTGTTTTCTTTTTTCCTTTGTGATCTGTTTGTTCGTTGGAAGGCGTCCCTGTGCCTTTGGTCAGACAAAAGTGCCGCGTTGAGCAAAACCTCCACTCCACTTTTATGGTCTGTGTGGGCCGTCCTATTTGTACATGCTTAGAGCAAATTAGACCAGCAGCTGCGCATGGCCGTCCCATTCCATGTTGGCTTTTCATGATAAAAATATGCTTCGGTAAACCTCGCAGCTTGGATCCAGAAATACGCGGCCCCGTTTCCTCTGGTGCTGACACCTCTCCCTATTTACAATTAGCACTTCCCTTTTCCCGGCACAAAAAGAGAAACGCATGAGGAGACAGAGGGGACAGAATAGAGGGGTGGGAGTAAATGACAGGGGCGAAGAAAGACGGAGAGAGAGAGAGAGAGACAGAGAGAGAAGGACCACCTATGCAGATGTTTAACACATGCAGAAAGAAAACAAGCTGCAGCAAGGAGAGTGTGCGGAGGCTGCACCTGTTCTGGGGTGATGATCTGGCCACAGGTGACATCAGTCCTCGTAGGGTGTTGTGCTGCTTGACTTAAAGTCAGTGGAGGCTCTTTGTTATGATTTTAGAATGATTTGTTATTATATAAGGAATATAAAGAAGATTACGAACAGTATGCTTTGAATTTAGAGTGTTAAATAAAGCTAAATAGAAGGTTACTCTCTCATCAGTATTATTGGCTGCACAATAAATCCACTGAATTTGATTCTGCAAATTGCATTTCTAAAGACCTCGAAGGTCTTCATGAGATAAGACTCAAACAATCAAAAAACTATAATTTCAGTGGATAGCAACTATTAAAATAAAAAATGTTCAAAATCACGTATATTAGTGCTGGTTTATCCAATATAATGTCACCTTCTGAAAGCAATGCTCAAAAAAGACTGAAGTGAAAGAGTAGACTGTTTTTCAATACATGTTTCTTCCTCCAGCTTGAACTTGTTAGAAACCTTTTGGTCTCTTGTGTGTGCCGAGCATAACAGGTTCTGAATTCTGGGTCTACTTAATTCAGTTTCGCACACCTGCCTGATTTGCATTGATCAGTCAAGCCTCCCTTTATGTCTCTGGACAGTCGGGAAAAGTGTTGAGTAAATATGATTTCTGACACTGTGACAGGAATAAGGAATAGCCTCCTCTTGGGATTGAGTTCTTAGGCTAATCATCCATGATTACAGCCTTGAAAGCCAAAACACACTCAACGTGAAAGAGGTTGTTTTCATCTGCGTGCTGCAGTAGCACGGTGTGCTGACAGAGTTACCTATTCTCCTGAGGGCTCTCACCCTCCTTTTGCCTCTGCTGGACTGACCCTGCAGCAGGTCTTGTAGACCCTGGGGACTGTCCTGGGAGACCTGAACAACATTGGCAGCAGGCGGCTCAGCGGTGTCATTTTGCCGTAGCGAGCTATGTACAAAAGCATCTCTTGTTGTTGCAAGCTGTATGTGGTGCTTCTTTCCCAACCCTGTGGAAAGGAAAGGACAGCCAATGACCAATGCCAAACAAACCTGCTCCAGCTCACCTGTGCAGTGAATGTGGAACTGAGTGACCCAGATCTGGATGGAAACCATTGCAAATATTTCCCAGCAAAGTTTGTGGAAGAAGCATTTAGTAGAGCCTTCTCAGCAGGGAATTTAAGTAACTGTAAATGACTCTGACTCCCTTCAGTTTGTGTCATCTGTTCCCTAAGAAGTAGTAAACATGCGGTTTACCTTCAAACCATCCAGCAAATACCTCAATGCGATGCAAGGTGTCAACTGAAGTGTAATAAAATTCGGACAATCCTGTTTATCTCATCATTCACTGAAGAATTTATTTCACAAACAGAGCGTGGAGAGAGATGACTGTGTGATTGGATGCAGAGCAGGGTTGTTGTTGATGAGCAGCGAGTCTGTTTATTGCCCAGTCTGTGCAATGCTCCTGGCAAGACGGACCTCTTATGCCCAAACTACAGCTCAGTTTAGAAGCAAAAACCATGCTGCAAATATTTGGCTTGGCCACAGAATTTGAATTATATTGGCACAGAAAGCCTCGAAATAAAAAACAGCAACCTTGGGAACAATTATGCAAAGTGAAACGTGGTTAAACCAATTGCTACTGGTTTTCCTTTCCATCCGAAGGGAAAAGGGAAAGTCTGCTTTTTGCAAGGTTTATCTCCCCGTATAGATATGTTGAAGCAATTACCCTCGCTACGGAGTCGAAGCTATAGCTCATTTTTGTTGTGTAATGTAGCCTGTGTTGTGTAATATAGCCTGTGTGAGTGTTCATTTGTGGGTGGACTGGGTGGTCCATTTAAACCAAAGATAAAACTTAATTTCAGCTCACATTTACTAAACGTCTGCTCTGTCTCAATGGACATTTAAAGTTTGAGAAAACAGTTCATTCAATTTAAAATAAACATTGTTATGTTAGCCTAATGTTACGGTAGAGTATGAAATACGCATGGATAAGATTTTTTTAGGACCCCTATAGTTTGCTTATCTGTTGTTTTTTACTTTTTAAATGTATTTATTTATTTATTTTGCATTATTGAGGAAAATCCCAAAGCTTCATTCCATATCCCAACCCCTCTAACCCCCCAAAAAGAATAAAACATAGGGTGATTGTGCATTTTTTTGTGATGGCCTCATCAGTGGAGCTTTGACTGCCTCTTCTCTCATTAGCCATTGAAGCCCCACCTGCACAACACAAGAAACACAAACTCCATTGCTCTCACTGACGCAAACACTAACACGGCTAGCCAGATAGCTAGCTCACCATCATGCAAAACCTTTAAGCCAGCTTTGTTTGCTCACAGCTGAGGCTCAAAAGAAAGGCAGGACCAGTGCAGAAAAGGGCCAGCTTTGACAATTTTCACACAAAGGAAGCACTGTTGGCTAACAGTGAGCGGCCTGTTTCTGGGAGGTTTGCACTGTTCCTGGGGCCCATTTCATGGAACAGTTAGCAAGGCCAAAGGCAACCCATGGACTGGAGTGATAGTTTAGGCCTTCAGGGCCAAACCTGGGTCTGGCCCTCTGGCTTTCCCCTCTGTCCCCCACCTAGTTCAGAGGCTTACACAAAGCTGACTTGGGACACTGAGTGCTGCAGGTGTCCTCTCATAAAGACTCACATCACATGGGCTGGTGGACTGACTGACTTGGTTGACTTGTTTGCCCCCCTCATCCCCACCCCCCTCCTCCTCACAGGTGTTGGAAAAATCAACAGAGAGATGAGATAAGAGACAAGACTACACTGACTTTTATGAACACTTTTACAGAGGCAGTCAATTCTTTGTCAGTCAGTGAAATGCTGCAGTTACTTTATGGCAGAATTACTCGTCTGTGATCTATGTGTGGGTTTCGCCAGAACGTAGTGAGCTACAGTGGTTTTAAGTGTGAAAGTCGTGGTTTTCGGCTCAGGTTTTTGCAAACATCACGGGAAGTTATTAATGGGGATATGAACTTCTAAAATAATAGCCCAGACCTCAGCTGAAGTAGCTTGCATTATCCATCATCCTGACCTGGGCTCACACCAGATCATCAATTTCTTTCTACCTCTCATCCACACAGTCAGCATTGAGGAGGACTCTTCCCTCATCTGCGACTGCGTTTGCAGCATTGCCGCTGCTATCAAAATGAGCAATGTCTGCCATCATTGGATTTAGGTTTAATTTGATAAAGAGCCCAGAAAAACAGCTCGCACGGTGAGAGGGGGGAAAGAGGAAGACAGCATGTGAGTAAGGACAAGAGAGAGATTAATATCCAGGCTTCTCTCCTCTTGACCACAGAGTGGGCATAAAGAGCTTGGCGCCCCATTGATGTCAACCCTAGCTGTGCCTATCCTGTAGTTTTCAGTTTGGTTTGGACAGAACAGGCGGTCTGGCCTACAGGGGTTGGGAGGACAGGGCCCAGGGTTTCCCACATCACTCAAGGGCCTCTGATAGGCGGTCACACAGGCTGGTAATGACAGGGGGAGAGATTTAGTATTAAAGTCTCCTTTGCTGCCTCCTCTGCTCCTGTCTGACGTCAGACTGTTAAATACGGGGATGAGAGCATGGCATGGCCTATAAGAAATGAAGTAAAAACCTGTCTTAAGTATACAGCGTTGTGTGAGAGACGGCTGGCTGCGAGTGTTGCTAAGCACACGTGTATACAGCGCAAGGAAATCTGGGATCACAGTCAATCATTAAAGAGATTTGCATCAGCCATAAATAAGAATTAGTGAGGGTTAATGGTGATAAGATTGAAGGAGGAGGGAGCTCCGTATACTAACATAGTGACTCATTCTTGGTGGTTTGTAATTCACTGGGTGGACTCAGGGTCAGCAATACAATAACTCAAGCCAAGACTACCAGTAAAATTATTCGTAGTCTTTAGTTGTTGGGATGTCCTGGCCTGCTATCAATTTTTAAACCACTATCCCACATACAAAAACAGAGGGTTTTCCCCTGGGTATTTGTAGAACATTAAACCATTTGAGTTCATGACTAATAAACTTGGAAAGCCGATGAGATACCTTGAGACTGGTTCGAAAATGTCATATACTTAAGAGTAAAAGAGCTCATTGTCTTTGCGACTCAACCATACAAGCAAAACTCAGCAACATGAAAGCAGCCGATAGCTGCACCTGCATCCACAGATCATCACACCATTGTGGCATTTAAAGAAAAGGCCTCAGTCAAACACGCCCCCCTGACCTTCTCCAGCTAACATAAACTAATTAGGCTGGCTCTGAAAGGAATGGGCCGCCATTGGATTAATCAGCCTCCACAGATCTGGACCATGCAACTCTGCTCTGGGCAGCTCTCCCCACTAGTACCTCATTATCTCACGTTTTCAAAGGAGTGCCACGGCGAATAGCAGAAGGGGTTGAAGGGATGGAGAAACGGAGGAGGTGGCGGTGCAGGAAGGGGCTTCCCCAGTTCCTCTCTTCTCACATTGGACTCAGAAAGGAAATGTCAAGCGTGAAGCTCAGAGAGTGGTCAGTACCGCTCAGTCCAGCAGGCAGCACAGAGGGGGCCTTTGTCCACCATCACTTAGCGCCAATTACAGCCCGTCAAAATAGTTTTTCTGCTGTGGGGCGACGTGTTAATGGGCCTGGAGTTGGGTGTGAGGAGCGACCTTGTCCACACACACCAACCAGGGGTCAGGGGTTAATAGGGCCCCTCTGATGTGGCGGATGAGATTTCGGCAACCTTTAGCTGGTGAGTGAATGCCAGAACAAAGACTGTAGAATGTGATACAATTAGGCGGACAGCTAGCCATCCTGAATAGAGTTGGTCCGTAGGAGTGGGATAGCTGCATTAGTGGGAGCAGATGGGCTGTAGGACGCTGGCCAAACAGGTGCCACAGAAGGTCAAAAACCCTCCCAAATGAGAAAGAGGACCCAGGTGAGGACACAAACACCAGCCAGATTCAAGGCTTTATGCGAAGTGAGTGGTAATTAAAAAATCCTGTCGAACAAATGACTCCGCTCAACACAAAGAAAGTCCTTTTGTACTTGTGAAAAGGTCAGAGATTATCCAGTCTTCTGTAGCATTTCCCATCCCATTCCCGGCCCAGTCCACCGCAGAGGACTGAGTCTGCAAGCCTTAAGACCGCCCTCAGCCAGGCTTGAAAGTGGTCTGCTCTCCCATATGAGAAAGTGAACTTGGCACGATTAGCGTCTGACCTACACGGTGTTTCCTGAGTTTCAGTAATCACTGATTATCTGATGCAAATGAAAAATAGTTCTGGCAAAATCAAACGTTCATAACACTGAACGGTGCTACGTGTGGCTGGTCTGGGCATGTGAGCACAAAGCCAGGCCTCCCTTTACACTGTAAGTGTGGGAACAGAACCAATGCCAAACTACCCATGGGCCCTTCGAAGGGCCATTACACTCTGCCAAGGAGAGCTGGAGAATTTTGAAAAAAAAAAAAAATACCCTGAACCACACTGAGCAAATCCAACCACATGCAAGCCTGTGGGAACTAGCGGATGACATCTATCCGCATATAAATACTCTTAAAATACTTTCTCCACTTATTGGTGTACGGATCATTCCCCCCCACCCAGTCCTCTTGGAATGGTCGGAGTGATCTGGCCCCCAGCTTCATCTACTTAATGTTGAAATAAAGAAGGTGATTGAACTCAGTCTCCAAATTGGATTTGTTTAATCTGCATCAAGTTTGAACATCCTGTGTAAACACAAGCGTGTGCAGATGCCGGAAACGCCATGGTTGGGAGCATAAATGCCCGTGGTTGACTTTGGCAGTGAATCAGAAGAGCAGACGGGGAAATGAGGCCTGAACAGAGGCCGGAGGACTTTCATTGTTACTGCAGGGTCAAAGTTTATGTCTTAAATGTGCAATAAACACATTTAAATGATGTAGATTGATTATATGTGACTTTAAATTATTTTGATGATTAAAGGATAAATTGACAAAATCCCCCCAAATTGTCGTCGTAATAAAAAGGAAGCCTTCGACTCACAACCTCTGGGAACAAAATGTGCAACCTCCCTGTATAACCTTTAAACAAAATTCTATTTTGGCAAATGATGTGGAGGCAAAACTGAATAAACACAAACATCATTAAGAGTTCATGTGTTC